AGACATGCCTGTGATATTATGTCCCCGTTCGATCAGCGAATTTAGTATGGCGACAGGCACGATCTCATCGGCGTCTACTTCGAGTGGGTACAGTTGATCGTGGACGCGCCCGTTTTCAATCGCAGCGCTGATATCCATTCCCCAATCGAGGTTGAGAATGACTTGCAGGACTGCGCCAAAGATTCGGCCACCACCTGATCCGCCGATAGAGAGGTAGAAGGAGCCGTCGAGGTTTTCGATTATCGTAGGTGTTGTTGAGGATAGGGGGCGTTTCCCGGGCTCGGGGTAATTATCTAGGGATTGTTAATTTGGGAGAATAGGGGAAGAGAAGCTGCGTACATGGTGAAGGAAAGAGGCCAAAACCATTAGGTCTTCCTGGAACCGAAAAATCGTCCATCTTACGAGCGCAATCAGAAGAAGTTGTTAGAACATGTGAGGGCTCACCTCATCATTCAGGATAATGCCGGTTTCGGGGTCAAGCACCATGGAACCAAATACGAGATTCACTGTTGTCGTCAATGCTACAGCCATTCCGTCCTTGTCGAGCACAGATGTATGACTTGTTCCATGATCAATCTTGACGTCAAACTCTGGATTATAATATTCGGGGGGATGCGTACGATCCTAAAGTGTCATCCAGATACGGTAAAGCAACAGAGCGCAGACAACGTACATCAGTGAGATTAAGTGCCACAGCATCTGCAAAGGCTTTCGTGGAGATTTCGGCGACGCGAGCTGTTCCGTTGGTGACATATGCCAAGTCACCAATCTTTGTGCTAGCGTAACGTGAGACCGGCTGTAATAAATTTGGAAAGGGACTCACCGGGCTGCAAACCCGACTGACGTGACACTGTCAGTTCCACAACAAACTATTTGAAGTAGGTAAGCGCTCACACTTCAATGCCTCTATAAAGCGGTGAATATTCAAGCCAGTTCGGCCTTCGCCGATAAAATCGTAGCGTTCTAATAGGTTCAAAATATGGAGAAGCACGGGTCCTGAAGTTGGTGCGCAGCTAGTGTACACTTTCTTATCATGATACGTTCCTTGGAGAGCGTGATCCACCTTCACAGTGTAATTCTCCAGATCTCCATTAGTCATTATTCCTCCAGTGGCTTGTACCTTGCGTATGATTGAGTCAGCTATGGGGCCCTGGCCAAAAATAACTTAAATGTAGGTCCAACATGAACCACAGCGAATATCAAACCTTGTAGAACACATTGGGTCCTTCGGATGCGATAGTAGCAAGCGTGCGTGAGTAATTCGTCCGTCTAATAGTTTCGCCTTCAAGCAGCATACGACCCTCTGGGGCGAAAATAGCTCTCCAATCTTCTTTAGGAAGTATGAGTCTTGCAAACATCTGGAAGGTGTGTAATCAATCAATGCCTCAGATTCGCATGCCCAGCATTTTACCTGCAAACGTCGCGCTAATTCTTTATCAACCGCCCATCCAGCAGCAAGATCCACGCTTGGCTGCACGAGTCTAGCCCACGGCAATTTCCCCCAGCGTTCATGTGCTTCTTGGAGTCCACGGACTTCACCGGGAACACCAACTGCTAATCCACCCCATCGCGCAGCAGTTGGATCATCCTCGTACATGGTGCTATTTGCCAAGGCTGGTGCGGTTTCTCTAAAATCAATGGTATATACTTTCGAACTACCACCCTCAGACGAGGGTGGAATGCGAACTGTCATGAATCCTCCTCCACCTATGCCCGAGCTGATTTACGTCAAAAACATGAATTTCGGAAACGCAGACAACTCACGAAAACATGTTGACCACACCAACACAGAAAACAGCACTGATAGCGGCGTCGATAGCATTTCCTCCTTCCTTCAAGATGGCGACACCAATGTCTGAACATCGTTTATTCTCGGAAGCAACGGCACCGTGTTCAGCCTCTATGAGATAGGCAGGATTACGGGTTTGTGTGTGGGTTTGGGTGGATAGGTGCGGGTGAGGTTGGTATCTCTGTAGCAGAAGCGTCGCTAGACAAATAGCAAGTAAGGCAACGAATGCACCCCTCTGCCATCTACGTCGACCTTTCGGTTCCTTCGTATATAGGTAAAGCGGGAGCTCGGCTTCGGTAGAATCAAATGGTTGCTTGAAACTATCCACCGGAGGGTCATCTTCCACGGTGGGTAATGGTGATACTCGTGTCCTGTAATCCATAAAGTTGAAAACCAAGTCGACTGAAACCTTTATCTTATGGTAATGAAGGTGACCGGAACCCGGAAGTAGACATCTAAATATTAAGAAGTCGTCGACCTTCCTCGGCTACCCGCAAACCTGCTGTCCGGATTCTGTGCTTCATTGCACACGGTGCCATATTCGCACCAATGGAAAGGGCCTAATACTTAATCCGAGTGGTATTCACCACATGCCGGCACGTGCAGGGGCCGATTCGGGTTATTATGGCCTTATGTAATTCAATTTTGGTAATAGCCTCATTTTGATTCACTGTCGTAGGGAGCCACGATCAGAAGTCCTATTTATTCACCGTGACAGTCGCTGTCTCAGGCATCCCAAGTGGAGGCGCAACGATGCCAGCTCACCGGCACCGATCGCTAATGTTTCAATATGACGGCTCAGAGGCCGACAATGTTTCGAATATTGGCTCTTTGAGCCATGCGAGGTGAGTCCGAAATCCATCAATATACCCCACTCACCAGAATACCTCACGAGAGTTTCAGCTTTTCACCGATGATATACACAGGAATAAGAGGAACTGGTATGTCCAAAGTCTCAATTGCAAATTGAAGGGATGCTATGTTACAACGTTTTGTCAGACATTACACCAGGACCTCTGAAACGTAGGAAAACCCTGGGACTCAATACTCGTTTTGATCGGATGCTGGCCCAAGTGCACGTCTCAAATTCGTACAGTCTTGATCCGAAAACGCGTCGAAAGCGTGCGCGTTCTTCCGGGTCTTCCTCTGTCAGCAGTTATGATCTTCCTAAGACACCTGTGGACGCATACAGCCATGAGGATAGACTTGGAAGTGACTTCTCTGGGTCGAAAATGAATAAAAGGGCGTCGAACCCAGCAAAATCTCCCTCGGTATATCGAAAGGTACGATATATGCGCGCGCCTTTATGCCCATGAGAACCCAAACTTGGCTATTGCGGCGTCAGGGTTCTAAAGTAAGGCTACCGACGAAGGCCCTACCTATGTGGCTCGCGAGTACGTTCAGTGCCTTAGAACCCGAGCATCCACTTCGAGAATTGCTTCCTCTGGCCCACGAAGACACGACCGAAGCCAGAACTCAGAACGAACCTCGACCATGTTCTCAAGAAGCCAGGGAAGGTCGCACGTTTGCATTTTCCCCATTCGATGTCGTTCTACAAGAAAATAATGATGCAGCTCATGAAGCTTCACATCTGCCGTCTGCTGACCTTGCCTTCCGTGACGTTGGTTGTGACCCGACAACCGTCAATGCGGAGTTACAAACATTTCACCTCGGGGAAGATACTCTAGGTTTTCGCCCATTTTCAACTCCCGGCTCGCTCGCTGCTCTACATCACACTGTCAATTCAAATGCTTCATCTGACTTGGCCCGCCCATCAGGATCGCAGAAGACCTCAGTGCATGTGAAACCACCCCTTTTGTCTCACAACACAAGTGTCAACCATGCCAATTTCACATCATCCCCTGTTTTTCGTTCAACTATTGCAGAGCCGGAAACTCACTTGTCCTCCTTCTGCCGCGGACCGTCTGTTGCTTCTAGCGATTTTGGACCTCACTTACCGACGGAAGAGAACGAACTGACGATGAATATATTTTCCACCCCTGGACCGGCATTTACCGTCTCTCGACCAGTGTACTTCGATTCTCCCACTGAAGATCCATCATTGTCCGACCCTCTGGAACCAGAATCCTACGAGCTTGACTTGGACGCACTTGATTTCCGCTGGCAGCCATTCTTGAGGAAGACTTTGTGTGATCCCAGCGTGGTCGGCAGGCAAACTTATGACATGCATGCTTCAGCTACGATTCCTCCTGCCTTTGATTATTCCGACATCCTTTTGTCGCGTTCGCCTCATTCCTTCTATGGCGTCGCTGACGATCATGTAGCAACGGCGGAGCCACGTGGCGCACGTGTAGAATCCGACCTTTATAATGGACCCGTTCGGGGCTCACCTGTATCTGGACACGCCATCCGACAATCATCATCTCCTCAGTTGAATGGCCAAAGCGGCGCAGCGGTCTTTGCTCCCCCTTCTAGAATTTTCATTACGATTCCTCCCGTCTCTGCAGGCCCTGACATCCTTTTATCACATCCGCCTCATGTTTTCCGTAGTGTCGCCGAAGACCAAGCAACAATAGCAGAAGCATCTAACGCACCCGTAGAATACGACCTTCGTGATGGACCCATTCGCAATTCACCTATATCCGGATATGTCATCCAAGAATCTCCATTACCTCAGTTGAATGGCCAAAATGGCGCAGTGGTCTTCGCTCCCACTGCGGGAATTTTTGTTTCACCGCTAAAGGGAGCAACATCATCCCCTGCGGTCCCTGGTATTGCTGATGTACAAGAAGTAAGCCCACACGAAGCAAAACCGTCTCGTCGTCTTTAAACTGATCTTGTCAAAGCTTACCGCAGAGAGCCGCGAGCAACCTTCCACGCCCACACGCTCAACTCAGGCGTCACAACCAGCAACACCGAAGAAAGATCGACCAAGCCAAACACGCAGTACGCCGATCTCGCCTCGGCAAGAACAACGATCGACTGTCTCGTGGATGTTGTCACGTCGGTCGCTTGCGGGGAGGAGCAGTGTTTGCCATGATGAAATCGAGGGATTGCTCTCGCAGCGTTCAGACACTAGTCATGACACGATTGAATCATGGGCGGATGACCATTAGTGAATTTGAGCATTCCACACCTGTATTTCCGTTAGTAAATTCAAACTCTACAACGTTCCTTAATCCGAATTAGAAGTATTCAATAGAATGTAAGTATTGCGAGGGTATATAAATCCAAGTGAGCCGGTGGAGAATTACCAAACAACTTCAGCACCGTCAAACGGTTGGATGGTGACCCCACGTTCTCCCCGTGACTTTCGCAGCTTGTGTCGTTCCAGAGTATATACCTCGTATGAAGAGGCTGCAAGCATCATTGCACGGATGTGGTGCGGGTGCGAGTTGGCAGCCACTGCATGTTTTCGGGACTGCCAGATGCACGTTGCAAGGTTCATACCCGTTTCTGGATCTGGCACACCATACCAATACATGATAAGCTAGGGGGTAAGGTCAGGTGGAGCCACTATGATAAGGGGTTGGTTGCATACACCACCACTGAGCACAGCTTCCTCGTGAGCTAACTTGTCGGCATCATAAAGGGCTGTGCATACGAGGAGAATCAGTCAAAGGTCCGGGTACGAATGATGGTTACTTACGTCCACTGTCGCTCCCAGGCAATCGCTTGCTGCGAAAGGCAACACAATACCACTCACGCTCCTCATCTTCCGGAAGTTCTAATTCACTCCAATTGAACGCTTCATCGTATGGTAATTCAGCATAATACGGAGTCACCGGATGGAAATGGTGCAAAGCTTTGTGCAACGACAGCGATACGGGGTCTATATCAGGTAGACGGGTCCCGGAGAGCATCGGCTGCTGTTCTAGTGATGTATGGAGTAGTACCCCGAGGTCGTGAGGTAGAGAAGAAAGTAGCGGAGGTAGATAGAGGACGGTAGATGAGGGGTTTGTGAGACTTTTAGAATTGAATGTGGGGAGCTCGTGAGGATCACGCTCAGTGTCGATAGCCCCAAGGCCGACGTCCAGATTGTCCGAGTCCGGATGCTCAGACTCAGTGCCGTCAGCTACGAGACCAATATCTAGGGGGTGTTGTGACTCTGAGCTAACAAGTTCAGCATAACTGTGAACAAGTGTGAAACCCATGATGGCCTCGGGCGCGCTAACTCGTAGTGGGGAAAAATAGCCTAAAAATGCATGTAGAATGCATGCAGGGCTTATATCAGGTGCAAGGCCAGGGCGCACGCGATTTACCAGCCAAGTGATGAGATGTCGCTATGCCATTGCGTGATTTTTGACAATAACAGTTATCAACGACTAGAAATTAATATCGTCAAGGAGCCTAAGATAGACAGAAGACAACCATTAGCCTACCATTGGACACCACCGTGAATAAACTACTTCAGTTAAAACCTCTAGATCTAGAGGCATAATCAAAGGCAAGTGCGGCCCTGAGGCATGAGGTGTAATTATCATTGCCAGCCAGACTCCGACAGCTGGCATCACTTGGCATGACTCAAATGGAAGCTGCTGAACTTGAGCAGGCAGAGTACTGGGTCTGGTGTGCTCTAGACAAAGCCGTGTCACACATACACATAGCAGACATGTTAGTGTGAAGGATGTATAACAATCTGATATACAACAGTTACTTGTATTGAGAGCGGTCTCTTCCGAGTCCTGCTTCAGGCCTGGCTTACTAAGTTCGACCAAACATGCTTATGTAAGCATCTTTCTAGGCCCCGCTGTTCCCCGAGTTTCAACTCGAACTTCACAGATGGCAGCTACGAAAAAAGCTGCAGAGTCGACTCTTTACCATGTTCATCCGAAGGGTTTTTGGAAGAAATTCCGTGAGTTTATTTATTTATTGGCTTATCGAATGTGTGCGAATGCCTCTTACCAGGCGACGCTGTGGTCATTAATCCTGAAATCTCGAGTGGTATTCCATTAGCAGGAATATACAGATGGCCGCAGCCTGGTTCCAGACCGGAGAAATATGCATCCCCGGCAACCAAAGGTAGGATATTGAGGCTCACTATAGGGTTTGTTCATCCCTTTTTTGTCAGCTTCCGACCCCGCCCAGAACCCGTACTGGAAGAGAGATGTTCGAAGGGCATATCCCCAGCTTTCTGTGGTCACGCAGCCCGACCTATCGTCACTTCTCATTCAACACTCTGAAGCCCAGGCGTACGTTCTCGTACCCTCTGCATAGCAGCTCCCACTGACATGTTATCATAGAATTCCTGCACCATCAGAAGCCAAAGAAGGAGAGAAATCGGATGTCCCCACAAAGACTCAGGAGACCATGGATTTGACAGGTGCCATTGCTGCAATCACATCTGTGCACAAGGTGTACGACCAGTCAAAGCTCCCCCCGAAGGTGCCCTCACCCTTCAAGAAGTGGAGAGCCGAGCTCGCACCGGACGCCCCTCATGATCACAATGCTTATTTTCCAATGTTGCTATACAAGTAGTCGACTTTTGCATTACACTCGAGGATTTTTCCACTTCTTATTGTTGGCGATAAATCCAGAGATAACCATCATATCTTCCGCGCTGCGGATAAAGCGGAGATGCTTTCGATGTGAATAGGCACCTTCCTCTGTACAGCGTATACAGGAGTTTCTTTGTGCTTTTTATGGATCGAAGCCTAGCAACACTTTCACTTAGGGTACGTTACTCAGTCGCTTAGCTGTGTGACACTCGTGTTCGGTGCGGTTGTACCACCCTGTTTGATCCATCTCTCTTGGTTGAGCATCTTCTAGAGCTCACTGACATATGTATATCAGAACCTCAAACACGAACCGCGCCCACCGGATTTCCCAACGGATGTACCATTGTGATAAACCACTGGCGTGCTCCCTCTGCTGCTCTTCCAAGGCTGTTGACATAGGTTGATATCAAACGCCATGGAAGAGGGGCGTGAAGGAAGCTCGTACAAATAGGAGAGGTGCAACTCGTTTTAACGATATGTTGGAGGAGAGCTCATCGCAATTTATCTACATCTATTATTGATGGAAACTGGATCACTGATCGAGTATCTCTGAACGGCGTGCCAATCTACAGGATATCCCTCAACTCAGCAAGCCATGTATATGGATTACTTTTGCAGTTCCATTGCCGACAACCGCTCTTCACTTTCCAACCGGATTCACATATCTCCTCAGAAGGAACGGGGCGTTCGTTGAGCCAGAGTGTGATATAACGGGTTGGTCAGAGTCTAGCCTGAGATGCAAGAGGGGGCAGTATTTGGAAGCGATAAGTATAGCTTGCACACATTTTGACACAACGGTTTTCCGGGACGGTTCTTACCCAGCTCCCGATAGGTGGGTGGAAACTGCCAAACACTTGCTGGACTACCCTATCCTCGTTTTTGTCATCCACCCGAGGTACTCCGACTGTGATGACAGTACCTCCAGCAGTAACGTTGTCATGAGCGGTTTAGCGTGTCAGGAAGAGAGATGGCACCAAATGCCAAAGTGATAAGAGTTGATGTGACCTTAGCAATTGCGTTTTTTAACGCAGTAGTCGAGAGATTACGATCGAGCACACGAGTAGCGCTGCGCGAGGAAAGAAATCCAGTGTTGTGGAAAGAAGCTGTAGTGATGATCGGAGAGAGTTCAAAGAGCTTAACAAGCTGTATGGATATGAACATTGTAAATATTAGGCAAGGGACAAGATTAAGTTTGCACGCACATAGCCATGGCGCAAGATGAGCCAGTTCAGGCTGCTGCGCATACAAGGCAACAACGAATGGGATTATGCCAACCTGCACAGAAGCCGCTTGGTCAAAAGTAATCATGTTATCCGGAATCTAAGGAAGAAAGAATTGGCTTTGTCGGAGCATATAATACTTTTGCAGTGGAGTCGGCAATTATGAAGCAGTACTGTTGGAAAGTGGTAAACTTGCTGCCTATGTTCGCTTGAAAAAATATGTCAAAGAAACGTCAGTACTATCCTTCTATCTTTGACGCCACTTACACCTTATCCTCTTGAAATAAGTGACACCATGACAGTCGGACAGCTTCCATATTGCCAGCAGCCTCTTCACCAATGACTGCTGGGTACGACTTGACGAAAATGAATCCATTTTCCAATGCAAAGGGTCCAGACCGCTTAAAGTCGGTTTGGCGAGAAGTTCGTCGGAGCCAGGTGCGTCAATCTTAAGTACTAACAGCGAGATAACAGGAAGCCACAAAGCTTCAAGTTGTTGGGTTGACGTGATGTTCAACACAGGTTAGATTGGAAGAGATCGGGAATAAAGCGCAGCTGCGGACAAGCAAGTGAGTACTAGGAATGGCGTAAATTAGTTACGAATTGGCGAGTTAAGTGGTGCCGGTGAGTATTCGGACTTATATGAGGAAGTGTCTGGTGCGGAAGGGGAATACTAAGTCCTGCATCTCGGACGTGACAAAACCAATCCACGTACTAGTTGTGTATTATCAAGATACCGGCCTGATCTCACCAGTAAGTATTGCCAATCCGATACCGAGCCAGTATTTTGGTTGAGTGAAAGGGTATTCGTGGTCCCGTCAGTACGCATACTTACTCTTTCAGGACGAGTGACAATTACGTTAATTGGTTAATTACCATACCAAAGTACAAAGCTGTGTTAAGGCCTTAGAATCAAACACGTACAAACAACCGCCTGAAATGTCCAACGACGCACCACCATCAGCAGCCGCGGGCGCATCCGCATCTGCCCAAGCAGCTGCTTTCGCCAACGACGACCGTATCCACTTTTCCAGAGAGACAGGAACATGGAGGCTAGAGAACGAAGATGGTACTGAACTCGAGTTTGATTCCGCCAAGGGTGTATGGGTTCCGGTGGTGAGTGTGAACTTTGTGGGGCGCTAGTGATCGTGAGGCAAGCAAATTTGGCAGCTTGATGAGGAACTGATCAAAAAGCAACAAGCTGCATATTCGGTGGCTGGCGTGGATGAAGAGGTCAAGTAATGCTATTCAATACGACGACTCCTTAATTAATAATCTCCCCAGACACCAGCTGCGCCCGTGCTCAAACGCGCAAATAAGAAGAGGAAGGAGCCTGAAAACTACACGTCCTATACGCCTCAGGCAGAGCCTTCTGCCAAGCGTGGCAAGAACGATAAGCCAGCCAAGTCGAAAAATACGGCAGTCTACGTTACTGGTCTCCCTGCAGATACTGACGTGGATGAAATCGTCGAGCGCTTTTCCAAGTTCGGAGTTATTGAGGAAGATGATGAAGGCGAATCGAAAGTGAAACTGTACGCACGCGAGGACGGGTCATTTAGTGGAGAAGCACTGGTGGTTTATTTCAAAGAAGAATCAGTGACTTTGGCAGTCAACCTCCTGGATGACGCGGAACTCCGCATAGGCGACGCATCAACGATCATGAGTGTACAGAAGGCGGAATTCCGTCACAAGCATTCAGGCGGGGTAGGAGAGGAAGCAAAACTGCGAAAGACAGTGGACAAGAAGAAGATAACCAGAAGGATCGGCAAGATGCAGAAGTATGTTCCTCCTCTCTCGGACTGCACTGTCATATCTCTAATCCACCTACAGAAAAATTGAAGAATGGGATGATGAAGATGGCTTTGGCCCTGCCAAGAACGAAGAGGATGAAAAGAAAGTAGTTAACAGGAACTGCCGTGTAGTGGTTCTCAAGCACATGTTCACTCTCCAAGAACTCGACGAAGACGCGTCTCTGCTACTTGACCTGAAGGATGACGTGCGTGTCGAATGTTCATCACTAGGAGAAGTCACAAATGTCGTTCTGTATGACGTATGTCCTATGTTTGCTATTCTGCGGCCATATCTGATATCCTTGTAGAAAGAGGCTGACGGAGTGATGTCAGTCAAGTTCAGAGACTCACTGAGTGCTCAGGCCTGTGTCATTGTACGTCTCTCTCTCACTTACCCCTTGGCCAGTATTGATCAACATTCATAGAAAATGAACAACAGGTTCTTCGCCGGAAGACGTGTTGAGGCGTTTTTGTATTCAGGAAAACAGCGCTTCAAACGCAGCGGAGCGGGCGACGACTTGGATGGAGATAACGACGAATCAGAAAAGCAGCGGCTGGATGACTTCGCATCGTGGCTCATGACTGATGGGGACTGATTGGATGTATTATCGTTCCTGCATCGAGCTTGCCAGTCTGACGAAGATACGAACATTCGACTTATTAAACGTATATAATGCATTTCAAGATCTTTGGACATTTATATCAGATAGCAAATTACGATAGCAACCTGAACCATAACACGACAAACCGGACCCCTCTATGAAAGAAATGTGTGCGTATATTTCACCAGCAGCTAAGAAGAGGTTTCGCAGCAACCGTCTCAAATCGCTGAGGCAGTATTGTAGATCAGATCCTCGCCGATAATAGGGGGTGCACATACCTCGACAATGACAGTTCGCTTCTGCTGTTCAAGTTCGTCGACGTTCATCCAGTCCAGGCTGTGGTCAGGCTGGTGATACATCCGCCCTGCATGGCTGTTCCACCTATTGTGCTGAGGTACGAATGGTGACTCAACATGAGACATTGACTTGGACATGACTGCCAGATCCTCCTCTGTCACAGAGTTAGCGAGTGAGTGTATTTCCGGAACAGAGGTAAGCCCGCCCGGACTGCCAGGTGGGGTGAGTTGCTGTGAAGCTGATAGATCATCGGGTGGAAGCCCATCACCAGTGGGGATAAGGAGTGGTTGCGGAGCTGACGACATTCCAACATCGACTTCTTCCTCTTCGTCCTCCTCGATAACAGGTTCTTCGACGCCAAGCCGTTGCAGCCCAGCTTCGACAACGTCCAGGCGTTCAAGATGCTCGAGAACCGTGACACCTGTCGTACCTGGGTGTACCTTCTGAAACTTGGCAGAGAACGGAACGGGGCGGTCGGCTTCTGATGATCTCCGGCGAACAGGTGGAGGGAACTCAGCAGAGTAACTTTGACTGCGTGTACGCCGTGGTAATGGCATGGTGCTGATGGACGGGCGTGGTGATGCAGGTGAAGGACCAACACCAGGGAGACGAGGTGCTTCTTCCATGATTTCAATTTCGTCGTCCCAAACAAGTGCTTTCGTACGGCGGGTCAACTCCAGCGGACCTGCAATAATGAATATCGAAATTGTTTATTTGGCTGCCTTTGGAGCTCACCTTCATCCTAGCAGAGTAGACTGATTAGTTGAACGAATTCAAATGATCCAGCCAACAGTTCCGGCTTACCGCATGTTTCAAAGACTCGATAATGTTATAAGCTTGACCTTTCATGACAGCCAATTGCCTCTGAAATTAAATGATGATATCGTATCGTTTTTATCAAGGTACTCTCACAACTGACCTGGAACATTTTGGGATGGAAGTCAGGGTCAACTGCAAAGAGTTTACGAAGCTGGAAGGTTGTTTCCTCCCACCAGGTATTAGAGGTCAAGAGGGGTAAGAAATGCGCTCGCGTCTTTTCACTGAAAGGACGCCCAATCAAGTTGACAGGGAGATACAACCACCCATAGGTATATGACCGCCAGCCTCGAGGATGCTCATGAGGGAACGAGAGCGAATTGTCTATGGCTGCAATATGTATATGCGGTTGACGTATATAGTCAGACGAAGCAGCGTTAGCTTGAGATGGAGGGATGGCATTGGCGAAAGTTACAGTAGACTGTGATGACGGGGAATGTGTCTCAGCACGACGAATCTGTGGCATCTGAGGATGAGCTGAAGGCTGAGGGGCAACATCAACCAGTTTCTCGTGGCTGCCCTCACAGTACTTGATCATGTAATTATCAGCTCCACGGTCAGTATTTAGCATTAGGTAGTCTGTTCGCGGGGTTAGTCATCAGGAGGAATATGATAGAGAGGGTATCACCAAGTATCACAAGCCTAGTTCAGAGTGGGATGCAGCATAAGAATCTGTGATGCAAAGGGAGCCGACAAACGTACTTTTCTAGTTCTTCTCTAAAACTTTGTTGAAGCGCTCGCGACCAATAGAACGGACGTCCAGATTCGTTGTCTTCAGTAACGTCGAAAAGAGCACGTTCTTCCTCTGGATCTTCATCCTCTATGTCTTCGTCACCAGTCCTCCCGCATACTATTTTCAGTGCGCTAAGAAATCGTTTCGTAGGGAGACCTTTGCGGTGCGATGAATCGTCAAATGTGTCTGCGATAGAGCGGCCGGGCCAAGGATACTTCCGTAGGAAATCTGACGCATCTGATGATTTGTAGATGAGTTTATGCATGACAAGTAAGTAATATAAACACAACCAGTGTATCCATGCAAGAAATACTGCATGCTTCCTATCTTTTCAGGTAGTGGTTTACCTTTCTTGGCTGCACTTCTGTCAATCCAGTCATAGAAGAAGGCCTAAAACACGAGGATTTAGCCAGGAATTCCAAAAAGTATATCATGGGCTCACAGGGCTAGATAGTGAGACGAGTTGTGTACGAGGGACAATATTAAGTCCAAGACGTTCGTCAAGCAGGGATCCCGCAGCCTCTGAGATGTAACTTGAGACGGTAAGTGTCACGCGGGGTGAGCTGCTGTTCTAAGTTGTAAAGAATTACCTGAGATTGGGTATCAGACAGGCCCGTCCAAATGGAATTATCCATCTAAATTGCCGATGTAGCCACTTAGTGGTCTGAAAGATTTGTGAGTGAAAGTCTGGTCGATTATAAAGACACGCACTTTAGGATTCAAGCGCCCATAAGGCTCCTCATCTTTGGGCTTGAATACACTAGTTTTGATATATGGTAAGTTGTCATGTTACTGAAAGCACAATACTCGATACTCACGCAACTGTCTGGACTCTCCCATCAACTTTCGCACGAGCAAAGTAGGATCCAGAAGACCCTTTCACGATCATCTTTGGGTGGATTCCAGCTGATATGGCATTTCGCACTGATTGTGTTAAACTGTTTACTATGAGCTCGGCATTGGATTCCCAATAATCCTAACTTACTTGTCGAAAGTTGCCTGAGACATGGGAGGCTTGTGATCAAGTGTTTTTACCTGTGAACCAAGACGTTACTATCAACACGAAACAGTAGGAGCCATGCAGAGCATGCATTTTGATAGTAAAAACCACAGGACTTACCGTGATGTCACTTCCGCTCCCAAGGGCAGAATGTGGCGCACACGGCTCAAAGACACTCTGCCATATCTCCTTGCGAGAGTAGTCTTCGACTTTCTTCTTCCGTTTAACTTTCTGCGCAATAGATTCAGTCCACCTGAAGACATGAGTTAGCTCGAGACTAATATCGTAACTCAGCAAGCCCCTCGCCGACCTTTTGAATGCATTGTCTAACTTTCGCAAGTCTATGTGTCCTGGTTTGTGTGCTCGGGCACTACGTCCGCGGGCAGCCTTAGCGTGATCCTCCGTATTTTGTTCCTCGACGATAGTTTCATCTTCAACATCTTGAGGCAACTGTTGATAACCGGCAGAGTGGAGCATGATGAATCCCGGGAACCGAGAAATAAGACGCCTATATGACTTCAAGGCCTTTTCAATGCTCTTTCGTTGCGTGAGGTTGATATGAGCCTTCGAGAGTTGAGGCCACGCGTGTCCAGTGCTCGCCGCTTACCAAGTAACTTAATATAGCCACGAGGCTGTAATTTATGTGGCTGTGTTGTAGCGAAACTCCGTCAATGCCGAGGTTCAATAGTGTAAGTTTGGTGTAAGTAGTAGAATATTTAGTCTATGTTCAATGATGGCCACAAAAATAAAGGCTTGTCCTACCTTGCTATCCTCACTGTCAGCAATGCATCAAGCAAGAGGTGTCTCTGGACATCACCAGCATAGTCACAAGAATTGAGAGTTGTAGAATTTCTTGTGGCTGTATCTAATATCTATATGTTTAAAATATTGTATTTTATCGAATAGGATCTCACGAATTGTGCATATCGAGATGTTGGCTTCGTGAATCTATTGATCATTAATATTTTAATACTTGGTTGGTCACGATGCGCCATGGGTGTGTGACCGGGTGTAGGCGCTCCTTTTTTTGAAGTCAGCGACTCTCCCCATTTGGTAACACAGTTTGTTGACGAGCTTTAGGCCGTCAATGCATCAGCCCGTCTCCCCTTAAGCTTCTAGTCTGATTATGAATGGGCACATCAGATTATAATGACGGTGGTCATCGAAATGTTCAGGAGACAAGAAAAGGATGGAAAAGTGGATTTGTGATAATTGTGCCACCGGGACGAACCTTGCCTGCTTTGGATCGGTTGGCACGCTCTCTGGATTCCAAGTGGTATATCCCGAGAAAGCCACTTCCATCGATGTGGTTCAACATTATATCTCTTGAACTGAGACTTTCATCTTTCCAGCGTTGGTGCAACAACTTGAACGGGCAAGATACATCCTATCTCGGCTTTGCACACATCATCAGCTCTGACTTACTCCATGCCATCATCACCTTTAACTCTTAAAATGCAGAGCTCTCGTCGTTTAGCTGCACTATTCACTAATAGCCGTGATGCTAGTCACGAGAAGTCTCGCTGTCCGGACACAAGTCTCTCCAGCTCACTCGTTGAACGCCGAAATCCAAAGGATGGAGATCGCGCCGAGTTTCATTCGGATAGCAGCAATAACATTTCGGAGTATCTTAATCTTGACCTGCCTTGTCCATACCTCCCATCTCGCCCCGTATCTTCTTCATCCGCGATTCATCCGTCAAATTGTTGCCCTTCACCGTCCCCATTCGCTCGTGACGTCGAAATACGATCCCTCTTGCTCTCGTACGAAAATGAATATCCCTCTCCATCCTCAATTATCGAATCTCCTTTACCAGTTGTATCTATTCCTGCTCTTCACCCAGCATCTCTTTTGGGCCGTAACTACTCCCCTCGCTTTCCGGAAGACCACAGGCTCCTCGAGACCTTTGTTCATGATTACCGCCTTTGCGATGAACTCGGCTCAGGTGGATATGGTTTTGTAATGACCGCGGTCGACCGCCAGGAGAACATTGAGGTCGCTGTCAAATTCATCATCAAAGAAAAGGTCCCGGAGCAAGCGTGGATGGAGGACGAGGTCTATGGTCGAATCCCCATAGAAGTACTGGTACTTCATCTCGTAGAACACGAGAATATCATCAAGTGTCTCGAATTCTTCGAGGATGAGCTCTTTTTCTACCTCGTGAGTCATGTTCGCGATATGGGGTTTTTACACCGCTCAGCGAACAGTAGGTTCAAGAACTCCATGGTTCTCCGTGGCACAAACGCAAAAAATCGCATGATGCTCATCCGCATTCTGCCCTTGATGAGATCATTATCCCGCACTTCAGCTCGCCACCCCCCGTATTATCTCCCGCTGCGTCTGAATTTTCGGTTCCGGATTCTGAGCCAGAAACTCCACCGCAGGATTCAGGACATCTTCCGGCCTCAGTTCTCGTAGAAGGATGCGATTCACCCTTAACTGATGACTTGCAGTACCACTCACTTCATCTCTCGCGCAAAACATCTACTCTCGAACCACCTCGTCCTTGTTATACGCGCCGCCCCTCCCATGACCTTTTTGAATGCATAGAACAGACAAAATATAAGCGCCTCTCAGAGAAACAAGCCCGGTATATCATGGCCCAGGTGGTTGAGGCAGTACATTACCTCGATAGTCGAGGAATTTATCATAGAGACATTAAAGATGAAAACCTTGTCATCGACAAAGACTTCAAGGTAGAGTTCTATCTTATAAAATTATTATTATTCACTGACGGTGTGTCTAGGTCAAACTCATAGACTTTGGCAGTGCCGCAATAGAGAACCCTAATGATACGTCCCCATACTACAAACTCTTCTTTGGTACTACTGCGTACGCCGCCTCGGAGGTGCTCCTTAAGCGATCCTACCAAGCCGCGCCTGCCGAGATCTGGACCCTCGGTGTGCTGATGTCATACTTGTTGACCGGGATGTCCCCATTCCCCACCGAAGCGGATGCCATTGCGGGGCACATCGTCCTATCCGAGCTGCCAGGGAAGGGGCTCGGTGACTCATGCCTGCATCTCATGGGCAGGTGTCTCGAACCCAACCCTCAGCTACGTGCCAAAATCAACGAGGTGCGCGGACATCAATGGCTGAAGGGCGCTTTGGATGGTGTGTAGCTCTTATCCTCTTATCCTCTGTCGGCCCATTTTCTTCTGTTTACATATACCTTTGCATGAGCACGCTGTCTTAGAATACACACCCACTAGTACTCATGTACTCGCTATACCTCTTTGTCGTATCTTAACTTGATGTGGCGGTGTAGGCTGTTTAGGTAATTCAAATTAGTGCCGAAAATCAAATTGCGACACCGCGGCAAATTTCTCTCCTAGGAGCAACTCAAGATATTTTGGTGTGGGCCGTGGTGGCATGACGAGTTCCATGAGACCTCGAGGGGTCCAGTCGGACAACATGCTTCAACGTCGCACGCTTCTCAACTCACACAGTCTCGACACTAGTACCATGAATCGTATCGGAGACAACGGCTCAACTACTCTTCGTAGGAAATCATTGAAAGATATTGTTCAGTATGTCCACTGGTCGACTCGTGCGAAGTCCTTACTTACCATCCTCAGGCATTTCACTCCAGCATGGTTTGCTGTCACCATGGGTGAGCCGAAATGCACCTACCTATGCGTTGTGTTGACAATATTTGTAGGGACTGGCTCAATCGCCATACTTTTCAATAACTTTCCTTATGCAAGTGATTCCCCGGTAATGCGAGGGTTTGCACTCGGCTTTTTCTTCCTCAATCTTGTGCTCTTTCTGCTATTCAGCGTCATCACTGCAGCTCGATACATTTTCTTCCCTGGCATCTGGTTTCACATGATACGGCATCCTGTACAGAGCTTGTACATTGGCACGTTTCCGATGGGCGCGACTACATTAATAAACATTGCCAGTGGCGATATATTCCAGACATATGGTTTCGGTGGGAAGCCGTTTATCTACACGGTGTGGGCATGTTGGTGGATCAACGTTGCGATTTCAATGGCATGTTGCTTTGGCATGATACACGTTATGTGAGTGCCCAGTTCACGAATCACGAAGATGAGCTGGAGTCGACATAAGTCCCATAGGATTGCTTTCCAACAACATTCACTCAAGTCCATGACGACTGTTTGGCTTCTTCCCATCATAACTCTCGTCGTCGGATCTTCCTCTGGAGGCGTACTTGTGCCAGCGCTTCAGGTCTATTCTCCCTCGTATGCGTTGCTAACGGCGACATTCTCCGCGTGTATGGTTACAATAGGTCTTACCCTTTCCCTTATGCTACTCACGATATACATCCTTCGGCTGGTCGTATACGGTTACCCCACGGGTGCATCAATCCTGTCCGTCTTTCTTCCTATCGGTCCTTGTGGACAGGCAGCATATTCACTTTTAAACTTGGGGTCTTCTTTCCGTTCACTATTACCTCTAAATTATGGTGATGCCGGCGGATTATTGAGGCAATCTGGAACCGGAGAAGTAGTGGAGGTGATATGCATGGTTGGTGCTATGGTTCTGTGGTCACTGGCGAGTATGTGGATACTCTTTGCGATGCTCGGTCTCGCCTACACCCTCCGTCGGGAACGCATTGAATTCCGATTGTCATTCTGGGGAACTGTATTTCCTAACGTGCGTATCTACCGCTTTTCAATGGGGACGCGCTCAATCCGACTTTTCACAGGGAGTATACGCAAATCTTAACTTGGCCTTGGCGACAACATTTTCGTCGACGTTCTTTCGTGTGTGGGGTTCGATATATTCGGTGGGGACCCTGATATTGTGGGTGTGTATTGCCTTACCTACAATACGGATGGTCCCAAGCGGTCGTATATTTGAAGCTCCGTGTCTGGAAGAGGTCGCAATGGGGGGACCAACGAGGGATGCGGAGAGAAGTGCAGACGATTTGAAAAACTGAACAAGATATCGGAGATATTTTTTTTAATCCTTGTTTATCCGGTGGGGCTGGGCCCTATGCTGGACAATACCTACAATGTTATCGGAGGTTTTTTTTAATCCTTGTTTATTGTCCGGTGGGGCTGGGCCCTATGCTGGACAATACCTACAGTACTATGTTACCGGAGATATTTATGTAGTACCGTTCAGACTTCCTTACATGCAATTTCTGAGGCGAGGCATCTCGCAGGTCTACCTGTCCTCTAGTAACGAAATACTGAGTTGACTTGTACCCAGATACTTCCAGAAGGCTGCAAAATGGGCCTTTCATATCCCCATCGAGTCAATCTCTGATGTGTACAAAGTCTTGTAAACAGATTTCTCTTTCATTTATTCTAAGATCGCGCACGGAGGCAGGTGTATAAAATTACCACCACCACTTCATACTAAGCTGATTACTCCGATTCACCCATTGTTAGCGACTGGCGTAGGTGGACTACGTTCTTAGCACCTGCTGCAGTCACCCGTCTCTTAGGATTAGGGTCGATTAGCCAGGGCAACAGGAATGCTAGAATAGCGGGGATGGCGGCGGTTTCGAACCTGCGAAAGTCCTCGTCAGGGGACTACCGCTACCCCAACCGCGCCGACCTTCTCGTTCTGTTAAGGAATAATACTACTGACCGTATATACCTAGTGGGAGTACAGGTTCCGTCGCACGACTACAACCGCGTCCAATGATCATTGGCCAGTCGCATCCAGTAACCATGACCCACGCTGGGTAGTTTACGGTTGGGGAGGGCTAGGAAGCTTCAGACCTCGAGCCTTGTGGCCTTTAACCCCTCGAGACCCTAAACCCACTCACCGAGGTACCCCTCTCGGTAGTTTCTGAACCGAAAAGGGATTTGGCGTCTTCGTGCGAGACGATGCTGGATCCCACAGTTATGTGCCGACGGAGAGTGTGAGGACCGCAGTATTGAAGATGGTTCACAAGGTGATTCAACAACTTCCCACCAACGGCCGCATGTCTCATCGGTCCATAATTCATTCCCTAGAAGAATACACGTCATATAGACTTGAAATAGACTCACAGCATGTAGGTAACGGACCTCCGCATAAGCTGTGTTGTCAACTTGTTATGGAAAGTCAAAGGAATGGTAGAGTCGCGTCAGTGAGGCTCAGCGCTCATGACCAGTTTGGTGCATTTTTTGTGGCGTATATCAAATTGACGTATAGTTTGGTTACGAGTCTGGTTAATGATGTCACCCCCAGCGTCACGTCTAGTGTGGTCTAGAGTAGGACAGCGCTATGTTGTGACGCCTTCTCGGATCTCCGCTACGTAGTCGCACTGCAGTCATTGGTGAGTACCCGCAAATTGTTCGTTTGGTCATATAATTTGACCAGAGGTTTCCTCGACAAAACGCAGGTTGTACTCTCGCTGGGAGCAGAGAATTGAAGTGTACTTGTTCTTTCCTGTTTCAATTGGAGGTTTTCTGTCCATAACCCATGGCAAATGCTTATGGACACTTTGTCAAACGGAAAACTCTAACCCCAAAATGTTCCTCGGCATCATTTGAACTGTACAGCTGGCTTTGAGCTGGCGCAAACCTGATGATGCGAGTCCAAGATGTCATATATATGTTGTTGGAAATGGGGACTGTGTGTCATAGGTTGCAGACGTACGACTCCTCTTCCTTGAGTGCAGATATCTTGTCTGTTTTCAGTGTTCGATTAGCCTCGCCGATATGCTGGGGGGACCTCCGCGTAAATCATGGAGAGAATGTATACGGTACGCGTGACACTATGTCCATGGTAGCCTCCTGATTGATGTGCAACAGGAATTTTACTTGGGCCTGGCATACAGTGATTATGGGCACTGGGGGTACATCTGCCCTGGTTCACGCATTTCCATACTGGAATGGTAGTCCGGCGATCAAGGTCGTCACTTTGATGGTTTTTTATCTTAATCTCCTGCTCTTTGTCTTGTTTACTGGGGCGACTGTCGCGAGATACATAATGTTCCCTGACACCTGGCTCAAGATGATCCGACATCCAACTCAGGGCCCACTCATGGGCGCATTTCCAGCGGGAGCTACGACATTGATCAATATAGCATTGGTAAGCTTGCTGTTGTTCGTTTATGCTTACTGTTGATGGTCTCTCATTTATAGGTAGCCCATCAAGAATGGAACTTTGGAGGCACTGGTTTTCTATATACCCTCTGGGGTTGCTGGTGGCTCGATTCCCTTGTGTCGTACCTCATCGCTTTTGGAATGCTGCATGCGATGTAAGCACAGAAGTTCGAATTTTCATGGCGTATCATTGATGGTGTGGCTGACAGGATGGTGGAACAGAAACACGCCCTTGATACCATGACTGCTTTATGGCTACTCCCAGCTATCAGTCTCATCGTTGCATCTTCAACCGGCGGTTTACTCTCAATTGCGCTAAAAGCTCACTCGATGGAGTTGGCCATCTCAACAGCGCTGTTCTCGTTGACTATGGTTATCATCGGTCTCAGTCTCGCGTTGATGATGATCACGGTGTACCTCGCACGCCTTGTCATAAGCGGTCCGCCAGAGAAGCTGCTTGTTTTGTCTTCTTTCGTCGCATTGGGCCCCTTCGGTCAGGGAGGATACTCGCTACTTATTAATGGCCGGAACCTGTCTGAAATCCTTCCGCTGTACGTCTCGGGCACTTTCCCAGAGGCTGGAGGGCAGATAATATTCTCGTTCTGTTTCTGTGGTGCTTACATCCTATGGTCGATGGGCATCTGCTGGATCATCATTTCCTCCAACTCTATATTAAGTGTGCTCAAAAAGGAGGGAGCTATACCCTTTTCCATCACGTATCAAGGGTTGATTTTCCCGAATGCTGTATTTGCCCTTCTCTCGGTACAGCTTGGGAACGTTCTGAACAGCGACATTTTCCGTGGATTTGGCGCAGCGTGGACAGGTCAGAATATCCGTCATTATTCTTTTCTAGACCTACTTACCATCTCTGATAGTCATTGTCTTTATTCTGTGGCTCAGCATCTTTGCGAGAACCAGCCTAGCAGTCATTGACAGGTCCATATTTGTAGCGCCGGATATCGCAGTTCCACTCTTACCACTTGAGTTTACCGACAGTATAAAACCTGCGGGAACCAGCCATGCTATTTCTATACAAGGCTAGAGTAGCTTTAAGTAGTACCCTTTCGAATTGGGCATGCATACATACAAAGTTGCGCACATGGTAGAATTCCCTTGTAACCTTGACACTGAGAATTCAAAATCACCTGGTTCAGTGTCTAGCTATCCCTGACGGCCACTTAAACTTAGTAGGAAGAGGGTTTTGTCAGATGAAATCAGTGCGGGATAACTTCGAGTGAAGTTTTATCGACCAGATATGCTAGTACTAGTACTATAAGCGACATTAGGCATGTTTACTAGCTAGGAAATATGGTTTAGAACCAATGAGGAGCATGGCAGATCATTCACAATGTTTCGGCGCTGATTAGTTCAGCGATTAGCTAGCAACTTTACATACCTTGAAAGCTTGAACTTAACAAGTTCAGAATTGAGCACACCGCTTATTGAATAATTGGTTCACCGTCTTGAAATCTCTTCCACCAATCGAAAAATTGGTCATGGGAAGGGGAGGCTCGCCGAAGGCGAGCCGAGGAAATTGGAAGGGGTCGGCCTTCGGAAGTCGGAAAACCATCCCAGGGGGAAGCCTCTGGCGGTACTTTCAGTACTTTCAGTTCGCCGAGTTTGCTGTATTTCCACTGCATCAGCAAAACCCAAATGGGGTATGTGGCACTGCACATAGCCATACAGTGACACAGGGTTCACAGGGAAGTCCCCCCATGTGCAGCCGAGCCACAGCGTGTGCTTCGAATGTGTCATGCTGTGCAGTTCGGCACAGCTACTGCCGGACCGTACAACCCTGCACAACACTGTAGCGCTGTGTGACACTGTAGCGCTGTATGACACTGCGTAGTACAAACCTGCTATGTAGTGTTATACAGCGGCGTATGGTGTTTCGTAGCAGTACTTTTAATATAGCAATTATTCTGAATTTTGCACGCAGATTAATACCAAAGTCAATGATGATTCTATTCAAATGATGCTGCAAAACATAGTAGTAGTAGTAGTACTAGTAAGTATATAAAACTAATCCAAATCAACGTCCCACTCAGAACAGCTGTTGTCACCTTCGTTAGTACCAAGGCCAGCGCCATGTGCGTTCCTAACTCGATGGTCAATATACTGCTACTTTTGTCGAAAATCATGCGGAAAGACTTACATGCCTTCCAATGCCCAAGCTTTGAGCATTTGACGTAGTTTCGGTCCGTGATACTCATCTCTGTTCGTGCGGTTGAACAACGTCGAAATGCGGTCATAGGCAGTCTCTGAATCCTCGATGGGTGTCTGCTTGGCGCCATTTACCTGGCCATATTTGCTGTAGATATAAATCACGTTACGAATCTTAGTAGAAATCAGTAAATGCGCTGTGAGCATGCTACAGGAACACTCACGATAGTCCCAACGAGGAAGAGCGCTGGGGGCGGAATGGTCTTCTGAAATTCGGTGAATTGCTTCAGTGATTTGGAACCATTGTCATAAAATGACCTATGGCAAACGATGCGGACCGCGAGATTCGCAAAGTTAGATGCACGGCCCTACTAAATATTTAGAATCGATTATCGAAGACGACAAAGAACATACCTCAGCATCAGGATGGCCGCACAAATACATTGCTTTCTTTAGCAAAGCGGTTGCCTTGAGTTTGACACTATCAATTGTGTTCCCGCTGACGCCGAGTGCTAGATCGTATGTCATCGGAACGACGGTAAGCACGATCTGCTTGATCTTGCTGCGGAATGTCGCGGTGTCATTGAAAACCTGAATCCGCACGACTTAGTGACATATGTGAGAACAGCTCAGAGTACCTACCACGGTAGCCATCCCCGGTTTGAACTCAGGGTAGAAACCTTTGTAGGCGTGTCAGTGGGTAGTAAGATTGTAGTTAGAGAAGGGGAAATACCTTTCTCAAGCTTGCGTTTCTGCTCTTGCCATTGTACAATTGCTTCTGCAATCATTTCACCACAGACTCCGGTATTACCGATGGACTCCTCTTTGTCGGGAAATGGGACGGAAATAGCGAGATGAAGTCTGAAATTAGCCTTTGCGTGGTCAAGAAGTTTTTGCCAGAGTGGCGGGTAGAACCCGACATTAGTTGCATCGCAATTAGTAGCAGTACCCTTTGCTTTCTTGGTGCAGCAGCGCTTCCCAGTATTCTCAACCTCATCAAGATCTTCCAAGTCGTCCTGCTGGTCATCAGAGTCATCACTTGACAGGGAGTTGCTCGTGCGAGCACACTTAGTCTTTGGGCAGTGATTTCGTACGCTGTTCAAATATGATGGGGATGGAGAACGTGGCCACTGGTTTTTCGTGTGGTGAGCCTGGAGGACATCATAATTGATATTAGGATGAAAAAGGTGTCAATACACAGTGACAAAATGGGTGAGTGCTTACAACTACTGCTGGAGCGCCCAAATGACCCGGAGCTTGTTGGTTAGTGCTCTGCAGGCTCGCTCGCGTTGGCGCCTGAGCTACATTGATGTTCTGGTCTCTACCCTTCCTGCTAGTGGTGCGATCATTCCGATGATCACGGTCCATGTCAGCCACTCCCGTGTCGTCATAATCCTCGTCCTGCGAATATGCACCTCGATCAGGTACTTGTGCAGGGCATCTGACTTGGTTGTTGCTAGGGTAGGTTTGATTATCGTGGTCTGAGGGGTCTGGCATGATGTCATCACTCCCATGAACATCCTGCTCCGAGTCATAGTCCATATTGTCATTATTGATGTCGTCTCCTGCAAAATCTCCATCCTCGTTAGACACGTCATCCTCTTCAACGTCCACTTCTTCATCATGATCCGCCTCTTCGTTACCTTCTTCAGTTCCATCAACAAACATGTTTTGGCTAGTGAAGGAACCAAAAGCAGGAGGAGTACGAGAAACGGTGTGATGGGGTGTTATGGTGGTCGATGCTCATGCTGAACGGCAGAGTTGATGGGAATAGATGAGCCTGAGCGTTGGTTGCTGACAGACCGAGGAACTTTGTGAGAAACAATATGAGTGTTGACAGACTGAGGAACGTCACGAGAAACAACGGGATGCTGGATGGCTGGAATTCTGATTCCATCAGCCTGAGTGTCATGAAGAGAGGTGCCATGAGAGACGCTGCGAGAAGCACCATGAGAAGCACCACGAGAAGCACCACGAGAAGCACCACGAGAAGCACCACGAGAAGCACCACGAGAAGCACCACGAGAAGCACCACGAGAAGCACCACGAGAAGTACTGTGAGAAGCACCCTGAGAGGTACTGCGATCATGGACTCAGACATAGGGCTGGGCAGGAGGTATCGTCAAGTCAGGCTGAAGTTCTGTTTGATGGGACTGGAGCGGTTTGGAACCGACATATGCTGAGGGAATTGGACGATCCTGAAATCCAAACCTTCCTTGGTCCATGACGTGTAGAGCAGGTGTGGGACCTGTGGCAGTGGGGCCTGACTCGGATGCCTCCTGCTGAATACTAGATATTAGTGCTGAGAAATGAACCAGACCAGGCGGGTACTTACTATTACACTCAAGTTCCTCTCAAGCTGGCGAGGTGCCGCTTTTCCTCTCCCCTTCTTCTTTGTCACTAGCGGAGCCATCACATTTTCGGGCTCATCAACAGGAACAACGACATTCCAAACCTTTGATTTGCCAGGTGCTCTGTCTGGAGTCTGGATAGCATTCCCGATCTTCTCTAGCTGAGAATTTCTTCCTCCAGCACCAGTGCCAGGTCGGTTTGTACGGTGACGGGGAGCCTGAGGTTGGACTGACGTCGCTGGTTCATCGTCGTTGATGCCATCTGATTCGACAACTCATTGCTTTTTCTGTCGGCCCATGGTAGTAGCACACGACTAGATGAATGACAGAGAAATCGAACCTGCAAATCGAAGTTAAACGTGGCTGTACAATGTTTAATTACTAAGTAGTAGTAGTATCCGAGTCCGAGTCGTACCGGCGCGTTAACGTTACATACCAATCACGTACTAGTACTAGTACACTTCAGCAGCTGACTCGGATGTAGTACTAGTAGTTACCTCCGTCCCTACTCAATGACAGCCCACTGCCCTAACTGTTTGAAACAATTTAAGAGTGCTCAGGCAGTTTCGCGACACCTGAGCCAGCCCCTTACATCCTGCCTACAATGGATCAATCAGCTTGAGAGTGCAGCGCAAATTTTGCAAAACTCACAGTTGATGGACCAGCACGCAACTCCTGACTCATCTGAGTCGTCATCTGACCCTCATCATTCCAGAACACCAAGTCCTTTTCAAGATTCCCTAACGGGGGAAAAGGCGGATGCTCACTGCGGCATGAGTGACTTGGACTATTTCTACGGCGATGACGGAGGCACGGCGGGCTTCGAGAACGACCTGCCAGGGTCCGTTGAAGAGCCTTTGGGCAGCCAAGCTTCGGAGAAGCCTTACGTCGAGCACTTCAGGGATGCTGCAAAGGTATATCAGCGCAGCCAGACCTTTCTAGATAGGTTTAACATGGATCCCTATGCAGTACATCGCGAAGACAATTTGTACTATCCATTTGCGTCCCGTCAGGATTGGGAGCTCGGCAGTTTTCTCCTGTGCTCGTCATTAAGTATGGCAGCCATAGACGAGTTCCTGGGGCTGGAACTAGTACATCTTGAGTTAGTGAGCGTGTTGCTGTCACAAGTGCTGATTTCTTCTAAGGTGAAAGCATTGCCCCTCTCCTTTTGTACCGCCAAGGAGTTATGCAGGCGTTCTGAGCTGCTGCCTTCTGTTCTGAAGTGGCAGTACCACGTCATCTTGACGACTCACCCAACAAAGAAGCCTCTACATCTTTACTGGCGTGATCCGTTGGATTGCATCGAATTGCTTTTTAGCCACCTGCTCTTTGCAAACAAAATAGATCTCACACCTCAACATGTGTATGATACAGCGGAATGTACAGTACAAATTTACAGTGAATGGGTGACGGGGGACACAGCATGGTCAATGCAGGTATGTACTCTACAGTATCAACGATCTTCAAGCTCGTCTTGCTAACTCTCACACCCTGTCATAGTCACAACTTCCAGATGGTGCGACATTGTTAGGCATCATACTTTCCTCCGATAAAACCAACATTACCAACATGACTGGTGGACGTGTTGCTCACCCGCTCTTGATCAGCCTTGCCAATATCAAGATGGCAACTCGAAATAAGGCATCCTCACATGCTTTCCTCCTGACAGCGCTGCTTCTAATTGCGGAATTTTGCATCTGGTGAAGCGGATGCAGAGTGTTCTCGAAGCCCGCTTGGTCCACCAATGTCTAGATATTGTGCTGGAGCCGCTCAAGCAAGCTGCACGCATCGGGCGGATGATGTCAGACCCACTTGGGAACCTCAGATATTGTTTTACCCCCTTAGCCTCATACATTGTCGATACACCCGAGGCATGCATGCTCGCATGTGTTCGAGGAAAGACTTCGCCGGTAACTATGGCTATGTACGAAAATTTCGGAGATGCCTTCCAACACCCCCCTCGAACAGCTAAAATGACTCTCAGCCAGCTTTCAAGCATCAATTGTGATCCCCTTGACATTGAAGGCTACTTCAATGCATGTGCCGCCTTCCGCCTGAGCGGTGTGGCCCAGCCATTCTGGCGCGATTGGCCACTTGCAGATCCGCATCTGTTTTTGACTCCAGAATCCCTGCATCACTGGCACCGTGAGTTCTATGATCACGATGTTAAGTGGTGTCTCGCAGCTGTTGGTGAGCAGGAACTAGACTTTCGCTTCTCCGTTTTACAACCACTCACGACGTTCCGACGCTTCCATTGCGGTATTTCAAAGCTTAAACAAGTCACTGGAAGAGCCCAGCGTGACATGCAATGTTATATTGTTGCTCTCATTGCAGATGCAGCCCCCCATGGCATTGTCATAGCTATTCGCGCGCTGATGGATTTTCGCTACTTATCACAGGCGACAACGATCAATCAAGAACATTGTCAAAAGATTCTTGGCGCCCTCGTGGAATTCCACAAACACAAGCAAGATATAATTGCTTGCGGCACGCGTCGAGGTGCCAAGAGCAAACAGGTCCTCGACAACTGGCATATACCCAAACTGGAGTTGATGCAGAGTGTCGTGCCCAGTATACGTCAAGTCGGTTCTCTCTTGCAGTGGTCTGCCGACACCACCGAGCATGCTCACATCACCCTTATCAAGGATCCTGCAGATTCCACCAACAACATCAATTATGATGCTCAAATATGCCGGTTTCTTGATCGCCAAGAAAAGTGTTGAAACTTTCAGATCACAACATCAATAATCACTCGGTCAGAATCACAATCACAACTTGAAGCCTCTGCTTCCTCATCTCGAATGATGGACACTGATTCTGAACATCATGACTCGGATGAAGGTCCACTGGCATATATTGATGAAGCTCATTTGCAGACAGTTTTGGATGATCTCTGGGGGTTGAAGCATGTTGTGACCAAATTTTTCAGAAAGGCAGAGCAAATCTCTTTGGACATCAAAGCAGCCAGACCTCTCCGCACATTTGTGGTCGGTGCAACATTCACCTCAATTTTGATCCTTCCATACGACACATACCAGTCGATGTCATTGCTGAAAAACTATCTCTACCCGACTTGCGGGGAGCACTCGCTGACTATATTCAACAAGAGGGTACTACGGCTCAGAAATTCCACTTGCTGGGGGGACAACGCCGAGCACTGTCTGATGCACCTCTTCCATTTGACGACCTTATGGTCTGGTTCAAAGTGCATGTGCAGCAGGCATTGTACCATACCCCGTCAATCATTCCTCCTGCTCTCACGGTCAATGCATCTCCCCCGAGCGCAACTTGGAAGCATGGCCACTATGATGCTGCTATTTTCGCCGTTGATGACACCAGACATGAACAATGGCCCACTAGTGGGCTTAAAGGTACATTTTTCAAATGTTCATTTGTATATTATGTCTGAGTTTGACGTCTGAGCAACTTGCAGGCCATGCTGTTGTTGAGGTGCACCTTATCATGCAACCACTTCCTCCACGAGGAACTAGTAGTAGTGCCTCTTGGGCTGCGCGTTTCCTTACGTATGTTCAACGGTTGGATGTCATGCCTCAGTGACATGGCAACTTACTAGAACACACAATGCAAATGCATGTTTTAAAGCATGCAATGCGATCAGCAGGGACTCCTTTTGGTGACATCCTCCCACTAGATCAACTTCGTTCTCTGGCTCACATTATCCCCCACTTTGGCTGTGTTGCCGATTCACATCTAACAGCGGAAAATAGTGCTCATTTTGCTCAGACGTTCTTCTTGAACAAATACATTGACAAGGACTTCTACTATGCTATCTCAAACTCTGAGCCATAGTAGTTTTTTCAATTGTGTTAAAGTAATATATCTATATCAATGGTTCAAGAGCTCTATGCACTCGGTGTATGGCACTACATATCACTATACATTACTGTAGCATCATGGAATGTACGCTATCCTGCAAGGATCCGCTGTGTAGTGATGTACAGCACTACCTCGGGCACGTGGCTTTCGGCTGACTAAATCTGACTGTCAGTGGGGCAGGCCCTGATTGGCAGGCCACTGGTTGTTGTCATCATACCTCTCTCTCAATGCCTGTGACCAGCACAATCATGACTCTTCCAGTTATTTATTCTAAGTTCTCAAAGAGTTCCAAGTCTTGGCTCCCAAAATCACCATCACACAACTTGATCTCCCCTCCTCCATGTGTACAACAAAAACCCCCATGTTCCTTGCACCATCATGTTCCAACAGACACAGAACTTTATGACAAGCAAGTTCTTGAAGACCTCAAGACAGCAATAAAGACAAGACTCAGCATTCAATTTACAGACTCGGATAATCAAGATTCTTTAAGCTTAGGTTAGTATTTCTCAGATCGCTTATCACCTACCAATCTTCTTCCTAACCATTCATCATCACAAAGACCACTGTGCAGTCGTCCTCGAAGCACTTCAACATCCTCAAGCCAATACAATCGTAGGCTGATTTATACTTGTCGTAGATTAATCTTTACCATGATCTGAGGTCATTGCCAATATTACGCCTGCAGAATACGCAGCAGTGGTAGCATTTACGTCGGAAGAGCGAGATTTCGAAGCCAGAGCAAAGTGAACCTCAGAGTAGTAATTGAGTCGTAATAATACACTGATCACATCCCATCTCTTACTACAGATTCGTCTACTTTGCGGATACTCAAGATCTTCATATCATGCCCCCACTTCCCGTCCACGAACAACCAGCTGCACACCTTGTGAAGGCCGTCAACAAGTTCACGGAAGCCATCCCTTATGACAAACTACTGATCGACATCACTATGCACCTCAATCACCATATCCAAAACAAGGACTCCATGAACATTCCAGACCTACACCTCACCGTCACAGCACAACCACCGGAGGATATGGAGTCAGATGAGATGGCGGTAGCAAAGCCGGTTTCCAAATGGGTTGGAGAATGTGGGCTTTCCTCAGATATGAACTGCATGGTGCGCAAGCTGAGCATCACATGCGACGGTCATCAAGACATCGATTACGCTATTGTCATATCCTTCAAAGAGCGAGCCAAATGGCAACAGCCTAAAGAAGACAACATCACTGCCCAACAAATTCGCTCGGCTCCTGCATTGGATTATGAGGAGTTCATCCCTCCCCGCATCAAGAAAAGCTTGAGGTTTGGACCAGTGGAGCTCAAGTCTCATATCTGGATCGATATCTCTGAGGTCCGCTACACCGTGTATAAGCGTGGCACAGATGGTCGCTTTGATTTTAACAACAAGAATGCTGCTACATTCACAGAGGGGGTGTGTGTATATTCATCTTATTAGTAGTACTACTTTCTGATCTCAACTCGCCCCCTGCAGACCCTTTACCCTACGTTGCAGATGGATGACGTTGAATGGATGTTGAGTGACGCTGCTGAGAATTTGAAGGCGTATATCATATCATTGATGGAGGGTATGGCGCTTGAGGAGGCTGCAATTCAGAGTGTGCGTGATTCCCATCCTGTTTCCGAGCCTGTTTGGATGGCAGCTCTCAACTCTATCTCTTCCACGATATACCTCACAGCTTACTGCCGCTACTTGGATTGGCGCAACCATAAATACGACAAGCGAAAGATGACACACATTGATGTTCAATCCTCAAACTTCAGCACCCAACCAACAAGTACTTCCGAATTCTCGTCGATTCTGACGACTTCCTTATCTGGTGCAACGACTTCCTCAACCGATGCGACGGTCTCATCCTCTGCTGGGTTATCGCTTGATGTGCAGCCAGAGCGCTCAGCAAAGAAGTCGAAGATCCAGCCTGAGGGAAAGCATGAAGAGTCTAAGGCGAAACCAAAGAAGAGGGAGAATGGGAACGGGAACGGGAACGGGAACGGGAACGGGAACGGGAAGGGCCGTTAGTAGGCTCTTGCCGTGTCGATTGTTGAGGTGAGTGTCTGTCGTTAGACTTGGTTTCCTCTAACACTGACAATTTACATGATCAGTACTAGTACTTAGTTCCATCTTCACTTGTTCTGTTGTGCTGCTCTTCAAATTTGAATTCACTATCTTGTTGATCTCCTCATTGTTGTCATCCATGTCGCATTTGTTCTTGTACTTCTAGGACCGCACGAAACATACTACTACTCATCTAGATACCACACGCGTAGTACTATGGATGTTTCTCGCTGAATGTACCGTGATATTCGCATACTAGCAGTATGCCTAATTTGTCACATCACGTTTAACCACTGCCAGTGAGTCAGCGTGACTCGGGAAAATTTGTTAACAGCACAACTTGAAAGAGTCTTGAATATGTCCTCCAGTGCCCAACTTGTGACAGCCTCATCTCTTAGAGGGATTTCACTCGATCGAAGACACTCGCATCCTGATGAATCCCAGACCCATCCAGCACAACTTGAAGCAATTCATGGAACGCTTGCGCTGGTACCACCAAAGTCAATACTACTAGCAGGACCTCCCCCTAAGGTCTCCAACCTGAGCACAGATGGACAAGTCATGAACAGCATGTCATCCATTCAATCGCACCCATCGACCATTCACCACACCCCGTCCTCGTCCATCTATCAGGCTCAGGCTCAACATACGTCTACTACTATCCCAGTACCCACTACTACTATGCAAAGCATCTCACACCTTAACTGGAAGCGCGTTGGAACTCCCAGGGCTATTGGTGCTCTGCGAAACCGATCCCCTGCATTATTGCATCACTTGGCCACGCCAATTGTTGCGCATTCTGCTACTAGTAGGTTGAATGTGGACAAAAAACTCCCATCACCTATATTCCCGATAACAACGGAGCCAAACTCCGACTGCAAAGACAGCGATAATGTAAGTTCAACGGTACCCATACAGATCCAAATGATAATGTTGCCCAGGAATCTACTAACTCCAATGACACCCGGGCTAGCAAGGAATTCAAGGCCCAGCTTGTTTTGAATGTGACCCGAGCACAGCGAGATGTTCGCCTGGCGGAGAAGACGCTCGCAGACTCCGTTCTCAAGCAGAATGTCGCACTTGGGAAACTCTACGAGTTCGAGGCTACAGAAGCTGAGAGGAAATTGGAGGATGCTGATATCGACATTGGTTATGTACACCATTCGGTCCGCAAAAGTGGAATCACATTGTTGGAGGACTTTGCTAGTACTAGTAAACCTCGAAAATACCATCGCAAATCTACTAGTCACATTGATAGTGATATGCTCAGCCCGGAAGTAGATTTAGCTTGCTCACCACCACTGGCAGGTAATTGTACTCTGTTAAATTCGTTTGACCACTTCTACTACTGACACTTTTTTATTCACAGGATCTCCGAGCGCGACTCCGAGTCAAACACTCGATTATGATGTGGCGTCCAATTCTTTGGGCTTCAAGTTGTGAAGCAGTAATACTAGTACTAGCCTCTATACTGTTCCAATTCCATGTCCCATCTACTACTAGTATTGTACATACTTTGAATCAATGTTTGTAAATGCTGGCTTTAAAAGTTGCTCTTCCTTCAAGTTTAAACTTAGACTCGGAGGTCACTTGTCACAACCAAGAGCTGGTACCAACTTCTCGAGTCGCTCGCTGTAGCGCGATGTGTGGTGCTATGTCGCGCTGTAGAAATTTTATATATACCGTTGTCGATCGCTACACATTGCTACAGAAGTCTGCACCTGCTGTAATATGCTGTAAGCCGCCACGGTAACTGTGCTAAATTTAATGTTTTGCTGATGTGGCTTTCGGTCAAGACGATTGAATACATAGTAGGTGAGACAAAGTCCCAACAAGAATTAAATTAAGGTGTTCAAATAATACCGGCACAGTTGATATATTGAACGTTGAACGTTTGAATGCCCACTGCTTGCACTGATCATCACAAAGTTCCAAACAGAATTCAAAGTGGTACATGACTTGGTCCTATCTTAGCCCATCTAATTTAACTCTTCACCTGTTTAATTTTAACCGGTGAGAAACACGTATCAAATCTTATTTTATTACAGTCAATCTAACCTGGTTTCCAGTTGCCTGACGCTCAGTTGCGTCAATGCCACCTCTAAACATCGTGGTAGGCTATACTATTCTTGTACTGGATGCTACTAACATCATCTTACCTTCCTTAGGACTGTCATCCTACCAGCTCTGGACCGTTGTCCTACCACTCACCACTCCCACATCCGCTCGCACGTCCCTCTCGCTCAATGCCACCTCTAAACATTGTGGTAGGCTATACTATTCTTGTACTGGATACTAACATTCATCTTATCTTCCTTAGGACTGTTGTCCTACCAGCTCTGGACCGTCGTCCTTGTTGTCCTACCACTCACCACTCCCACATCCGCTCGCACATCCCTCTCACCGCTCGCACTCACCTCACACATCCGCTTGCACTCAACCATGGTGCATTGTTCAATGGTGCGTTATTCTCTCACTCATCTACCTACTCTACCCTTTCTTATATACCTACTGTACCTCTTTCTTATATCAATTGAATTCTTTTTACATCACCCATACAATAACTCACACACAAATGTCTACTTACTCTCGATTGAATTCTTTTTCATATCACCCATACAATAACTCACATTTACTTACTCTTTCTATATCTTTCACTCGTCCTCGTCTTTGACATCCTTGTCCTCATTCTTGTCCCCATCGTTTTGTTTTCTTCTTCTTCCTCCTCCTCTTCCTCTTCCTCCTCTTCCTCTTCCTCCTCTTCCTCTTCCTCCTCTCCATCTCCGTCCTCACTGTCACCATACTCACCATCACCATACAGTGTCACCTGCCTTCGGATTTTTGATGTGGCGCACTTCACAGCGGCGACCCGCATGGCCTTGGTAATGTTTTCTGCCTGCTTGAAGGTGCTCGTGTGTTTGTACACGTCTCGGATCATGCCTGGCTGGAAGCCTGAGCGGTTGCAAGTCTCACCACTTTCTCTTCAAAGCCGAACTGCGTGAACTGTGCGATATCCACAGTGTGGATTTGAGGGTCTATGTGAGGAATCCTGGTGTTGGCCTCTGAGCTGCTGTTGATGGTGACAGCTTTCTCGGTATCTTCGATCTTGCTTGTCTGGCCAGCGCCAGCACCCGTTTTCAAGGAAGTATGCAAGTGTGGGGTCATTGAGTATATTACTGTGTACTAGCTCTCATTAGCTTGAATTTGCTTCCCTGAATGAACGATAGCTAGGAAAATTAAATGTTCTCAACCCACCAATTAGAAAATAAATCAAACAGCGATTCAGTGCAGCAGTTAACACAAAATTGAATATTGGCAGCGTGGTGGTTGAAGTAGTTAAGATAAAAGAATCCCGACCCCTAAAACACGTTGTCATTCCATCCCCGCCACCCAAGTACACACATTGCACTCATGTCGGTCTTTGAACCGAAAACAATCCTTACTCTTCTCAAGAACTCGACAGCCGTCTCTCCTCTCGAGAAAAACACCTTCGAGAAGAATTGGAGGGTTAGCATGAGTTTATTCTCTTGAACGGCTTGAAGCGCGCGCACTCGGTACCTCCTTCGACTAACCAAAAAAAAAGGTAGAAAAACATGTCAGCACATGGAATGAGGCATGCAGCCATATGAACAACTCACGTCCGCAGTTTCAGCTACAGTGGGAGTCTGAGATTGTCGAGTACGTCCAGTTCCTGTGGGAGAAGATGAGAAGACGGTCAAAGAAAGGCGAGACCAACAAGCTGGGAGTCAACATACCATTGCTTGGGCCTCGGTTTATGCCTCCATCCTACCTGCACATCCAGAAGTGGTCAGGTGGTGGAGCCGTTGATCTGACGATACAGTACCTCAAGCCACTCAATATTGTGCACCCATTCTACTACCCACAGCTTGCACGGTGTCCGAGATGCGGGTCTGACAAGGACATGACTTGGGAGGGATGGACAAGCAAAGGACCTCGAGAACTCCACGGTATACTCTGTGAAGAGATGGCTCTCGGTGCACAACTGCGGTGCAACCGCTGCAAGGAGACATCAAAGTCAAAGCTGAAAACCAGAAACAGCACCACTCACCATTCGGACTTGGTGGACTCAAGCATTGAGGGCTATTGCTTCACAATGACCAGTGCCATGTATTGGAAGTTTTGGGAGCACTGGAGAATACCACGTGAGTCTTGTGCACCGGCAGAAGACCTGTGTCAGTTGATCTGACATATTCAGACCTCAGCAGGGGGCATACCGATCTTTTTCTACCGGTGTGCATTGACACGGGACTTGTTCGACCTGCTCGTCGAGTTACGGCCATCTTCGACATCTGCAGGTCTTGAAGAACGCATCCGACGTAAGTATCATGCTACGTCATCGATGCAGCAGCTCAATGCACTTATAGAGCTGCATCTATTCGAATATAAGTGCCGAATGCTGGAATATCTCGAAGCAGTCAGCACTTACGAATCTTCAAACAGCTCAAACTCACGCACACTTGGACTCGGACATTACTTTAACCATGGCGCCGCTGGTAGCATGACCGCAGGATCTGGGCTTCAAGCGTTCTCAGAACCAGATGACCAGCTCGGCTACAATAACAAGTCAATCTCAAATGAAATAATAACTGAGGTCTTCGTTGATTTTTCGACTTGCACCAGGCAGGATGAGAGCGCGCTGTATTTGAAGTCACTATCTGGTAAGTACAAGACCAAATACACAAATAGACTTACGCACTCACCATTTGTTTGTCAGCAATATGCGGTTTTCTCGACAACACTTTCAAAGCGTCAAACAAGGCCACACTCACAAACAAGGACGGGCAAAAGACAAGGGAGATCAAGGGCGGGATACTCACTGTGCTGAATGAAAGCAATGAGATCATTGCTTGGGTGAGTACTTCCATCTGACTTTGAAAAAGTTGACGCTGATACGCCCTGTTTGCAAGTGTTTCTGTCAGACACGCGCGAATGCTGAGATCACAGAGCTACTGCGTGGCCTCAACCTCCCGCAACCAAAGATGATGGTCGCCGACAACTGCTGCCACATACACGGCGCGGTGGCTTCTGCCATGCCTGAGACAGAGGCTAAGCTGGATGTCTGGCATTTTAGTGCAAGGTATGTAACTTCAGCATGAGCTATACTACTCTCACTAACAGGAACCCTCACCAAATGAAGATACGTTGCTGCAATCTTGAACACCAGCAAGAGCCCATTCCGTAGTGCCATCACTGCTGATATTTCGGGTGCGATCCTCAAGAAACACGCAGAACATGGACGTGGAGCAGAGTACTGGGATCGTGGTGAACAAGAGCGGCGCCTTGTTGCAGTGTTTGACAAATGGGCTGAAAAAGGTGTGTGGTCAGCAGCGGCTCAGAAGGTAAGTCTGCCTGCTTCATTAGCAGTGGAAATGGAGTCTCACAGTGTCATATCCTGCTAGGTACATCAAGAACAACTTAAATACATCCGAAAAGGGTGTCTCGAGCGCTCAGATCAAGACATCCGGTCTGATGGCAGCCGCGTTGAGGGCACCCACAAGGGCTGGAACTCGTTGCAGTGTGCCCAACCGAGTGGGATTGTGATGCTGTCTGCGCTTGGTCACGACTTTGTCCTCCGTCGAAACATTAGGGTCGCTTCCAGTAGGCGTCAAATGACACCCTTTGTCAAATTCACTCATGGCTCCCATCACATCCAGCTCTCTAACCACATAGCAAGACTCTACAACGGACTGCACGAGAAGGACACACGGCTGCTTCCTCTACCAGAACTCCCAGATGTGGACTCCGGCGAGACCTTTGGACTTGTAGCGTCAGATAATACAACTACATTTGGTGGTTTGCTCGTCAAGGAAGAGACTGCAGACACCAAACTCACACTCACACATAACTTTGAAGTTTGCACAGATAGCTTTACTGGTGGGACTATAGATTTTGCGACCGAAGCCAGCCGCAGCATCATGATCGAAGACTGGCAGATTGATCCGGCGCTCCTTGACCAACCTGCTACACAGCCGCTGCTGCCACATGCTACCAAAGTCGTACCTGCCTCTCCAACCAAACGCAAGGTCTCTTGTGTCTCCTTTGATGCCAATGATGAGTTGGACAGCGGCAATACTTCAAAACGACCACGGACTTTGGTTTCAGCCGGCACCAAGACACTCAATGGCTACTTTTCTTCTGGTCACATTGTAATGCGACCCAGAGAGCTCCACAGGCCTGTCACAGAGGTATGTTGTCATACCACCATCCTTGATCAATGATACTCACGAAAACTTCCTCCCAAATTCTCACAGGGTCATCCAGCAGTCACTAGCGCTGGCATCAACAACTCAATCACACCTGACCGACGTTACACATGAAAACTTCCTCCCAAATTCTTGGAGGATCGCCCAGTGATTCCTGGTGCTACTGCAGAGGTATGTCCCATCCCATCACACCCGACCAACATTACACGCGAAAACTTCCTCCCTAATTCTCACAGGATTGCCCCAGCACTTGCATCAGCAACACCATTACCCCCAGCGCTGGCATCAGCAATGCCATTACTGGGGGTCACCCAGCAGTCACCAGCGATTACCCAGTGATTCCTGGGGCTACTACAGAGGTATGTCCCACCACACCCGACCAATGTTACACGTGAAAACTTCCTCCCTAATTCTCACAGGATTGCCCCAGCACTGGCATCAGCAACGCCATTACTGGGGGTCACCCAGCAGTCACCAGCGATTACCCAGTGATTCCTGGGGCTACTGCAGAGGTATGTCCCACCACACCCGACCAACGTTACACGCGAAAACTTCCTCCCGAATTCTCACAGGATTGCCCCAGCGCTGGCATCAACAACACAATTACCCGGTCTCAGCACTTATTCTCCATTGCTACAGGTATTAATCCTCGCTCACTGACCCTTCAAAATTCAGACGAGTTCTACCTGTTTATGGACATGCGGGCCAAGTTAAAATGGCTGTCATATCAAATGACTTCGAAGCGCTGGGTGCTGGCAACGGAGGAGTACAACCGTCGTCTCACACAGACAGCTGGCCGGTTGGTCATTCAGAAGAACCCACAAGCCCTCCTACGTGCGCTGGGTGACATCGAGCCCAAACTGATGAACTGCATCATCAGAGATGAATATACCTGTGAGTTTATCGATATTTCTCTTGCATCACTCTGTATTTTCTGACATCTGGATTATGAACACACAGCAAAGAGGAACAATGAGACATTTTGGCGCCACCATTGTTCTGTTGTACCTCTTGTCAAGCAGGAGCGAGGGAAAAAGGTCAGTTCACTCAAGTTCAACACCAAGTTTCATGCTGAAATTTTCACTGTTTAGCCCCGAAAGGCGCAGACATGCTCACGCTGCCAAACGATCATGTACCCTGGCCCCGAAAACTCGCCACTCAACCACAAGCGGGGCTACTGTGCTGATGGTGTCAAGCAGGTGTCAAAGAACAGCGGCGAAGATCTCCCTCCCTGGCCTCAGCCTCAAGGTCTGTTCTCCGAAGGCTGCACATTCCATCCGCACGCATTTTTGTTGGCTGTTCAGCGTGTCTATGAGTACATTTCCTTGCAGGGACCGGGAGAGATGGACTTGCTTGAAACAGAGGCCTTCGCGAAGCTGCTTGTCTCACGCACTGAGATCCACGAGGATGGTGCAGTGCTTTTCCAGCTGTTTACAGACTTCATCGTGGACCCATCGACTCCTCGTGATCACATTGTTGTCCGCAACGACAAGCAGTGGTTGAGGATCAATTTCCTGCAGCAGCCGTAGTTTCGTTTGAGATTGGTGTTTGCATTTTAATTCATTTCATGCCTTTGTCTTCTTACAGATCGTTTACGCACCTAATAGTTTACTTTTTTCAATCACAATCATTGCAAGGTCTTTGTGCTATGAATGGTACTGTCTATTGCTCGAAAATCGGTGCGTCCCAGTCTCGTCCTTTGAGCTGAATACCTTCGTCTTAGAGGCAAAACGTTCGTCTTGGGGCAAAACTCCAACGTGTCACGTGACGACAAAAGTCACGTGCTTAGGAAAAGGTCCAAACGGTCTGGCGGAGTTGCAAAAACGGTCAGACCGTTTGGACCGTTTGTAATCCTCCCCTTCCCATGGCGCAGCTGCCCACCAATCGCGTTGCTCCATCACGTGCCAGAGCCGTAAGCTCACCGTAAGCATCAAACTTTTTTTGACAAGCGGTCTCAGTACCTATGACATCTCTTTGCCCATGGCACGCCTTTTGACATTTGTGATTACCGAGTCACAATGTACATACCAGCGCTAGTATGCATACGCATCCAAGTTTGTTTTATGTCGCTTTCCTGGCCAATTCTTGCCACTGCTTGAGTTGAAATTAATTGTGAGCCTTGTCCTATTCCGAAATTTTCGCTTTCGAACCCTCCGTAATAATTCAGGTGAAAACTCTAAACAAGTCTAATTAAAGCTTTCTATAGCTAGAACTCTGCCGCAACACAGGAAATGGTAAGTTACCGTGTTCGACAAGTCGCAACCAGTCGGGCACTGCCGGTGCTTCGCTCCCATGATCCTTGACAACACGTACGTCTTGAAGTACGGCAAAATACCCTGTGTCCAGTGCTCCATCATGGCTACGGAGGGTTCTTCCTCAATTTGGTTTGCTTCGGGATAAGGGGGGATAGGATGGATATAGCTCCAAAAGGTGACCCGCCGAAGACAACGTTGTGCGAATAATTGACCGGGTGATCATATTCACTGCTTGGCTTCGAAACTTTTTGCAGCGGTGATGGACTGGCAAGTTTCAGATCCTCTTTCCCGACGAGGTGTCCATATCCTTTCTTTCTCAGTGTGCATAGCCTTTCTTCTCAGTGTTCATAAGCGAACAAATCTTATCAGGGGTCTAATTTTACAGTGACAGTAACGGCAAGTGACGCTAATCTGAATCTCACCTCAAAAAACGTGCCCAGAAAATGATACTACCTTTTTTCCCTGCCTGTTAGTGTCCATAGATCCTCACTCTCTAACGCGTTGATCGCGATGCCGCCGTTTCCTCTCGGAGTAACGTATGGAGCTTATTTCCTCTCAACAGTTCTCTGCGCTATACTCTGGGGAGTGTCTTGCGTGCAAACGTGAGCAATCACGCATGTACTCAATCGCATCCTCACCATTTTCTAGCTTTTCTTATTATACCCGGTTGGTAAACTCTGCCAACGGTGCAAGTGCTTGCTTGACCCAATTTATAGTTATGTCAGAGATGATCGATGGCTAAAAACTACGGTGAATATCTTTTTGTCGTCTCTGTTCCGTGAACGTTCCTGAGCTTACCGAAGGTCGCTATTATATTGTTTGTTACCTGCAAGTCTTTCAACGTTTCCTGCTAATATTGTTGTGGTTTGTGGTTTAGTATAATGAACGCTGCACAGACAATGCTGATAATGCATGGAGGTAAGCAAGATACTTATCTCTGATCCGACAATCTCCAGACATCAAGTGCAGCGTACGCTTACCTAGTCGTTCACTTTGGAGATTTTTCATTTTTTGAGATGGTCCTTCCGTAAGTATCCTGTATGTCATTTCTGTATGAGATTAATATTGTTATAGGGTGTCCTCAGTGAGTCGTCTAGCATTACGATCATATATTGTACTAATGCAGCACAGATTGGATTTCTTCTCTCGGTGAGATCATAATCCGAACCTTTCTTCGCGTTTGCTCATTCCTGAGATAACTAGGCCCTTGTTTCTGTTTGTGTACAAGGAATATTTGTCGTCAAAGCACAAAGACGTAGGTCTACGCGGTTTGTAGACTGACATACTTAACTAACGTCTTGGTGAAGTCAGCGAAACGAGATCAAGGGTGCTCCCCTCGCTCTGGGTCAGGATCAGTTCAGCTGTGCACTAAAGTCTACACTTAAGGTGGCTCTCCAAATAGATCCCTTTGGCTCTTTTTGAAGTGGGGGCTGCAATTTGTACGTTTGTGGCTCCTCGATGTTTTTGTGACTAAACGTCATTCATAGATTGTGTCGCTGAGAGGTGAGCGTTTCACTCGAACATCAGATCTACTGTCAGGAACGCGTCATAGTTTTCAAAGTGGGAAGAATGTTTTCTTTACCGCATCGCTGAAGGTGATAATAACATGCCAAAGTCTGTCCCATTTCATGCAACCTTACATTCATTGAAAGGGAATCGTGGTTTCTTATCTTGCCGTCATGGCATTTGTTAATATTGCGACTGCATTTTTTTTGGCCAAATATTTGCGCATGTTGCACAGACAAGCCATGACGTTTGCGTGAGTTCTCTTCTGGAAGAAGCCTGACTCTTGCTGAACACCTTGTTCTTGTGAACAGATTGAGCGACATGATCTATCGCTTGATCGTTTTCTCAGTGTTGAGTGGAATTTGGACCACTTTATTCGCTATTCTCGACATGGTTACAGTGAGTTATCATGACAATTCGGATATTTGTTGTGCTCATATCGCTTTTCAGTATCTTGGCTTTCCAAATACTGCGGTGTACGTCTTGTTTGACTTACCTCTTTGTTCGCTATACTGCAATACCCTCCTTGTGAGCCTCAACTCGCGGGATAGTGGGTCTGCCGCATCGATCAAAGAATTGTCTACATTCAAAGCTGCATCGCGACCAGTCATCATATCAGTGGAGAGGGCACGCAGTAGCAATTTTAGTGACGACAGAGAAAGCATTTGTATGAGTGATTTAGACATAGTGTAATTGTTACGAATGGACAAAACTTCAGAAGATATCCTCATAATCATCTCCGATCTCCAAATACCTCCTGACGTCTTGTGCGTCCATCCCAGTTTGGCGAGTGAAATGTGAAAGAAGGATGGAATAGTTGTCTGAAGAGGTTGTCGCTAAATAACAAATGATCTAACGGGCATTTACTGACCTGTCCACCGTACTGCCGCCTCGTGTGCCAGTGTGACGGCTCTCCTTTTCTCTTCAACTTTCACAGGATCACAAGCGCCGTAAGCATCGATTTCTTCTTGTAGAACAGCGAGTTGCTTTTTCATGGAAGTAAGCTGCTCCAACGCTGCCGCACGAGAGTCCTATTTTCTCCCTGATTATTTATTATTCGTCGGATGAAAACGAAACCAACACTTAGGGGTCTGAGAGTTCTCTCATGTTCGATAGCTGTTTTTAGCTCAGCTAGCTGAGCCTCGTGACTGGCCCTTGTCTCCTTCACGCTGTCCAGGCGGTTTTGGACCTATGGCGTGCGCATGTCAGTATAGCTCGCATCTTGAGAAGCGAACAGTCCAACAATAGTTCCTCTTTGCGAAGGAAAGCTCCAGAAAACTTAAAACATGGTTAGCATCTGGGTTCTTGCGCATATCAAGCGCATATATCCAGGTTTGGAGGCATACAGTTTGAAGCACCGATTTTATCACCCTGGACAAGGCCATCGTCGACGAGGGACTGTAAGACTTCTTTGACCGTCTGGGAAACTTGGGATCTTTTAAGCGTTATCCGATCAGTGTAACAAATAGTCATACCAATTCCCTTGAGCTTGGGACCCAGCTTCTCAAGCTCCTTCAACTATAGAACAATCAAAAGTCAGAGTGAGTCATCTGAGAGATAAGATAGGTCACACTTGATAGAAGTCTTTCTGACACCCATATTCTGTCAGTTCAGAAAGATCGAATTGCAAAGGCCCGGGTGATAACTCACTGAGTCGTGGAATATCTCCAATAACTTAGCGCGTTTCTCTTCCAAAGACAGACCTCGTGGTGCCTAAAAATGTTGCATGACCAACCAATAACGGCAAAAGGATTCCATACCATTTTTCAAACAGAGATAGTGTTCCGACTTGTTTGCTTTACAGAGGAAACGTAGAAGATATTACTCAAGGAGTGAAACGCGTCGCGCGGTATAGGTCACGTGTTACCCAATTGGAAATTACAAACGGTTCAAGCGGTGAATGGATGCATTTACATGTGAAAGTAATGTGAAAGTAAGCAGAAATGACCGTGATGATTACATACGAAAAACATGCAGTCAAAGTCCTGGAGCGGGAACGCGAGCATTTGTTCCTGGTAAAAATGGATGCAGAAACCTAAGTAAAATGCAGAGGCGGAGGATGTAACGCAGGATGATATACAGACACTAAACAAGATAAGGTCGTCATGCGAGGAGACAGCAGGGAACGTGAAAGGGGGCATGAACGATGGTGTTGCGTCACCGCAGGATATCAAGGCGCTGGTCATGGGAGGGGTAGCGATACGCGATAAATTCTCGGTCTTGCTCGACCCGCTCCTCCAGCGCCTTGCGGGAGGTGATAGACATACGCGGACCTGCACTTTGGCGAGATATGGAATGGGTATATGTCGTCGTGAGGTTATCTTCACCCTCGAAGAGTGACGTCGTTAACCGCGGGAATTCATGCGAGTCGCTACCTTTGGCTGGCTCTGGTTGTGTAGATTTCCTACCCAGCAAGGACGCAAGTCCAAATCTGCTCCTCCGCTTACTGGGTGTAAATGGCTGAGGATTTTCATCGATGTGCTCCAAGGGGCCAAGCGAGCGTCTGGAGATGCCAAACTCATTGTACATACCACCAGGACCTTTTGAAGGATCGTGTGCACCCAAGGGCATCATGGTCTGAATACCCAGGTTAGGACGGGAGGTGGAACCACTGAAAGACTGTCGTCTGGGTTCTGTGTGGAACGGTGCATGTGGTAGAGTAACATCACTAGATTCCTGACCAACCTGACGAGGATCATAGGTGTATAGTGTCTGCGGCCGTGATTCCGCACCAGGATTGTTCGGTCGAAGTTTGGCCTCACCGGGAAGGGGTGGCAAAGACTTTTCCCGAGCAAGCATGACTTGTGGCTTGGTCGTTCTGGGAAGTGTCATGCCATTGGTGGAGGCAAAAGTATTCTGCTGGAGCTTCTGACGGATATCAGGCTCGGAGATAACAGGATGAAGTGACTTTAGTCTGCCGCTCTCGTCAGCAACAACGGCATAATTCTCTTTCTCGTCAATTTGTGCGCTGCTTTTGCGGTCAGCATCACGATCTATGCCTGATGGACGTGAAGAAGTAGGTGAGGGAAGGAGGCTAGACGGCGCTGTCGAAGGGGACATGCCTGAAGAAGAAAATTGGTTGCGCGGCGAGGATGTCGAAGGAAGCGATGGAGTGGACACGTGGCGCCCACTGCTTCCCAGGTGCTCTCCTGGTCCTCTTTCGACCAGATATGACAAAGGGGGTGGAGGCGCCAAAGGCAAGTCATCCTCATTCCGCTCAGTATCTTGAGACCGAGCCAAATCTCGGCTGCTCGCATGGTCCTGCGGATTCTCTTTGTTTCCCCTGACGAGCTTCCATATCTTTGCAATACCCTTGCGCTTCTTCTTCGATTTGTCCTTCTCGTCGACCGGCGTATCAAGGGGTTCCTGGGGTTCCACTGGTGGCCACAGTTGACTATGTCTGGGAGTAGATAGCATACTCCGATCGCCGACAGGCGATCGTACGCGAAGTCCAGTGCTTTCATGATGCAGGGCCACGCTACAAATATATTATGGAAATGACCCTTTTATGGATAAAAATACGTACTGCATATCAATCATACTGCCTGACATCCCCGATTGAGCGAAACTATCCTGGCTACGCCATGTAGTACTCAAATTCTTGAAGCCAAAGAAACGTGAGCGCCGTGGAGAAGCAGACCCTCGGCTGTGCGCATCTGAGAATGATGCTTGCGAATAAACCTGACCCAAACTTTGCTGCCTGTCCGTTGGCGCAGTCAGAGAGCTGACTGGCCTGATGGAGCTTATAGCAGAGTACCGCGAGCTTTGCATTGGGCCAAGACCACTGTCAGTATGCGGACCTAGACTGTGGACCGAGTAAAGGGAGGTGACGTCCACCGCAGAACTTCTAGAAGACTTCCGGCCGCGACGATCCCGCTTCTCATTCCTACGGCGGCGCTCTTCTTCTTTTTCTTCTTTACGAATGTCGACATGCTCAACGATGAGACCGTTCTCCAGAACTGTGAAGTCACGTGAAGGACTCCGGATATGATGGCCGAGGGCCCCATTCTGGCCAATGGATACATGGGGTGGCTTGAGACGAAAAGCAGCGTCTTCTACTCCGCCGTTCAAATCATAGGCTGAACGGCGGAATTGTGAGTACGTATCTCGCATCTTGTGCTCCAGTTGCATCGATTCTTGCATAGCACGTGCGTGTGCAAGTGCCTCAGCCTCGAGGAGACTCCGCTGTGCCTTCACGTACTGCTCCAGAGTCTGCTGTTTCGATGCTGGTTCTCGAGGAGTCTAGTTTGAATGATTAAAATCACTAATAATGAGCCGACCAGATTTGCTTACCATCGTGTGCCATATTTTGATGTTTTGTTCAGTTAAGCGTCCGCCTCGTGCTCTAGGTTTCGAAGAGCACTCGGATGATAAGACTCCAGCTGCCTCGTCCTCCTGTTCTCTGCGAAGTAACTCCTCATAGAGTACATCACTTTCACGTTCCCACATCCCAGGACCGACTACGACTACATCTGCCATGTCCTGGTCACGCATTGCACACTCTACACATATTTCCTCAGGAGGAGTTGGGGGATTTGGGGAGAGAATGGGATTGATCGGATCTGGGGCAGCGGCAGGGGTGATGTAAGTGGGATGTTGGGCGTATGCACGTGGACTAGAAGAAATGGGAATCGTGATGCCCATAGTGGGACTGTAGGATCGTGATGTGGATACCCCATTTGGGGGTGGTAATCTGGATGGACCAGGAGCATCGAGTTGGGGATAAGAGGGCTGCCGGTTGCTGGCAGGTTTGAGGGAAGTCGGAACATCGCGAAATGCTTGTGGAGGTGAAGGTAAAGTTGTGAAAGACTCCCCAGCGGACTTGAATGAGTCATCGAAAAGATGCGAATTTATCAACCCTCCGCTGCCGGATGTCCGAACGTTATCGTCAAGGCTATAACGTTCGCCGACACGGTGGGCTGTCCCCTGTGACAAGGAGCTAGAGATCACATTGAGCTGTAAGCCTTGTTGGTCATCAGCATTGAAATCCTCTTTGTTCTGAGGCGCTTGTTCCATTGCTTCCGAACGAGATGAAGGATGTTGGTGTTCAGTCGCTCCCCAAGTCTGCGGACCTGTGGACCCAATAATCATGGGACTAGTGTTATGGAAGCTCTTGTCTAGGGTGAGAGTGGGGTATCGGTTGTCCTTGAAATCGAGATCAGAAATGGCGAGGCTACGTTGAAAGATATTGACATGAAGATTCGGGGGAAGAGTTGACGGAACAGGACTACAGTCAGGTCGCGAAGGTTGAATAATGGTCGAGACCGCAGCCATAACGCTTGAAATAACCCGACCAAAATTGTCGGTGAGAGTCCAGGGAACAATAAAGGTTCCCCAGCTGGACGATACGTAGGCTGGCCGTGGATGTAAACAGTGAGCGAAGCTCGACACCGTCGTCAATAACCGATGAACAACCCGGTACACTGCCAACTCAAAGGGGGACGTATAGGAAAATCAAAGAACAGGGACAGTGTTATGTTTGAGGCAGGAAATGAGGCGATGAAATTCGAACGGTAATGTTGCGGCAATATACCACGATCCATTTCCCAGGCAGTCCCTGGACCGGCCGGCCCTGTCCGTTTACACAGATCAGATAGTACTTTCGTAATATTTGGCAGTGCCTGCTAGCTGAACATAAACTATATATTTTACACGCGACACAGACTAGCCAAGTGATCTGTACCGTAGCTATAGACGAGTACTAATATTACATGGGAAATGTCCACTAGATTGAAGACCGTAATATCAACAACGCAGGTTACCGAGCTGCGGACAGGCTGTACGAAATAAATCTGTCCATACCATTGATTTCGGACGATGCCAACATTATTGCCACGTCTGTATGTTCAACAGTTACTACGGATCCCTTGAGCGACGCCCGATTTCCCCCACATTCCTATCCCTGTGCAATGTACGGTGCGCGCCGGGACGTAAGAAGTTCATCAGACGAGCGTGTTTGTCTGAATCCCAGAGGCTAGAAGCTTGATGGAGAAAAACGGGTAGAACACATTTGGCTGATCGGCTGAGGCACTAACTACCCGCGGATTCAAATATTTGAATGCCGCGCAGCCCTCACCGTTTTTGGACAATCTTCTGACCTTCTTTGACGGATGCCGGAGATGACATAGAAGTGGAGAGGGCTGCACGAGGAGACTCCTGCGATGCGAGTGTACATTCGCTTGGAGCGTAAATCGCGTGAAATCAGCAGAGAGCAGCATGTCGTCCCACGAGTGACGAAACGGCCAGTCCAGGGGAGAAGCTGGCAAGTTATTATGGTAGATGATCATGTCATGGGCAAGACCTTGGGAAGAAAATGAGAATGTAGATCCAGGAGCCAGCTAGTCCCTAGACCGTCAGACTATAAACCAATAAGCATAATCGTTCCTTTTCAGTAGTAAGGACAACAGTGCTGCGGTAGCATATGCAACCCGCCATGTCCGTAGACATTCAACGTTTCAACCTGCAACTGCACAATCCTCCACACACTATCAGAATAGCGGGTGACGATCCAAGGCTGAGGGTACTTACAAATTATTCTGTATGTCCTGATGTAGTGACTATTCAATCAGTTAAAACAACACAGATTATTATGTGCCAGTCGGGAGAAACTCGAGCAAAAATGCCAGCGGGAGAGGTGGGACACTGCGCGAGAACACAGCGGACTAAGCGAGTGGCGGGTGGGCAGGCAAACATGATGCATGAAGTTGGACAAGGAAAAAACGGTTAGCCTGAGCATGCCAGCCAACCTAAAAATACCCTTTACCTGACTTACTTAAGTCGTCCGATATACGTACATGAAACAGTACCTTCTGCCGTAAGGTGGGCCGGAATAAGCCGCAGGTCATAGGGGCCCTTACAAGGTCGGAGATATCGAGGCTCAGCGCTCAGCGCTTAAATTTCAGGCACGATAGGTGGGGGATCAAGCTTAAGAGCATAGACGTTCAGCTTCCTCACATCACACAATTCCAATGGAACGTATCCTCCTGTTCTCTCGCTATGCTAGTTCCATACATGGAGGATAATTACAAGAACATACACTTTTGTGGACTGTGAAACACGGTATCTCGAATGCTGCAGGAAATGATATGATGTACAAGTGGCAATGATGATGGTGATGGGGTTGTGATGAGATGCACCACATGACTGGTCCTGATTCTAAAACCCCGCAATGTTCTGAAAAGATGAAAAGACGAACGTAAGCACACTTAGCTCACGCATCAAAAACCTCTTGTGCTCCCAAACTGATCATAAACCATGTCCCGCAGCCTCACCCACACGCGTGACTCGGCACCAGCAGCCGACTGTTCCATTTCCGACACCTTCCGTTCCGTCTCTACGAGTCGACGCTTCAAGTTGTGGACCTCATCCCTCTCGGACTCAAGTAATCGGAGGGCGTCGCGAGAACGGGTCTCAGCTTCTCTGACAGAAAGGTCAGTGCGTTCCTGGCGCTTCTTTGCAGCAGCAAAGTCGGCTTCAATTGTGGACTTGGCTATGCGCGTGAGTCGGAGCTCATCCTCTAGAGCTAGAATACGAGTAGAAGCGGGAGCGGTGGGGACGCCTGATGTTTGCTTGGACATAGAAATCGGTAGGCTGTTGTTGGCGGTGGAAAGAGTTCGGGCGTGATCTGCAAAAGCCAGTCCTAGGGCGTTCACATCTGTACTAGTATTTCCTGACTCGGAAGAAATAAAGTCGTTTTTCGTTCCGTATATCGTACGGAAAAGTTCCTGAGCAGCGGTTGCATGTGCTATCTTCTCTTCGGGAGATGAAGAATCGCGGCTTATGTCCAGCTGACAGGCTGCGAGAACGAGAATGGCAGATCGTAAGACAGCGGCTTCGTGAGCTGTGGTGTTGACGTCTATGGGTGTAAATACGGCAGGTGCGGGAGATTTCGCTAGCGATGAGGAAGCCTGATGGAAGGGACCTTTGAGAGACGTCAGTACCCAACATAATTAGTGATAATTCCAGGACAATAATTTCACCATTTTCTTTGTTTTTCCCAGTCAAAACACCGCCCGCACGAGTAGCAGAGGCGTGCTTGCCAAGCAAGGCCCTAATCACCTTGCAAGCTGCACGAGAACGGCCAGTCCGCCTATAGTGTGCTGCGGCAACAAGATATGCGCCAGGTTCGCTCTGAGTTGCTCCAAGCAATGTGATAGGACCAATAGGGTCATCAGGAAGTAGATTCAAGTCGTAACTCAACGGGTGTCCGTGGTGCAAGAGAGAAAGCCTCTCCGGTCCAAAAGTGAAGGGAATTGGTCGAAGCTCAACTGTAGAAGATTCTGGCAAAGGCAGGGAAATGGGTGCAATGGATACAGGAGTTGGGGGAAGTACTTGCTGGATTGGTGTCGCGGGAACCTTGCTCTTGGCAAGCACCGGATTGCATGAAGGAGTAATGCTCAAATCGATGCTGTCTAGAAATCTATCCACGGACTGTACAGATGGCACGCCTTGCGATGCAGGGTGCTGTCCATCATGACGGGCACTTACAGATCCAGAACATCCATTATTCAGGGAGGGTAAAGAAGAGGTTTTTTCTTTTCCCTTATCGTTAGAAGTGCGGCGATCAGAAGATTTGGTAATATGGAACGAGGGGCCTTTGCTGTCCTTGTGGTTGTTAGGTGCAGGGGAGCTGCTACGGCGGTGCTCCTTACGATAGGAAGGCGCGCGCCAAAGGCCAGACCGTGCATAGCGGTCAGTAATAAAGGCATCATCATCATGACGCAGCCTCTGGGCAAGACACATCCTGTCTCCGTCATTGGAATCCTTGCGTTCACGTGCTTCAGTGGACCGCTTGCGCTTCTTACAGACCACTCCTTCCGCTCGTGATGTTGATTTTTTTACTAGGCTTCTATAGGGCCTTGGTGGAAGGTGGTCCGCAGCGGATCGCGATGATGAGCGCTCTAACGGGGAAGGCGACGCGGGGCTGGTTGCGCGATTTTTAGCCATCACGGTTTCGGTCACTAGAGAGATTTAAATTTTAACGCGTCGAATGTGGTCTTTCGACGCGTCAAGGATATCAGAATTATCATAGCGATAATCAGATAGATAGATAAAGACTTACAGATCTTGGGACAAGTAAAATGAGGGTGTCCTACGCGGGACTTGCGCGGGGCGTGATAGCCTCTAGTACTATGATACAAGACTAAATCCCAGTTCCGTACAAATAAGAGAGAACGAAAGAGGGGAGAACGAAAAGACCAAGTGAGTCGGTCGATCTTTATGGCCACTGAGAGAAATGAATTGTGAAAGGATAAGGAATCGCAATTGCGTTGGATGTATTGGAACAGAAGGCGTAACCTTCTGTTATGGGATCTTCCGCGGCTTTACGTCGTATCCTAATTAGGCGCACACAAGTGCTCAACAACACCTCCACCTTTGAAATTTGAGTACTAGGTCAACCTGCACTGTCTGGTCCCAATATTGGCACCAGGCCAGATGGTGATTGTATTTCCAAAACATACAATACCGCCATGCCAACATGCCAACAGATGCGACAACACCGCTGTGAGTATCCTGCCTATTTATATAGGAGCGAGGTAGAAAAAATAGACAGGCCTTATAGAATGGACAATTGAGACAGCCGGAACTATCTCTTTATGACAAAAACAATGGTCACTGCTGCATACTATAGCCAGCGCGCTCAAGGCAAAAGAATTTTGAGCTACTACTTACGGACGAGACATTGTCGGAAACCATGCCAGTGGTTGCGCAGTCTTGCCCCCAACATGCACCTATGCCGCTGCACAGGATTGATTGCATCCGAAAAAAAGTTGTGGAATCCCGATGTCCATCACACCACTGTGGACAATATAAAGCAGATGGGCCTCAGTGAACTGCGCAGCAGGCTCTCCCACTTTTTTTTTGAATTCTCCCCCGGTAATCTTTCAACTATTTTTCTTCAAATCTTCCCTTTCATTCAATAACTTAATCCTTGAAAACTCACGATGTTCTTCAACTTTGCAATTATTCTAGCTGGCGCTGGTTTCGCCGTTGCTCAATCGTACGTTAGAGCAAAGTTTTTTTGGGGAAGACTGGGCTGATATTTTTTGTGTTCAGGGGACTCTCTTCGCAGTGCCAGAGTGCACTGCTTAACATTTCAACCTCGTCCAGTGCCGCATGTTTGAATCCATCAGGGCTGATCTCGCTCGTTATCACGAACTCAAACTCAAGTTCGATTATTCCTGGTGTCAACACCTGGATTTCTGGCTTGTGCTCTCAAGCCGCCTGTAGTAACTCGACCCTCCAAACTGTCGTAACAGAGGTCATTTCGGGATGTTCTACTGATCTCTCGAGTCTTGGAGTAATTACCACCGATCCCACTGCTATTGTCACATCCATTCAGGCCTCTTACCCTACTGTTCGACAGCTTTTGTGTTTGGAGGAGTGAGTTGAGCAACTATCATTTACTTTTCCCTTTTTTCTAATCAATTTTTAGCATTTTGCTGACCACTCATTGTGTTCCTGAGATGCTCACGGGCATACAGTCTGCCACGACGACTCTTTCGCTAAATAGCATAATCACACTTGTCACAAAATTGGTATCCGGTCAGAGCACTGGAATTCCCTCGAGTGCTGTCTGCACCAATTGCACTAAGGCCGCCTATACCGTCCTTAGTCAGGGTCTTCCTGAAATTGCTACCACTGCTCAAAGCTCACTCTCATCCGAATGTGGTGCCAACTACACAGGTAACTTTGGTTTCATTTTATTTCGTCAACGCGCTCACATCCTCTGGCAGATGGTCAGATGCCTTCTAGTATTCAGGCGACAGCAGGCAATTCCTCTTCAACAACCAGCAGTAGTGGTGCTATTGCGCTTTCTGTTAGTAGTCTCAACATGGGTGCTGCTGCTGTTGCAGCCGTTTCAGCCGCCTTTGCAATCTTTGCTTAAGTTTCGTGATGGACTTATGAAGTTATTTGGACTATTGAGCAACTTGGTGAATTATTTACAATCATGAACATTATACAATTGTTTGTGCTCATAGAGTACATTAATATTGTCGATGCGCCGATCTCTTGCAATCACAGCAGGGGAAATTGGGAGCCTAATGAGGAATTACGTCAGCCTCCACACTCATCTGGACTTGAGGGTTCAGACAGTTGTTCCCATACGCTGCGATCCAAGGCCTTACTCACTGAGTCAACGAGTAATCTCTCTGACTGACATATAGTCGGTCGATGTCCACGATGCAAACAGGCACACCTCGCTCGCCGCGCTTTGATCTTCCGCCTGCACCTGTTTATACCACTTCCAATACAGCTGACAACGGCCTTGCGGAGTGGACGAGCAAGATCAAGGCAATGCAACGCCAGGTCAACGCGGATGATGAGGCAGAGCAGCGTCGTCTCGAGGAAGAAATCGTGCGGGCACGACTTGCGAGGATGAGACGAAGTACATCGGGCATGAGCGGTGATTTCGGCGTCGGCATGCATGGCATTGATCTGGGTCGGTATCTCTTGGCGTGGACACTTCCATATTCTCTAACTTGTAGATGATTGCATAGGCAAGTTACAGGATTCATCATCTAGTGTCACTCCTTCGCCAAATGATCTGCTTGCGGGCAACACTACCAGTGCACCTGCCTCAGAGAAGCCACCTCGAGCTATACCTTCACATAAACCGGCGGTGTCGTCTAATACAACGCCCCAGAGAGTCCCTATGTCATTGGCTGCATTTATGGGTGGATCGACTGCTGCTGGCCCTCGATTGAAACGCCACGAGCCACAACAGGATGCCACTGTTGTGCATGATGGGCGTAAGGATCACGGTCCCGTACATCCAATATTCGGAAGAAATGGAATCGCTATGCCGGGGATGGCCAAAGTAGGTGTACAACCTCCTGCAGCTGCCACATCTCCACCTTCAGCTGGCACACCCGCTCGTGCATTTCCCACTTCCACACCAGATATCGTGAGATCCCGTACTACTAGTACTTCCTCGGTCGCCCGTCGTTATGTGGAACAACTTGAAAGTCAGCCGCAGTCTCTGAACCCAGGACTTGTAGGGCCAGGCATCCGGGAGCGCAGGATAAGCACTCCCGCGGGCAACATTTCAGCACAGTTGAGAGTAGAAACGCCACACTCGCCTTCTTACCGTTTATCTCAGAACTATGGTGCCAGAACTGCTGTGGTTCCACCAAGTTCCCTCGTTGAATCTCGGTCGAAAACCCCCATCACTGCGGAGATGCGCCCCAAGACACCTGTTACTGAAACTCGTGTGAAGACTCCCAATCCTGAATCTGTCCGTGCTAAGACGGTGACAGAATCTGTATACTCCAAGACGCCTAATCCTGAATATACTCGGGCGAAGACCCCCAACCCTGAGCCCAATCGTGCAAAAACGCCTGATGCAGATTCTGGTCGCACGAAGAGCCCAATTTATACACGTTCAAATTCCTCTCAGCCCTCTTGGACACCTAGACAACAGTCTACTCCAATTCCATCTGTCACTCCAACGTCCCCTGTGCGGCAGACTTACTCTCCACAGCCATCACGAGGGGTCTCCCCTGCCTTTCTGTGTCCGCCTGTCAATTCATCTACCAAGGATCCAACGCCAAGTATCAGCCGGCTGCAGGGTCGTGGCTTTGTGCAGAGTGTTGTTCAAGCCAGTGGGCGCCTCGAATCAGCAGCAGGAGCCGCGAGGAGGGAGAGCACATTTGGATCCCCAAGTCAAGCTGCCAGTGAAACGCGAGATAAGAATGCTAGAAGAGCAAGTGTCTTAGACCGTTGGCAGCCTGCAATGAATAATGCAGGAACACCATCACTGCCCCCACAATCCCCATTCCCGGCAAACCGCGGAAGGACACCAGAAGCCAGGCAGGCAGAAGTGAAAACGCACGACACGGAATTTCCTTCGAAGAGCGCTGTATCTATTCCCACCCTTCCGAAAACGCCATCTGGGAAGACCAGTGCTCTTCCCGAGAGCGCGAATCATAACTTAGGATCCTCCACCACAATGATTGCATACATCAAGCCAACCAAGACCGGTGATGATCCAGTCGTTCGCAATGTTGATGAACTCGGGGTGAAAGCGGACGGGAGTGAGGCGAGGACGCGTGTATCTTCGTCTCCTAACAAGCCATTGAGTCATGTGCGTGCTCTCCGGTAATGCTGAATGCATCGATGGTTGATGGATTTTTTCTTTATATCCACATTTTTTGATATCTTGGTTTCGTTTAATGGTATATGATGGTTTTTAATCGGAATACGCACTCTTTTTGCTGTGATTCGATTTTTTTCTGTTTTCCGGCTTCTGAATTACTAGCCAACCAAGGATAGAGCGAAGAAACCTCGCAAAACAGGTGGTTCTGCGCATGTTGCTTCTCCTGAAGGACAGCCTCTTGATGTAAAAGCCACTTTACCACAACCGATTGCGCTAGAATCGATCACCTCGACAAAAAACACTCAATTGCTTCCAATTGCTCCCACCCAGCCAATGATACGATCTCAACTGGAACCTCAGTCACAGCTTACACTGACGATCGCACCATCCAACACCACTGGTCGCGTCACAGACCGCTGGACAGAACCGACATTGATTGGTGTAAAGCCTATCGCATCCTCAAATTCTACTGCAGGCCAGCCTCCCCCGAGTCAAAAACCGCAGGGTATGGTGGGAAGACTGGCGCTGCCTGGCCTAGCGGCTGCACCAGAAGCTGCAGAGAAGGTGAAGGAGAAACCTCCTTTTGGAAAGGAGCGCGCGGTCTCACCTTCGCTAGCGAGACATGGCCGCACTCCTAACACAGGGAATCGTGCCACCGTCATGGACGTTGCGCAAGCTTTGAGTGGGGCCCAGCAGGGAAACGATTGCGCGTTGAGTCTACCTGCTCCTAGCATCCCGAGTTCTCAGGCTGAGAAGAGGAAGTCGAGCACTGAGAAATACTCCTCTTTTATGATGCCGCCGCTGAAGGAAGTGAAGACCCCCGTGTCATCTCCAGCAGGAACATTGGCAAAATCATCTGGGGAGGCGTTGCTGGATTCTAAACTCGTCGGTGAAAGCTCCAAAAGTAGTCTGGGAGTCAAGCCAACTATTCAGCGCACTGCGTCAAGTTCATCTCTAGTGTTCGATGTCGTGCACATCGGTGAGTTGAGCTACATTGTTTGGCGTCAAGTAATTACTGATTCGATTCTTCTGACAGATCACACGAACGAATCCCTGCCAAATGTCGATGTGGATGCTCTGTTGAAATCTGTTCCTCCAACGTTTAGTGCTGACCCGAATATTCACATCATCTCTGTTGAGACTTTATCCATCAATAACGGTACCGCGACTCCCGTCCTGCGCGATATTCATATTTTCTACGATACGGAGGCTTTGGTGATTGTACACCGCGGAAAGGCCCGTGACGGTGGGCTTGTTTCCACGAAGGTTTGGTGCTGGCATGGGAAACAATGCCGATTTGGCGAGAGAGAGGAGAAGAAGGCAGATGAGCTTGCAAGACGGTATGGATCAGCTCTGGTGAGGATATATTTTTAAGGGAAGAATTGGATATAAAATATAGGAATGACTTCCAGGAAACAGTGTTCCAACGACACGAACCTCCAGAACTTGTTCATATTCTTGGAGGAAAGATTGCAATCCGGCAGGTCGGTATCATAATACCTCATGATGTTGTTGTTATGCTTTTACGTTAATATCCATTCCCTAGGGTACTCGCACGCACTGGACTTCTGAAAATACAGCAATGCACGTGGTGCGCTCGAGCGGGGAACACATATATATTGACGAGTTGGATTTGGTATGCTACTCGCATGAACAGACCTGGAACAACGTTGAACTCCTGATTACAGAACATCCGAAACCTGTGTTCAGGCTATAGCTATTGTGTCTCTATCCTTGACCAGATTTATGTTTGGCATGGTTGTGGGTCAACTCCGAAGGAACGCAATGCTGCCCGAGATTACGCACAGGTTTCCGCCGCGAAAGGGACTTCTATCAAGGAACTTCGAGAAGGTGACAATGATGTAGATGACGAGATGTTCTGGATGGTCCTTGGTGACTCTGGGGATTACGCCAAGGCAGACTATTGGAGATTTAGAAATGCTTCTGCTCCCAGTGATCCTCGATGCTGGATCGTGGATGTCACAGTCGAAGGCGACCCGGTATGCTGTTTGATTACATGCGGTTGGCTTGCACCTAACATGGATGCAGATTCGTGCTGTTGCATTGATATCGGCAGAGACTATACTTCAGCAATCAGTGTACATTATCGACTGCTCTTTGGAATTCTTTGTCCTGGTTGGAAAACATGCACGTTCCAAACGTTCCGATATCTCTCTAGCAATTCAAACCGTCATGGTAAGCATCATGTCTCTGCTATGAAAAAATCTCCCACATGATTTTATATGTTAGGCCATGGCGAAGAAGGTGGCAATATCTAAACCCTTCTCTCCGACCATCCATGTACTTGTAATACCTACGCAACTTCCTCTGGACATGCGGCATGCCTTCCGCGATCTTGACGAGTCTCAAGTGGTACTGTCTTCTCTCTTCAAGCATCCGGCCTGCTCTGATCTTTTGCACTAGAATGGGGGCTTCGTCCCCGATCACATGAATATCCTTTCGACTACCGAGGCGATTGAGCATGTTAGTGTCCTTTCATGGCATGCTAGTTCTTCTTCGATGTTGCTCACTGACTGCCTTTCCCTTTCTGAAATAGCTGCGCACTTCATCTTGGGAGAAAGCAGCATTGCGAGATCAGAATATGCTTCCTTTGGGTCTTGACGCAGCTCCTGTACTGTCATCTTGATATATGCGCAAGTGACAGTTTTTCTGACGCTAGATATGAATAATTGGAATGATCTATACTATAGAGCAGTTTTTACCCATACTTTCAGCTTGCTGCAATCAATCGGTGCCTATCCTCCAGCGATCACCTTCTTTTTGGATTTACAAGAAGTTGTCGATGATAATCAGATGCATGATGCTCTTATCGACCGATTGACGACCATGCCGGTATCACTAAATGTAAGTTAGAGGCGGAAATGCATTCTAGCCTGCAGGTGAATTGAGTGTGAATATTCTTAATAGAACCTAGGAACGAGCCGACTTGAATTAATATGCCACGAGTTTCACCCAATCAGTTATAATCTAACCAGGTCGGAATATGTTTTGGGAGATAAAGAGGAGATCAAGTTTGCTTGCAAGGTCGGCCAGACTCCGAATTCCGCACTGGTTCCGCGGAAGCAATTCATATTTCGTAATCTTAGCGCTCGTATTTAAGCGCTCGCCAAATTAGAACAAAGCATTTCTCGTGGAACCTTTGTGAACCGTGGTAAGCTTTGCATTTCCTTAAAGTTCTTTTGTGTCCACAAGTATATAACTACACCAAGTACAATGATGATTAACTTGCACTTCCAGCCTGCACTCCTTTATACTACCCTCGAGCTCTCAGCTCGCATCCAAGGCTCACCTTCAACCACACATTCTAACAACACACTCTTTACAACATGACACGTGCTCTTTCCGTCCTCGGGTTTATGCTCCTATCTCTGGATCTCGTTTCTTCCCGCCACGTTTCTCGAAGCTGCCATCCTCATAGCAGCAGGTCTGGTAGTGACTCTAGTACCAATCCGTTGTCTGGGGTCATTTCTGTGGGTAGTGCACCTCCTGCACCCGCTACGAACACCAACGGTGGCTCCTCCCCGTGTTTCCCGTCTGCGGGTTTCGTCATGCCGTCTAGTGTTCCTAGCTCGACCGATGGTTGGTGGTGTTCTCCAAATACCGAATATGCATTCCTTGGATTCAGTTATGAAGTATCTGCTTGTGCGACCATCCTTTCTCCTGAGATTCATGAGCTGATGTAACTCCAGGCCAGTCTATAAGCAAGCTCAACAGTGACTTCGCTGACATCAAGAACACCTTTGGATCGAGATACGTCCGCCTTTACGGCGCTTGTGACAGAGTCGGTTTCTAGTAATGCAATTATCAGTTCTAGTTGTTTCCGAACTGACTGGTTTTCATCTCAGTGATGATATTGTCAGCGCTGCATGGGCCACAGGTCTAGGCGTTCACGCTCTGATTTGGGTGAGACTTTTTAAATGGGAATGGTAGTTATGATTGTGACAGTTTTTGTGGCACATAGTTTGGATTCGATGGAGGCGATCAGTGGATGACTCGCCGTGATTCGCTGGTTTCTTCGCTCACCAACAACCCCAAGGCCAAGTTCGTCACTCGAGGCGTCCAATTCGGTTCCGAGCCCCTGTTTGATAACGTACTGCCGCATTCGCAGCTAGCAGCGGAGGTCACGTCTTTGAAATCCAAGCTTTCTGGCGTCGGGATTCCTGTCACTGTCAGCGAACTCGCATACGGATACCAGGAGCGTGGCGGCGCTCAAGACGTCCTTGATGCTATCGACTTTATCAATATTCATATGCTCCCTTTTTTCTCGGCCCTTGCAACGTTTGGTGCCGCTGCTTGGCCGCTCGTTGAGACTGACATGAACTGGTTTATTGAACATGGCAATGGCAAGAAGATGTACTTTGATGAGGTATGTCTATCCTAGTCAGGTGCAATGTTTTTCTTTTGCTAAGGCGTCCCACTTTCCAGAATGGTTGGCCCTCCGTCACATCGCCTGGCGTTCAGCCTAATACCATTCTTGCTCAGTGCTCGGTAGCTAACGAGGAGGTCAGTCGCATCATGAAATTTAACGTCTTTGGTAGTCTAATGAACTTGACTCAGGGCTACTTTTCTATGCTCGATAGCCATTGCGAAGATCTCAAACTCGGCCCTCAAGGTGGTGTCGGTTGGTTCGCTCATATCTACAGCGACGACCAGGAGCCTGGCTATGGCATCTACGATGATGCTGGGAACAAGAAATTCCCCTTCAAGCCTCGCACGTTTTGTTAGACGGGATGTCGCGTCTCAACCTACATATTTGGACATTCATTTACTCATTCATTCGTTTATTATATATGGCACAAGGCATTGTTTATTCAGTTAATAGGAAGGCAACGGCAGATCTACTTACTACACTCCACCTAAATTCTCATTACGGATTGAGATCAATATCCTGTAACATTATCACAATTATACCTATTGCAATGGAACTTTTCAGAAATCCACTTTACAGTACGGTGGAAGAATAATCGGTGCAACAATATATCCAGCAGAATCTAGTTCAAATCTCAGCCATACCACTTGCCTCCCAATCTCGTCTTAGCTGCCGGTCTTTGGGGTATCATAGACTCAGTAATCTCGAAAACTTCTATAGCACGCTGTTTACCAGATAAAGTGAGTGTGGATCAACACAACATGGGGGTGTCTTACCCTCCATGTAGCCATGTCAAACTCCATAACTATTTGGTGACACGTTACCCCGTCCGCGCGATCTTGTGCACTAGGTGCTTCGCATAAGACTGCAAATGTTGAGTGTACGGGCAATAGACTCAAAGAGACGATGCTCACATATGATTGGTTCTCCGTGATCGTCGATTTCGAGGGCACAAAGCCCGTCTCGGATGAGGAAAGAGAGGTAAAATATGTTTTCAACCGATTGCGCGAAGTCATTGGGGTTGATTACAAAGCGGAAGAGGTTCACAGCACCAGACTCCTCAAGGATTTCTCTGACCTATGAGGAGGTTTATTCAATGCACTAAGGGGCTCTTACAAACCTACCTTGATTACGTTCTTCGTGGTTTCGTTCTCTGATCGCTGGATGTCTTCTTCTTTGATCTCCTGAGGTCTGCGTTCTTCTTCTTTGCTCTTCTCAAGCTTTGCACGTTTGACCTGGGCGCGTTTCTTTTGTTCTACTGAAAGAGGTCCAAGCCTGTAGTGGGCTGAGTGCGAAGTCTGAAGTTTTTGGAAATAACCGACATGAATCCCATTACCGGGACCCTTCTACTCTTTGCCAGTGCCCTCCGACCAATTTTCTCCCAGTCCATCACGGAGTCACCGATGTCATCTAGTTCCGAAGCATCGTCTGCAAGCTCGTGCCTGCCGCCCATAAATATAGCAAGTTTAGAGACGAAGTCATCAACGTCGAAGGCGGCAGAGCCAAGTTTCATTGCGCGAGCCTTCTGCGCACTAATACTTGATACATTCCGAAGTACAGTAGAGTCAAGTGTAGCCTCGGTCGGATTTTTCACTGAAAGTGTCTTCCATTGCACGAACCAGGGAAACGAAAGGAAGACACACCTTTTTGGAACAGTTCATCAGCTTCTTCGACGTGTTCAACGAGTTCAGCAGCCATTATGTCTTGTGGGCGAAGTTGATCTTTTGCAGAAAGACCATGATAATAAGCTTCTAGCTCATGCGGAGTAGCGCCGGCCACGGACCTCCTGTCCTCTTTTCAAGAGCACGATATTTTTTCCGGATGTCACGTTTTTCAGCGGCATCCTGGTCTGGGTCATATGGGAGACTACTTGGACTGCCCATACGCACGTTCGGATCGAAATGAACCATTTCTTGAAGCTTCCGCTGCTGTATTCGGGTGTGGTAGAAAACAAGAAGGCGCGTATCACGTAATCAGTGGCGCGTCGCGTCGCGGCGACGGCGCCAAAGCCGCGTAAACAGACTGTGACTTCAATTAATTGCAAGGCTTTGTGTTCTGCCACTACGACGCCACATAGAAGTTAGAAGCCAGTACAACGCGTTCACAAGATACCTACGTAGGTTACCCATCAATGGTACCGCCAAAGCATTCTATCGATGTGAGCATTATTATTGTCTATTGTGCTGAGAACACGGGACTTATAGGAGCTTAGTATAGTAGAAGCACCCGGTCGGTGTGCAAGGGCCCCGCTCCTTGTAATGGCTCCCCGATTCCAGTCGGAGGATTGAGATATGGGCAACTTGTTCCAGGAGAATATGGTGAAACAGTCGCCTGGCGTCACTGGTAAGTAGTACTTCTATTTACTGTTTACCGAATGTCTGTGCTGACCATAAAATTTCACAGGGGATGTGTCACTCCGGATATCCTGAGAAGCCTTGCAATAGTTGACCAAAGCACAATAATCGGCTTTGGCAACATTCGGTAAGAAGTCCTCTACGACATGCACGTTGAGTTTGTATTCACTTTCTCAGTCCGGAGGATCAGACCAAAGTCCGGCGAGCGATTGCGAACCAACGAGTGGATCCAGCGGACGTTCCCCTGACTGCCAAAATAGCTATCTCTGCTGCTGCTCATGTTGCACCTTCCACCTCCCAGGTGCCTGCCCGGAGTCAGAAAAAGCGCAAAGCTACATTTGAGCAAGCAGCACCGACAAACTCTCAGCCAAGCTCTGTAAAGCCGGTTATACGGGCTACTAGTAGTCCCATCGTGTACGATGTTGACGAGGATGATGACGATGATGAGGTCATCTTGATTGAATCTGACCCTGTAGATGTATTGTATTGCACCTTGAGTTCCAGTATTGTCGGTGTCCAATATTACAAAGGTGATTTTTTCTGCAGATTTTCTTCACATATGCATTCATTCACGTGGCGTTCCAAGGTCTCGTTGGCCCTGGGGAGGAAGTCACGCTAATTAGAGAGCCGCAAAATAAATACGACAGGTATTTATAGCAAATTATCGATATCGAGCTGAAGGCTAATACCGCTGCAGGAATGCCATTGAGGTCCAGAATATTGGGGGTAGTAAGGTTGGGCATGTACCGAAGCAGACAGCTGCGAAGCTTGCCCCTCTTTTGGATCGTGGCGCGATTACTGTTGAAGGTGTGATGCACGAAGGAAACTGTAAGTCTTCTGCATATACCATATAGGCAAGATTCCAATGAAAAACATAGTGTCTGGATTTAGCTACTCACTCTCGATGTGAGAATTTGTAACATTGCATGTATCGGAAGGATGCTCACTATTCACAGGACACTGAAGATTTATGGACCGTCTGACAAGAGGGACCAGCTAGAGCCCCAGTTAATTTGGGCTACTCCTCGTCAGCGCGGGTTTCCACCTCGCGGAGTAGGAGGCGCGACTAGACAAGTATCATCTACTGCATATGCAGTCGCTGCTGGGCCTTCGGCAGCAAGTTCGTCGTCCACATCTCAGCCGTCGTCAAGCCAAAGGTACGGAGCCAAAGCAACGCAATCAAAGTCCCAGCAGGAGGCTATCAAAAAGCAGCAAGAGGCCGTTAGAAAACATCAAGAAGCTCTGCAGAATGCAGCTGAGCTCAAACAGATGTTGGGCGGTCTAGAGAAAGTAGACGATGAGGGAAGACGTGCCTCTCTCCTGGATGCGTTATGTTCTGTCGACGACATTCTCAGTCTTCCGGTCCATCCCGCTCCCCCTGGCATCGCCAATGGTGATTTGGTTGTTGATTTACTCAGGCACCAGGTAGGTGGAAGTTGCTTGTGTATTTTTCATCTACTTGATTCTCGCATGCAGAACCAAGCGCTGCAGTGGTGTATTGATCATGAATACCCGTCTTTACCAACTAAGGAGTCCGACAAGCCGGTTCAGTTTTGGCAGTACAGAAAAATTGGCTCGGAGGTGAGTTAACCTTGCTTCTTCTAAACTTTCAGTCATTCATTCAGTCATATCAGCCCCACTACTTCAACAGTTGAGTATGTGATATTGTTTGCTGTACTTTGCTCATCAATATGAATAGTCGCAACGAAAACTCCTCAAGAGATATCATCACCTCCTCTGCTCGGCCGTGGCGCCATCCTGGCAGATAGCATGGGGCTGGTCAGTAGGACTCTCAAACACTTAGAGGTGATATTAAACTTGCATGCAGGGGAAAACGCTTTCCATGCTAGCTCTCATTCTTGCAACTAAGAAGGACGTTCCCACTGATCATTCGAGGAGCACACTTATTGGTAACATCTTCTGCTTTCTCATTTGAGGGTATTTCTGCTGATTAAGGATACCAGTTGCTCCACTTTCGGTCATATCCAACTGGGAGAAACAGATTGAAGAACATTGCGTCAGAGGTGCAATCTCATGTTGCACCTATTATGGTGCAACACGCGACATGACACCTCAACAACTCTCGCAGTATGATGTCGTCATCACTACATATCAGACGGTCACCGGAGAGTCCGACGTTTCTGCAGCTGCCGTTGGTCATGAACCATCTAAGAAGAAAAAGAAGATTGAAAGGGCGCTGTTCGACGTGAAGTGGAAGGTGAGTGAATAATGACATGAACACAAGCTATAACCTATCTACTCTCTGTCCTTCAATTAGCGAGTCATTCTTGACGAAGGACACACGATTCGTAATCCGAAGACGAAGATGGCTAAAGCTGTTTGCAGACTCACGGCCCAACGCAGATGGGTGTTGTCTGGCACTCCCATTGTGAGTGTACAAATTTTGGATGCCAAATAGTTCACCTACAATCCCATATTTTTAGATTAATTCTCCAAGGGTGTGTTTTCCAGAGATATGGTAGAAGAAAAATGACTAAACCACAAATGCTTGCAGGATCTTGGGTCTATCTTGACCTTCCTTCAGATTTGTCGTCCACTCGACAACGAGGACTTCTATAAGCGTTTGCTCCTACGTCCTTTGAAAGATGGAGATCCTTCCGGTGCAGAACTGCTGCGAGTGAGTAGTTACTACCCTATGTCGAATCCTACTGATTACTACGGCTATAGGCTCTGATGAGTCACGCCTGTATTCGTCGTACAAAGGAGGTAAGGTACTGCAGATTACAGACGGACAGTCCTGATCGAACCTGGATTTTGTAGATGCAAGACAGATTTGGGAAGCCACTTGTGCCTTTACCTCCGGTAGTGACGACTGTTGTTTGCTCCAAAATGTACGATGGTTCTAATTTCTCTGTTAGGTCGACATTACTGTCATTCCAGTTCCATTAGGAGATGAAGCACGAGTACGTTTTGTCTGCTGTTGCAATATCGGTCACACTCAATGTCATATAGGCTCTATATGATGCTATTGGTTCAGTCTCTCAGCAACGAGTGGAGAGGTTCATGAATCAACAAGGAGGGATGACCACTGCGGTACGTATTCCCCGATCGCAAGGCCAATTATGTTAACCTGGGTTCCCCTTATAGTTCACAACAAACGTCCTTAGTATGCTAACACGGCTACGACAAGTAGCTCTGCATCCAGGTCTTCTTCCTCCAAACTACTTGGAACAACTTCGTGCTACAGAGGATAATGAAGAAACTGCAGGTGTCGCTCTCCCGGTTACTCAGGATCAGAGGCGCCTTCTGCAGAGTCTCCTCGCTAAAGCTATTGAAGACAATGAAGAGTGTCCTATTTGCTTCGACGTCCTAAACGATCCAAGGATCACGGCTTGTTCCCATTCTTTCTGTCTCGCATGGTCAGGATTCGTGATAGTGCTTGACAGCAACAGTATTCTGATTTAATTTCCAGCATTTCTGAAGTGATAGCCAGAGACCCGAAATGTCCTATGGTACAGCTATGTCTATAGCAGTCTTCAGTTCGCTGACATATCTCTAGGATCGCCGTACCATTGGGATGGGTGATTTAATAGAACCACCACCTCCCACTGAACTCACTCAAGTGCCGGTCCGTCATGATGAGAACGAAACTCATGATAGCACACTGCGAACCGGATCGTCTGCAAAGATTGATCAATTGATCCACCTCCTCCAACTCATCCCTAGTGACCAGAAGAGCCTTGTTTTTTCCCAGTTTACTTCATTCCTGGATAAGGTGCGCCTGAAGCCTCAAGGTATTGCAATCATGCTCATGTCACTGCATCCAGATCGGCGAGGCCTTCGAGGAGCATGGGTATGTGACCTTATTACTGATCGCTTCTAATTAATGTTAATTGCGTCGTAGCATTCCATATGTGCGATTTGATGGCCAGCTGTCAGCAAAGCGACGGAAAGAAGTCCTTGAGCAGTTCTCTATTCCACTTGAAACTGAAGGGGATTTGGTTGACATCGAGACTTCCCTTCCGCCACGCAGAAGACGTACCTCGACACAAACAACTTTCGTGGAAGAGGATGTCCTTCTGGAGGACGATGATTCCAGCTTCATCGTAGATGATGCTGACGATGACACTGACGACTTTCAGGAGGACATCTCTACCATGGCAAAGAAAGGCAAGGGAAAGTTGAAGCCCAAGAATAAGGGTAAAGCGAAAGCAACATACGGCCCGTCAACTAGCCAGAAAGCTAAATTCGATGGCTCCTCCTTTGGAAGCAAGATTCCCAGAGTGATGTTGATTTCTTTGAAAGCTGGATCACTGGGTCTGAACCTAACTGCTGCCAATAATGTCTTTTTGTAAGTGATGTATTCTTATCCCTGCAACTTCAAATTTACTCGGTATCGTAGGATGGACCCGTGCGTTTCCCTATGATAGCTAATTCCAACGAACTGACCTTAACCCACCCGTATTAGCTGGTGGCAGGCAAGTTCTTCAGTCTCCCCTTCCGCAGCAACGACTTGACGTACACAACAGGAGGGTATTGAAAGTCAAGCGATCGACAGATGCAATCGGTGAGCTGCAGCACGTGTCTTCTCCCATTGACCGAACTAACTTGAAGAAGTATTGGACAAAAGCGACCAGTTCACGTTTACCAGCTGATCGCCGAGAATACTGTCGAGTCCAAAGTACGTTCGCTGAATTAAACGTTCTATCTTACTGAAATTTCCATCAGGTCATCGAGATACAAGAGAGAAAGAAGCTTCTAATTCAACAGGCAAGTGTTAATGACCGCTTTCTAATTATGGCACACCTCACTGATCGCACGTTTAGGCGTTTGCTGGAACCAAGCGTACGGAGACTCCAAGACAAAAGAAAGAAGCTAGATTGCAAGGTACGTGTCTGGTCACTGACAACAAGACAGTTTTTAGAGTAAGTTTTTCTAGACATCCTCGAATTGATGGGTGGCATCCGCCAGCAACAAGCTTGATAGGCCTCAGTTATTTCGCCTGTAAATCATTGTCTATATCCACGATGTCAATAATTTCGCCCTCGGAACGTTATTACGAACACCTGATAGTTGAAGCAGGACTTATCACCTATTATAGGACAATAGATGGAAGATGTGAAAGTGGAAGAAAGGTGCTGTCGAGACGATTGATTTGTTGTGTATTACGTAACCTTCGTAGTTGCTTCCTCAAGGCCTCATGCACATGGTCAACTCGTTCGCAGTTGCAATAAACCGAACAATCAATGTGGTTTATGTACTCGTGGAGTGATAGATTTCTGTAAAAATAGGTTTGTACACTAATGGACAACGGTAGGAAGCGGACTGCTACACAACTCGTTTGCTCCCTCGATGAGAACGCGAGAGCTTTCCCCGGACTCAGGACTAGTTGGAGAAGCTAACTCAATCTCTTGGGTATGCCGATGCTGACCTTGCGGAGTCTCAAGATCGTAGGTGCTAACCGCAGAATAAAGTGTTGACGGACCCTCTCTGACACCGAAAGAGTCTCTGAGTGGGAACGAGTCCAATAGACGCAAGCCGTCAGAATCAGACACCGCTGAATTAAGGTCCAGCACCATCCGACACCCAAGGACGATTTCAATGACAGCTGCGAACCCCTCTGGAGCTTCGAACCAGCTAAACTGTTGTTGTTAAAGTCAGTCATGAATCAAAAGCAGTTTGTGGCAGGACCAGACCCACCCCTAATCCTTGCCAGATTCCCGTATTTACAACGTTCGCAACGAGTATGCTATCGGGTGCGGTCACGACAATGTATTGCAGATATAATTGGCTCTACTTACCAGAAGAAGTAATGGAGGTTGCCATACACGAGAGCATCGACAAGGTCTTTTCTCTCCATGCGGAAGATGTTGAAGCCAAATCTACCGCGTTTAAACCCGATCCTTCCTGCAAGCACGAATAGAAATGTTCCAAAAACGATATCGGGCAACCACACGTAAGCAAGCACAGGCGGCGCGTGCGTGACGGCACAGATTCTAATATTTGGCATCGGCTTATTTGTATCTAGAAAATGTCAAATTTGGAGCAATTGTGCGGGTAAGTGGATACTCGCTGGTATTCTCTGCCATGCCTATTCCTAGAAAGATAGACATGACTATAACCTCCATCGTGAATCCGACCGCCATCGCAATCAGGACCGCTAGAGATCGACGGTATAGAGCGTACACTCGGAGCTGCAGTATGACTGAACAAAGGTCAACGATTTCATCTGAAAACATGAAACATGTCTCACGCTGAACTGCCCAAAGAATGCAGAAACTGGGCCACCCTTGAATGTTTAGGAATAATGAACCTGAATGGCCTTATAAGACTTGGCATCATAGCTGGAAATTCCTGCTCACAGCTAATAATATTGTTTCAGTGTCAAGGTAGGGTGAACAGCTGATACGATAACGATGTTCGGAATACAACTTACAACTAAAAGGTGTTCAGTTCCCAGAAATGGAGTAATAAGAAACATACCTCTTTAGAAGTGTGTTTGCTCATAAATGCTGAAAAGGACGTCATTCTGCGATGATTCGAGACTAAGATAAACGTTGACTACCTGAAGCAGAGAGACTAGACAAGAAGTCAGCGATTGTATTATTCGTTTTGGACGAGCAAGAACTCACAATATGAGTGCGCCGCCACCAAATCTCACCTAACTGACATTCAAAAGCATTCTACAAGTATGAGCGCAATCTTACAATGATATATAATATGTTGGAAAATCTCATCGGCCGTCTCTACGATAGTATTCTTGAGCAAGTCAAATCCTGCATATGTTTGACAAAGACGGACCCATATAAACTCAACCTGTAAGAAATGAGACAGTCGAACCCACACGATGACGGAGATCGCACCTCTCGATCGAGCGTGAGCACTAGCCAAAAGCATCAGCGCAGTGGTCTTGATACGCACCCTGAGACGTACAGTAATCATAACAGAAAATGATACAAGGACACACTATGATATATTAAAAAGTAAGTCAGAATGTCGACCAAAGCACGTCTAATACTCACGTTGGCAGACACGAGTAACCCACACATTGTGAGCGGCAAGCGCAAAAGCTTGCGGGTCATAATTTGCGAGGTCTGGATTGTATGACATGATCGATATTTTTCTGAAGGGTCCAAGTCTGTTCTCAATTCACGGGGAGGAAATGACTAGGGACGTTGGTGGTCCTGGGGAAAGAGTTCGATTGGACACATGAACGCCAGGGCAACTTTAATCAGGTCATATCATGCTTCTCGAAGTCGACAATTAATACTTAGGAAGCAAAGACAGAAGCTCTTGCATTTTTCACACGAATGAGACGTAATCAATCCGTTTATCATTATTAAAAGAAAAAAGGGTCACCCTTAAGTACCAAGTACCCTTCACAACCATATATTCAATGTCATCCATCGAGATCGTAAAGTAAACGTACCAGCTGGGCAGAATTACATAGGCTGAGTGCTTTCTCTGTTCAGAAATACGAGCGAATCTTATCACTGTAGGTCAAAATTTCAACCATTTTGTCGTAAGATATCTATACCCGAGGTCACCTTGGTAGTGTGTGTACAACTTACTGATAGACTCCGGTCAGAAACAGAATGCCGAATGCCCATATAGGATATGCCATAGCCTGCAACCACCCATGCTGCACCGTCAAAATAAACACGAGGTTGTAAATGTACGCACAACAAGAGAGAATGATATTTAGCGGAGGAAAGACCTGCAACGACGGTCCGATATTAAATGAGTATTCCTCGGGGCGCTGGACAGAGACGAAGGTTGAACCCTCATCACATCATGTGGCGCCAAACACTTATCATGGGAGATTAATGGGCTTTGTTGCAGAAAGTAGACTGGAAAAGAAATAACTTTGCGAACCACAACAATTTAATGATACAAGACAAAATCCACGATCTACTCGGAGATGAGGCCATCGGCAAAACAGTTCGGTTGGAAGGATTTAAAGTCACATCCATGATCGTGATCCCCGCACGAGGTTGACACGAGGGTATGCTGGAACTGTATAGTTCTCGGCATTTGCCGGAGGGCTGGCAAACCTTATTCTTATGTGGTGGCACAACAGGAGCAAACAGCCGCTCATCGTCGCGCAAAAGGTCCAAGGCCACCTTACATCAAGATCCCTCAAGTACCTCAAAATGGCCACCACCCTTCCCAAGGACGTTTCAAAAATCGGTCAGGAAATTAAATTGTTTGGAAAGTGGGACACCCAGGAGTATGTTTGGATTTCTCGATGCATAGTCTTTATATTGACGTGACTTCGGTCCAGTGTCGAAGTAAAGGACATTTCCCTCACGGACTACATCCAAGTCCGCCATGCTGTCTACTTGCCCCACACTGCTGGTCGTTATGCCAAGAAGCAGTTCAAGAAGGCACAAATGCCTATCGTCGAGCGATTGGTTGACAGGTGCGCCAAAGATCCTTCCACGAAGGTGTAGACGCTGAAAGTTTGGCCATAGCTTGATGATGAAGGGCCGCAACAACGGCAAGAAGCTCATGGCCGTCCGCATTGTTGCACATGCATTCGAGATCATCCACCTCCTCACCGACCAGAACCCCATCCAGGTCTGTCGGGCGAAAGTTACTGCACAACACAAGTGTTAATCCATACATAGGTTCTTGTTGACGCCATTGTCAACACCGGCCCTCGGGAAGACTCCACCCGTATTGGTTCTCAGGGTACCGTCCGCCGTCAAGCCGTCGATGTCTCACCCCTGCGGAGAGTCAACCAAGCCATCTCCCTCCTAACTATCGGCGTAAGCATACCCTGACCTTCATAATTATTTTCACATATTAATTTGGTATCAGACGCGGGAGTCTGCCTTCCGCAACGTAAAATCCATTGCCGAGTGTCTTGCTGACGAGCTTATCAACGCTGCCAAGGGTTCCTCGAACTCTTACGCCATTAAGGTAAATAAATGTCTTTGACAACAATCATGACCTCATCACCGCTGTCAACAGAAAAAGGATGAGCTTGAGCGTGTTGCCAAGTCTAACCGGTGAAAACCGCTGCTCGCGTACTTTGGGGGACTTGTGCAATCCGAGTGCGACTGCTGTGGGCTTTCTGGATATTCATTTTTTCTGCTTCATTATCAACGCTGCGCTCATGCTGCACTCATGTTTCTCTATGTGTATGTTAACCACGCTGACATTATGCATGCACATGATCCCGCATCAACCATATGCTACATACATATGCCACATAGAATGGGTGGCTATGTTCTAGGAACGTTCCCACAACGACAGAGAAAGTTAACGTTTGAACACTGCTTTACATTTGGACTTGTCACCGCTGGTGGAGCTTATTGATCTCACATGGATCGGACCTGGGCCTGATCACGGAGCTATTCAGCGCGCGTTCCAACCAAAATCCAGGAAATTGAATTAGGTGTACAAAGAAGCAGAGTAATTCTCAACCCCAGGGATCAAATGAGATACACACCCCATGCAATCTGATGGGGCGCGGGGTCCGAGCCGTCTCAACCTCGAGTGTCCTGTCTTCGACGGCACTCATATAATAAGTAGAAGTACATATGTACGTTTTATCTCCTTCAACAAGCAGGAAAAGAGGACCGCGTTGAGAGGACGAGAGCCGTATAGATCGGGATAAATACAAGGAATGAGAGGCCAGTGCTAGATGCGACGGGATGATGGCGGTGACGATGCAATTAGCACATCCTCTCAACCCAATGAACAAGAGTCGGCAGACCAGCAGGGCAGTGACGGTACGGAAACGGACGGATCTCGGCAGGCCACGGCCAGGGCAGAGGTGATATCGATGACAAGTGATATGAGTAATAATACAAGTTTGATCTAAAGTTGGGAGCGCTAAATGCACTGGTCTGCAGCAGGGTGCTACGAAGGGTTGGACGAGGTCGCTAGAGCGCAGGCAACGTCTGTTGAGGAAAGCTGGCGCGATAGGGCGAGAGATCCGGAAGGCTTGAAAACCTTCTCCGCAATGAAATCCGAGAAAATGAATCCAAAATTTTCCGTGGATTGCAAGTAAAATCATGACTCCAGATGATAATGCCGACAAGAAATGAGAACCGCATGAAATGGTGTGGCCTCTTATGGCCTGCTACCGGAGTACAGACGCGTGCCGGGATGAGTCGCCTGTTATCGGTCCAGGAGCAGGCTTGGGGACGACGCCGGCAAGTCCGAGATAGCCAATGTCTCGGCCGAATTCTTTGATCATGGCTTTACCCATCAGGCAAACCCAGCCGAGGCCCTCTCCAGTTACACACTGGCCAGGCCAGAACAGTTCCCCTTCCTCATCCTCGATGTCAGGTTCGTGTTCTTCGTGCGCGGTCAGACTCGAACTCATCATCCGGGCAAATGTCGTGGGATAATGCCGTGCCAGTATGGGCAGGGTCAGAGTGCGTTGAGCATACTCCATACAGTACCCTGCAGCCATAACGCCACCGGATAGCTCCTTGACGTTAAACGCAAGCGCGGGATTAATGGGCGCTGTTGCCTTGGCGGCTGCTTCGACCATATTGTAGCTCGCAGTCTGTCCCTTGGCTGTCTGAGGCAAAAGACCATGCATATACTGTGGGAGTGCGGTAGAAATCGGGGGTGCTGAACGCGAGGGAGCGGGCGAGTTCGCCAGATTGATACCGCTAGAGGTGTTCACACTCGGAGTGCCGCTCGCACTGTTGTTTATGGGTGTAGAATTTGCACTATTGACAGGAGCTATGCTTGCGGGGGAAGGAAGCATTGGTGGTGTAGGCTGTCCATCCGCTTTCTCCGCATTGCTGCTGAGGATCATCATCTCAGTCTTCATTTTCGCCCATATGCGGTCCATTTCAGGTTCTATGACGGTCTTTGCTGAAAAAAAGAACTTTCGCCCATGGATGAATCCTTCAATCATCCAGCTGTGTGCGTTAAATGCGTAAGCAGGACGGAAAATCGTAGTAAGGGGTGCTTACATCAAGCCCAAGAGGGCTTTTTCACGATCGCCAATCGTATCAAGCTCAGCGATCCATTTATTTTTACACCACCCAAGGAATGCCTCGATAGTGGCCCAAGTCTCACGGAAGCACGATTTCCTGCTGAAATCCTTGCTCCACAATGAGTAAGTGAAGCATACAAGTGCGTCCACGAGCTCGAGCCGCGCTATGAGCCCTCCATGCTTATGATAAGGAGAATTTGGAGGCGGGGGATTAACCAGTGGACGGTACTCCTTGTGTGTGGCAGGATATGTGGACCAGAAGCGAGCATCGCCAGAATACTTGAGCATTCTACCATACTTGTGATATGTATCATGCATTTCATCGAAGGAGGTGAGTGCTGGACGTCCGCGCCGCGGACGCCGCACAGGCACAGTGGTTGATAGAACTGCAGGCGCCGGACCCCGGGGCGTCACGGCAGTGGTATCTTCTCGTACTTCGCCATCCTCTGATGGCTCAGAACGCAAGTTGAATGAAGGAACTGCATTTGAGGACCTGAGCGGTTGCGAAGGGGGTGGTGGTGGTGGGTGGTAGTGATGATGGTGATGTGATGAGGGCTTCTCTGGTAGCCCGTTTGTTCTGGAACGCTTAACGACGTCATGTTCCTGTGATGATTCATGCTTTCTCTTGGTGGGTGGTGCACTAGGGGAGTTTGACCGGGATGCGGGGGGTGACGGAGGGAGGTCTGGTGGCAGCGGTGCTGCGAGAGGACCCAAGATCTACAATGGGACGAAGAAAGAGTTTAATCATCTTGAATAAATTAGTAAATTGAGAAGTTGAATGACCTCAAGATTCTTTAAGAGTTGCTCTCTCGACCATCTACTGAAGAGATAGGATGAGGGAGGGTGAGAATTGGGGAGCATGAGGCAGGGAAGTTGACTTACCGTTTCTTCATCTTTTGGAGGGACGTAGAGGATGAAGAAGAGGAGGAAGACGACTGGGAGAGCATTGAGGAGTGATGGTGTTAGTGGGAAGAGAGAAAGCAGTGGCCAGCGCAACAATGGCTGGTGAGTTTGGGTGACCCGCTAAGACGGAAGCAGAATTTGGTAATGCCTTGCCAGGTCACAGCGCTTATAGCTTTACATTATTCTTTCAAAAATCCAAACCACCGGTCTTTTTTTGTTTCATTTCTGGTTGCTGTTTCACAGCTATAAAAGATGATTTTACTAGTACTTTTTACTTGTTTCATTCTGCAATTATGCACAGGAATCGACGTGTTTAACGGTTGTCATCCGTGGTGTTCATTGGCATGGGGCCTGGTCAGTTACGCCATGCATAGCCTTGTTGGTTTTATCGGGTGAAGCTTCTTGACTCCCTGTCCAATATCCACTCGGTGCCATCAACTATGTGCCTAATCCCCTCCCTTCGGCACATGGGAGTGACATTGACCGACTCCCCGAGGATAGCGTAGGGCATATATAACCTACCGCTGTTTACGGGAATAGGGTCATGTGGGTGCACATGGACGGTGAGAGACAAAACAAGCGGCACGTTTATATATCCACAGCTAACACGTTGATTCAGATTCAGCCGGCTTCCATGACGGGTCTTGCCAAAGTTCGAATTGGAACTTGCTATGTAGCCGCATTTTTCATATCTACTACTTTCGGAGAATGACCCCGCTCGGCTTAGGAAAGGCTGAGAACTCCCAAATTCACGAGGACTTTCAATTCCAAGGTTCCATGCTTGCCACGCCTTTCGCGCCCCTCCATCTATGGAGCTCCCATCAACGTGCACTTTAGACCCATAAAACCTACTGTTCAACCCAACCTGGCCTACTTATAGCAGCTCAGGAACATGATACGGATTGCGACACTCTTGAGAAATGTTAGCATCAACTGTCTTGGTTATTTATACCCATTGTGCGTGCTGACATACAGTTTAATTCTCCAAGTCTTACGGGAGAACCTTTTCTGCCCTGGGAAGGTCTTCTATGGGGAAAAACCCTTACATAAATTCCACATTTCTGAATTAAAGATATCAGGGGGGGTTAGCACCGTGGTTTGGCTTATGCCCTACAGGACTTATCGTGCTAATCTCATCTAAGCGAAATTGACACTCCACTAACGCCAAATTCCGCCTCATTCGCCATTCATTGGCATTTCTGGTCATCCCTGCAATGTCCAGTCAATGGTGTGCATAATACATATGTCGTACCCTGCACACAGTTAACGCCGCCAGGCGGCATTCTCGTTCAAATCGAAAGGTCATTTGATTCGCAATCAGGTAATTGGCTTGCTATTCATATCCAAACCTCGCTATTCTCCCGCGGCGGTAGGCTGATCGAAGACCACTCGATCTCAGCGTGAATGATAAATGCTACCGAAGTCTAACCTTGCGAACCCACCCCATAGAATGCTGTCGGGAAAATACTTGAAACATCATCGGGTAATCTTTGATCACCCTGTAAGCTACTCACCAAGTGCGGGCCACCATAAATCACCGGACCATCAGTCCTGGCCCACCAGGAGGGGATAGTACTCTTACATTTCTCATCAAGGTTTCGTTCTCCGGACCGGGCATTGACAGACGCACCGATCCTCCAAAGTCCACCACATGGTTTCGTCCTAGGAGTACTTCAATCCCTGGTAAACGGCGTATTCAAATACTGAGCCCTACTGAGGTCCCGATGGACTTTGATCGCCAAGCACAGCTGTTAGAACCACGGTGAACTTTCTGAGCGCTGGTTTGAAATGCGATCCTAGCGTATTTATGCAGTGTCGTGGGATGTTTGTCCGCGGTACCGGAAAGCCCACGCGGTTTGCCGGTAACGCAGCCGTCTATGTATGTCAACCACCACCGATGAGCGTGAATGTCTGCGTGTAGTATCCCTTGCGTCTCTGAGCACTCGATGGGCTGTACGACTTGATATGCGACGAGCGGAAATTGGAACTAATAAATGGTTTGATATCTGATGTCGGTGAATTGACATTCGATACTCTTAGGGGGTCCGCGGATAGCCTTGTACAAAAATGGCGATCGCGTTAATATGCCCATCAGGTTAATTTGGACCCCGGCGTTTGGCCCGATGACAATGCCGTTCATAACGCCTAGCCAGTTCGCTCGCGCTAAGCCGAGCAATGTTCATTTCTCCCTGAGCTTCGCGGGGGATTAAATTCTCGAGCGTCATATGTTACATATAATTGCCCATGTAACTTTATGAAGTCAACGGGGACTGTCATATCTGTATATGTTCGCGTGATAAGTCCAACGGAGGTGTGACATGAATGGGGTAGAGACTTATCACTGTTATCACCCACAGTTCGGTCCTCGTTTCGCCGGATTGAATACAAAACTGTCGGACAGCGCATATTCTTATCTTCTAGCTTTATCAGCGTCGAGATAAAAAGGTATTCGATTCCTTCGCCTATGCAGACCAGTGAGAATAAGTAGCACTCGGACTTCCATTCCGCGAAGCGTGCTCAACCGAGACGAAGAGTCGCATGTCAATGGTGCATCCTAATGTATTGAGAGAAACCGACTTGAAGGTAAATTTGAAACCAGCCCAATCGAGAAAGAGAACCGTATGTCTCGTGATCCAGGACCAGTAATTCGAAGTGAACGTAATGCGGTCTTCTTCGGGGCGCGACCGCAGCACGTCGTGTCAGCGTTGGCCCAACAACGTCTGGAACGTCAGGCCTTCAGGGGGGACACATGACAGAATCGCATGTCGACGTGAATCCAGCTTGGAATAGGGAAAAGCTAGCCAACAATCTCCGCACAAGACGCTGATTGTTAGAAATCTTGCCGTAAATCGATATGTCGTATGATAGAACGTTTGAACACTACTCTGTCGGACGACAGACAAGGCCCGGCGAAACGTTTCTTATAAAGTCCGGTGTTGCGATATGATTCCACTGTGAGAACTGACGTTTTGGTGCAGGAAAGGACAAACGTTCATAAAGATATTTAGGTTTGCGGTTTGCGGAGTGGCTGACGGAAAACTTGTGTCAACAAGAGTTGATAACGAGGAGAAGCCCACCAATATAAGGGCTCTTAGCATACCATAAAACGGCTTCAATACGCCCCCAAGCTTGCGATAACGTTTGGGGACCCAGAAGTATTTCATGTTCGGCACAATATTGTGGCGGGCGGTGGCTCGAATGAGTAATAACACCCAATTCATAATGTTAGTATTCTGACAATACAAATACCGTAAGCGATCGAGTCTGTTGGAATGGAGAGGATCTCTCACTCTAGCGTGTGGCACAGTCGCAGAACCAGATTATCAGCAGTGAACAGAAGCTTCCTGTGCAAGCATCTTACGATCGGTCCTATGGTCTTCGCGGCCTAGTGAGAATGGCCCCATGTAGTTAGAATATGCGACTAGGCCATCCGAGGGTAAAAACAGGTACCGTGACATCATCGTGACGATGGGCAGCGGGATACTTACTGATAGCCTGAGTATATGCGTGCTGTATGGCGTGTCGAGAGTGGGATTTCTTTTTCGAGGCATCTTGGCTCATAACACGAGGCGCTTGACGAAGTGGCGATAGCACCGGCCACGGTCATATCCTTCAAGGCGATGCTACATAATATGAACTCGGAGATATCCAAAATTGAGTAGGTCCAGATGTAGGGGCATCCTGTGTCCTTGAAAAGGAGTCCTCCTTCGGGGTAGCTAGAGTAATAACGCGCCACGGCGTCACAAGCTCAAGGAGGAAGAATCGAGCATGCAGTATTATACCCGAACACCACCTGGAAGCACAAATACCTCAGCAAAGCGTTCCGCACCCTCGGTTATGGGGTAATCCAAGAAAGGTAGCTTTAAACCCATCAGACTCACAGTCCCAGTGTGGGATTCGGGGATATGTCGGTGACGGTGGGACTTCACCATCCTGGTAGGTATCTTGATATTTCGTGCGCGGCATGGACCGCCGCATTAATATCGATCATCTACCATCCCGGCGGATATCTTAAATGAACCGCTGGTGTGCCCCAGTTCTCAAGGATAGTCTAGGACAGTCGCCCAAAATAAACCCCTTCGCTGAAGAGACGTAACAACTTTAGAGTGAATTACATTTCAAACCCTACTGTAAAATTTCATGAGACCGCGATCAAAGCGTATATAAACTGATACTTACATTCAAGTCCAAGTCCAAGTCCCGGATTAATCATAGTATCAATGATCAAACACCGACTCGGAGAATGCAACGTCCTATAGGAAGTAAATTTATGTAAACGCAGAATGAAATAAAGCAATGAAAAAGATACAACTATAATTGCCAATTGGACCTGAGGATCGTCAGGGGAGTTTCAGCAATGCAGCAGATCCCAGAGTGTCTGTTGTGATCGGGATCATCGTCATCATGGCTATTTGTTTCCGTATGGCAGCCAAGTCGCAGCGTGATCGTACATAAATGTGCCATTAGCACATTCATGTGTAGATCTCTGAAACATACATCTGATCGTAGTCCATCATAGCATGACAACGAAGGCACACTTGGGAGGAGCTTGGCCAAAACGTGACAACAAACTCACATGCACGTGACCTGTCACACCGCGTCTGTCATCGACGCGCCGGCATGACTCGCGAGCAGATCGAAATCTTGGTACGATTCTAATGCACAACGTGAAAATCAAGAAAATATGATATACACCCTTCTCAGCTCTGCAAGTGTGCAGCCTGAGCTCCAGCTATCTATAGGTAGCAGTCGTCGTAATAGTACATATACACCAGTATCCTCCTTGCCACTATAGGGGAGATCGAGTTACACACCTGCTGGTAACGTGATGATACAGGATGAGGCGAGGAAAAAAAGGAATCGAGAAAAGTGATGATAGTGATGGAGGTGAGCATCGGTAAAAATGGAAACGATAGCAGCGCGACAACAAACGATGGGGTCTTGCCCTTGACAAATCCAGTAACTGCGTACCTGAACGAGAGAAAAGAAAATTGAGGAATAAAGAGGGAGAAGGGGAGAAAAAGAAAAGAAACCTGGGAGATGATGGTGAGAAGACGGGGAAAATGAAAATGACGAGAATAGGAAAAGAACTGATGCAACAACTTCTCAGTCCTGAAAATCGATGATAGTACATTCTATGCATTCATTCCTTCAGATCCTTCCTTCCTTCATTTCGTTGATCTTGTTCCGATGGGCCAGATTATCCTGACCAGTGACGAAGTGCGATACTTGTGCGATATAATGTGATGTGATGTGCGATGTGCTCCAGTACTCGTTGCAATTCGTGATATCATGATGATTGGGTCCCTCCAGTGCGTTAGAAATTCATTGACGTATTGAAACAAAAAGAATCTGCGCAAGTCTAACGCCTGCGAGTCCTCGGGCGCGAGCGTGACTTTGGTTTAGGCACAGGTGGCGGGGAAGTAGCATCTGCGTGCTCGCCGCCTTCCTCGGAATTGGTATTCGTCGAGTTGGTTCTCTTTGGTGGGGCCCTGGACCTTGGCTTTGCACGGGAAGCTGAGGGGCGAGATCTCTTGGCGGGAACAGGTTTCTCCTGCTCAGCTTCTTCCTCGTCTCCGTCCTCGCCAGTATTGTCAAGACGCTTGACGGCCTTCTCCGTGCGGCCCTTCTTTGTTTTTTCCTTGTCTGGCTCCTCCTCACAAACAGTGCTACTTCCAGCGCTTTCAGCGCCTTCCACGGATTCTGCCGACAACTCCCGCGAGTGGATGCGCGTGAGAGTAGTAGCCGAAGATGCCGGTGAATCACCTTTCTTCCGCTGGCTCCTACGCGGCTCTGGCGAGACAGATTTCTCAGCATCTTGTGCTGGCACAGGGATTTCGATGAGCTCGCGTTTAGCTGCGCGCGTCAACATAAGCACTATTTCCGGTTCCGGTAGTTCGGTGGCTGCTTCGACCTCATCGGGCACATCCTCTGTCTCCGGGTTGTCAGGCGGGGAGAATTCTTCCGGTTTCCTCGGGCTCCTAGTAGTTGTGACAGTTCTGCGCGTCCTTGCACGCTTCCTTGGTGGTTGAGGCACGAGGAGATCGTCATCATCATCTTCGATGACTTGTTCTTGGATCATAGTGGGCTTGCGCTTGCGCAGACTCATGCGGGTTTCGCTTTCAGATGGTACGTATGCGGCGTACCAGGGTTGGGAAGATAAGGCACTGGAATAGGCGTGTTGTAGTGAACCAAGAATCCACAGGTTGTCTTGGGTGGCTATCCAGCCGATGGGTGAGATGATTGGAGTGGGGGTAGTATCTGAAGTAGATGTTAGTATATGATTGGGAGAGTCACACCGAGTGTAATGGAAAGTAGAATCGATAGGCATCAAAGGCAACAACGCAGGAATTATGGTGCACGGGACCGCATAGGAGGGAACATGTCGACTAAACTCACCTAATACACTCTGCACAATGGCTGCAGTGTTCCTCTTTTGTTCCTTATTCCAAAAGACCCAATGTGCAGGGTGCATGGGGCGATAGAAGACGGCAAGAGCAGCAAGCGCTAATACTCTACTGTCGCTTGGGAGTTCGGGTGCGGCAGGTGGTGCAATGGTAGTGGCAGTGAGAAACTCGCGGACGGCGGGCAGCATGACAGTAATGACGCCGTTTGCGAGGACACCGGGTGCCACCTGTAGGGGGTGTAGAGATGACTGCTTTGTGGTTGGAAGTGGGATGGAATTTGCAGAGAGGACATGGAGAGGGTCATACCGCGGGAATACAGGTTTTGGAGGAGTGCGGGGTGGCATAGATGGAGTATTCTGTGGGCCATCTGGACGGATTGAGGAGATTGGGAAGCGAGAGGGATGGATTGGGTAGTCGAAATATGTGGGATTGGCCAGATTGTTCATTGTTATAGCCAATACCTCACGATGGCGGGGATAAGTTTGAGAGCGAGTGGACAATGATTGACATAAAGAATCTACTATGGCTGGCATAGTCATGCTGATGGATAGTATAAAATCCCAGGAAGTGATGAGCTGATGGTAGACCAGATTTAAATGTTAAAGAGGACCAGTACACGCGATGAAAGGATGGTGTCAAGAGTCAAAAGGCTACAAAGCCAATTTAACGTCAGAGTGAGTAATTGTAAATGTAAATGCAGGGCTATTGCTTGGCTCACCGCGCCGGCTGCACCCCACGCCTCGCACATCTTTCCCATTTGAGCTACATCTAAACAAACACGCGGCGGCTAATTCTCCCACAAAGAGACAGCATAATGAAAATAAGTATCTATCACTACGACCAAGCTCACTACTCTTAATCGTCTACACCGCTGCCAGTCCCCACCCTCAACGTTAACGGAACCATATCGGACCTAATGACATACATAGACTACTATTTTGGTTTCTCGCTAATCTTATCAAATCCTCATCATGATCAGGCATCAATCTGCTATTATATCCGACTAAAATATTGAATCCCCCCAGTTGTATGAGACCTCAGATCATATCGATCAAGACTTGGTGCCGAACTGCCAACATGCTGCATAATTTTCGAGCAGATTACTGGACGTGGTGTTAAGAGGCTTCATCAATATTAAAACCGAGGGACGTCTGGGTCTGAGATCTCTGGGTCAAAGGGCAATTTATTCGGCCGTAAGTTACAACCAAATCGGTCACGGTGCGCATTACCCCTGCAAAAACCCACGAAGTGAAGTAACATTTGTGCACTTAGTTACTAGTACTCATTGTTCATGAGCATACCAGAAAACAACTATCTTCGTCACAATAATACAAGAGGGACATTGATCGTCTGTGTTACGTCTGCTAGCGGCCCTGCGCGAAAAACCATATCCTCGAGCCTCGAGGAAACCGACAGGCAATCGCTAAATACCCGATTACCAAAACAAGACTATCGAGCACAGCCACACATAACTCATGCACATTGCAGTGCTACTCACGGCACGCACTGGTCACTGAAGTTGCTTCCATCTGGCCTCCATGGAGCAAGAACATGTGTCGCCTCCAGAATCACAGCCGCCCCCTGGCATCGTTCCTCGCTTTGTCAGGAGTTTCAGCAAGGCCAGCGCTACAACAGAGCAATCTACATCAACCGCTCATGCAGACGCCGAACAAGTTTTACCATCTTCCACATCGAAACTTGCACAAGCGAAGATAAATACTATAGACACGTTTTTGAAGTATGCACGAAAAGCGAAGAGGCCAGGATTTCCTCCATCCTCCTGGTTCGTGGAGGAAGGCAATCAAGGTCAACGACCGATCACTCCCACTGCTGCATCCCTTCCTGCTTCCCACATCATTGATGATGAGATTCAGGAGGCAGGCAGCAGTGCGACTACTGATGCGATTCAATTTGATGGTGGTGAAGAAGTCGGAGTTGAAAGCGAACCACCAGAACCGGACACTCTCGCTCGAAAAATTCAAGCAATGATCGCATCACTGCCCTCCATGCCATCTGGGCTACCCACTTCTTTCCCCCAATTCCATACTACACCATCCGGAACGCCAGTCATAAATTCCGATGACAATCCTCCCATTTCTTCCCCAGGATTTTCCGACTCAAAGTTGATGACATTCCTCACTTCATTCACCGTCATGAATGGGTCAATCGATCGTGGGAGAGAGTCCGTCTGGTCTGTGTTAGACCGATTGCGATCCCCTATAACAAAGAGGAATGGCACCGCTGGGCCAAACGCAGGGGAACCGCGCACTGGCGCGGAGTATGAAGATGACAATGGATCGGTGATGATGTACGGGCCTTTAGAACCCACCGAGGACTCGGAGATAGAGATCGCGCGCTCTGAGATTGTCTCACTCAATGGAGATGGAGAAGAGATCCGCACGCCCCAGCTGACTTTCGTTCCCCTTCCATCAGAGTCGATCGAACAAGTCCTCGCCCAGAGCGAGAGTTTCGATAAGCGCAAAGGGAAACAAAGGGCGGACCCTGAGCAGTTCTCTTCCAGCAGCAGAGTAGAACCAGGGGACATGACTGCTGTTGCTGTAAGTGAGCAAGTAGAATATCGTGTCTGGCTCCCATCGCCTACAAAAATATCCATTCAAGCTATGTGGTGGGGATTTCGAATGTAGGTGTTTACTGATGTAATCGCACACCTTCAAAACTAATGTGGTTGGTTTAGTTACCTTCCGCCTCCTGTTCTCGATGCTCTCAATGATAAACAGCTTGAAGCTGCCAAACGGGCTGCCATGATCACCACCGCGCTGAAATGGCTACTGGATCATTTACCTATCTCGCTTATGCCACCGCAGCTGCGTATTTCGATGAATTTTCTCCGCCGACTTGTACCATACCTCGGCTACATCGGAGGCTTCATTGCCTGGAGCTGGTCAGCAGTCAAAGTTTTTGATAAAGGTATACGCCGTTCATTTACGTCACTGAATCTTGACTGATCACTGTCACAACGTTCCATTAAATCTAGGGTATGGAGTAGTTCTCACTGCCACTTGGCTCCTCCCAATTGCTCTCATACCGGGAACGTGGGAGGCGACCGACTTTCCATCGTTGGAAGCGGAACCCCAGACCCCCGCTTGGTCGAAGTACTAGCGCTAGTTTCGTTGTTCGATCACAATGTTCTTTGGACTTGCGATTCGCTACACACAGGAACTGTATTATCATTCATGGAGTCTGTAGAACTGTATATACGTGTCTTTTGATCTGTGTTTTGAGTTGCCCATCAATGCATCAAGTATGGTAGTTGTACTGTCTGAGGATTGCATCTACTATAATATTAATTACTAGAGCTCAAGTTCATCAGAAAATCTAGTTGAGTTGCACCGGTGATCTTTAATTGCTTCTGCATATTACATATTACGATGCTGTTACAATGCTGTTATAGCTAAAGCGCAGAATGATACCTTCCATATCGGGTACAAACAGACCTGCCAGTCTAGCGTCCATTTACGTTCGAAGATTATCGGTTCGCAAGCACGTTCAAACTGCGTTTACAGCCAATCAATGATTCCCGTCACGTCATAACAGCCGAACAACGCACAATCAATTTATTTTTTGGACACACAGGATATGTAAGACTGTTCGCGCTCTACAGTGCGGGGATATGCAATCGAGGCACACTCGCCACAAAATACCATCCACATTGATCACATATTTCGAAAAGCTCGGGACGCCCAGTCACAGATACCCACACCAGGCTCGCCGGACAAGTCAGCCAGGAGACTCGTTTCGAGACGCCATCATGTACTTGTCCGAGGGGGATGGGTGGACAAAGGTCGGTACCATGACTCGATGATCCTCGAGTAGTAGCGGTATCTGCATTAATTAGTTGTGGGCTGAATTATATCTGAACTGAGCTCCAACTCACAGGTGTGACGCCAATCGATAAGTCGAATACACGGTCGCGAGATTGCTGAGGTCACAGTACTTCATACCGACCAAGCCACGGAGTTGTCAAAAGTTAGGCCAGGGCGAGACACATACTGGGTGTGAGAAGTTCCTTGTAGGCAGAAGTAAAAAATGGAGTGTGATAGATGTCAGTGAGATCCGCTGGCGTGAAATACGCACTATTTAGCAAATTTCTTCCATTCGAGATCAACTGAACACTTTCAGTACCTTCCATAGAGCCGTAGAGTAGCGTAGCATGAATGATACATTGTCCGACGCCATGCGGAGAAATTTTTGTCAAAATGTTTATGTTGACACACCACACACGTAGTCTTCATATTTTAGAGGTCAACGGTCCTTCATAGCGGCGGCGTCGAAGCGATGGTTGATGTCGGAGGGGTGAACGAGTAGAGGCCAGGGCGCAATGGCGACAGCATTCGAACCGTGTGAACGGTGGACGCTTGGATAAGTTAGAATTTGGACTGAACGAAGGAAGACGAGTTGTCGGACCAGGGCATTGGACTGAATCGGAACGTACAGGTTCGGCGGAGTGAGTAGCGGGCGCAGTAGTGTTGGGGCGTTAGCGAGCAGGCTCCTCGGGGTCTTGCATAGGCTTGAAGGAGCAATGCTCCTAAGTGACGCAACTTATCCAGGATCCGAAGACGAATAACCAACGAATAACAGGGGTCTAGTTGGCTAGTTGGAGTCTAGTCTTAGAGGTCTGACGTCATCCTACTTAAGCATCACCTACATAAACACCAATCCCTTCGGTTCCCAAACCACATCCCTAAACCATTGCATCCATTGTACAATCATGTCTGATTTGAGCCCAGAACAAGCCCGCCTCGATCCCTACTCCAGCATCGCAGAGAGTGGGAATGTCACTCTTCAGGAGAAGATCACCGGTACGCATTCCTCTTCACGAACACCTGATTCATCCCACTGACGGCTCGTCAGGTTTGCACACCGTCATCCAGAAAGCAAAGGTCGGAATGCTCGTCACGCGCGACGTAAACGGGAACTTGCATTCCCGAGCAATGACTCCTACTAAGCGTACGAATTCAATCCTCGCTGCACACTATTCTTCATTCTGATACACTCGTTGCGTTTTAAAGCACTCAGCGACACGCAGCTGAACCTTGTGTTCCTCGCGAACAACGCGTCTCACAAGTTCAATGACATCGAGAATGATGCGCACGTCAATGTCAGCTTCTGTGACGCATCCTCCACAGACTGGGCATCCTACTCCGGTAGAGCCAGAATTACTGAGGACCAGGAATTGATCAATAAACTCTGGTCCCCGATGTGCGTGTAACTGTGTTATGCATTGACATATTTTGACTGGGCGCAGCCTTACCGGCTACTTCGGCGACCTAAAGGATGGTGTCCACAAGGGCGACAAGACTGATCCACGCGTCGCCGTGATCGAGGTCGTTCCGGATGAGATCAAGTACTGGATTACGAATCACTCCTCTGCGGTGCGTACAACGGAAGTGGCTTATGCCGCTGCTACAGGCAAGGCTACGGCTCCTGGACAGTCGCGCATCATCACCAAGGAAGAGGTCAGTGTTCACGTGAGTGAGGAGTTGACCCCAGTTTAATGTTTGTTTGTAGGTCCAACTTTCGCAAGGACTCTAATCCAAGTGGTTCTTTTTCGGCCGTCATAATTGTACTACTTGTCAGAATTTGCCCTGTAGTGATATCAGAAGTTTTGTTTCAATACGTGGACCGCTCGAGGAAATTGATTCCTATGTATTTCATATGTCCTGTGAATTCCAATCAATTTCTGTATTATAAGGGGCGACTTCCCCTTCTAGTCTGAGATGACAAGCGATGAGACGACAAGGAATCCTGATTCTCGTGCATGGCCTCGGCGTAACTGTCGAGCATATCAGGACCATAGGGTAAGGGAAGAGGAAAGCACTGTACAGTAGTTTGTATCGAACCAATTCTTCCTCAAGCTCCTCATTTCGCAGCCGAGCCATTACAAGCTGGTTCTGAACGACCGCTTAGTCAATGTATGAATTCAAAAGTTTAGGTTACAGCTTACAAGAATTTCGACATGCTCTGCATTTAATTGCGCCATATTTGTATCAAGTTCTTTCCTGTCATTAAAGTCCATGCATTCAAAGATGGTCAGCTGTACCTGCCGACGAGTACTCACACCTGCGCGGACAGGCTGCGATTGGTGTTTCGCAACTTATCGATCTCAATGGCATGTGCATCTCGGGTCCGAACAAGGTCCTCATACTCGTGTGAGTAAGCGTCCAACATGAATGGCGTGATCTTCACAGAGATAGCATCCAGCACGAACGCGTCTACATCATACTTAACGCTCTTATCGGGACCGGTGATATGATCTTCAGATGATTCCAAAGGGTCAATCTATTGAATTCACTGTGAAGCAGAGTGTAATGATAAGACGACGCGACCTACCTCATACCGATCAAAAATTTTGTTCTTCAGAAACGCGAGGATGTCATCAAACCTGAGGTTAAGTAGCTTGTCTTCATTCTTCTGGAGTAGCACGATGCTGAATGCAAAGATGGCTTCGATGCCACTGGCCAAACAATTGTCGTATATTCGGACTACAATTTCTAGTGGAAACCTGAGCTTCCACTACTAAGTTACGCTACACACCATGAAAATTGCAGGCGTACCGATAGCTGAAGAGCGTTAAAAACCATTGCGAGCAAAACATGCTAGATTTTATGCCTTGTCTAAGGAAATGAACGTGGAGCACGGGTAGTAATTCTTCTATCAATCGGTCGAACTATTGTCGCTTGAGACAGTGACCATAGATCAACTGAGAGGCATACCTGGTACTAATATCAGAGAGTAAGTGTGAGTGAAAATAAGTGTTGTATTGGATCTCTACATACGAGCCGAAGCTGCAGTTTAGGCATCTCTGGGAGGAAATGACCCCGGAGATCATAAGAGTGCATTAACCTCACGAGGAGCGAGAAGGCCTCTTCATCTGGCATCTAGGTCGTCAAAAGTAAAATAAAATTGAACTGGAGCAATGAAAAGCTCACATTGAGAAGGAGTACTGCTACAACGAAAGGAAGACCTTGACAATAACCAACTTGAGGGTCATACAATGAGTATGCTTTTAGAACGTTGAAAAGATGTTCTTGGCCGATGCCCTGTCCATCGGTAAAGAAATTGTGGTGAGGAAAGGTTCTGTGAGCTGGAGGTCAAGTTATGACTATGGACATCTAAAAAAATCGAACCTTCCGAGATCTCTTGTGATTGCCTTTTCATGAGGACTGGACTCCTTGAGGAGCGAAAGGTATGTATTCTCTAGCTCAGCGTCCTTTGATGCTGCCCTGCCTCAAGCGCCTTATCAGCGGTGGAGCTGAGTGTTAGGAAGCACCGCACATTAATTGCCACATCATTCCACGAAGCGCATCCGGAATCCCCTTCTCGATCGCTTTGGCTAGCTTTTGGGGATTCGAGGCTGCGAAACCCTGATAATCTAAGATACGAGATAAATACCGGATACTAGATCGCTTAGAAAATTGTCACATCACCTGAAATAACGGCTCCCCAGAAACCTTGCGCTGGAGTCAGAACTGAAAATTGGTGCATAGTCGCTCTTACCCCAGTCTATGCCTCCCTGTTCAGATTCTGTTACCTCAGCACGTCGCTCGTTATGGAGGCGCAAGAATTCTTCGTGAAGCTTCTGCTGCCCTTCTCCGGCACTCCGCAATGCTTCTATACTGCCTTCATCGCGGGTACCCTGTGACCCGATACGCGCAAGAATATTACTTCCAGGGGCAGATGGTATCGTTATTGTCGAAGCAGACTTCCTATGTGAGAAATGTCGTAAAGAAGAGAAGGCTCTTGAGGGTGCCGATGAAATAGTCGTCCTGCGGCTCAGCTTCGGAAGCGTATCGTCCGCGTCTGCCTCGGTGACAAGGCTGGTGTCTCCTGAGAGCGGAACGGTTGAGAAGCTTGGATCGTCATCAAGGATCACATCGTTATAGTCGGACTCCGCGACAGATCCTCTTGGGGAAAGCTCCTCATATGTTGGGCCCTTCGGGGAAAGTAAGGTATCGAGAGGTGAAGGTGGATCCGGTTTTGAGGCTACTATAACAGAAACATCGTTTGCGGTACTTCCGTCTGACATTTGAACAGATTATGCTGGAAGATGGTACATGGGTATCAAACTAAATGGGCGCACGCGGCTTGTAAACCAAGGCAACCTGGTTCCAGATCGTCTTCAGTCTCGATCATGCATTGTCACGTGGCTTTCGCCAATACCAATTTTTCAAAAGTCAATTTGCGCATCACTACTATGTGCTCTCTTTCAAAATTCAACGCGACGAGGCCTTGCAAAACTCATATATTCAAAGTGCTCAAGCCTCGCAATGCTTTGTTTACGAGTATCCCTGATTCCTGTCGGACATAAGTCCGTACTTCGTCGCGCAGTCACTTCCCAAGCTGAACGATCTATTAATGTAATCTTTAAGAACACGACTGTATCTGGGGCCCATTAACTAGGCAGGTCACCATGCTTCTCACTGTGACCAGTCGCAACGTACTACTTCCCGATTATGATCTGCCACGACCTGCGACGATCAATGTTGACCTCAGGACTGGTAAAATAATCGAAGTCCGCTTGCGGTACATTGGCGATGGGGTGTGTAGGGAAAGCTGGGCCCCGGGGGAACTACACTTCGTTGATGCTGGAGATAAAATTGTTCTTCCTGGGCTGGTCGAGTAGGTGTCTTTCCTTGTTGCAAAGCACGACTACTAATTGTCACAATGACAGTGCCCATGTCCATCTAGAGGAACCCGGAAACCAGGACTGGGAAGGCTTTTGGACCGGCACACAAGCTGCAGCTGCCGGAGGCGTCACCACTCTAATTGATATGCCCGTCGATTCAAGTCCGCCCACCACCACACCAAGGAACCTTGATATTAAACGTCACTCTGCTCGTGGACAGTGCTGGGTAGATGTTGGATTTTGGGGAGGAGCGATTCCTCAGAATCAAGTATGTGCACCAGCAGGTTCCAGCGTGTCAGATGTTCATCATCTACAAGGCCAAATTGGGACCCCTCTTATCCGCTGGCGTCAGAGGTTTCAAGTGCTTTTTGATCGATACAGGCATCGAGGTAATTCAAAGCCAAAATTCCATGCATAAATATGTTTATATTTATGCCAGCTTCACATAGGAATTCCCTTGCGTTTCTGAGAGTGACCTTCATGCGCACATGTCCTATCTTCAAGTAAGGTTTTATTGAGCATACAAACGATGGCTATAATCTAACTATCAGCATTTTGCAAAGAATTCTGTCATGATTTTCCACGCCGAAATGCAGACCGCTTCTTCACCAGCCCGGCACCGGCTTAATCCAAGGTCATATCAGGAATTCCTCTCTTCGCGTCCTAAAGAGCTTGAGATAGATGCTATCACTTTCATTACTCGTCTCCAAGCGATATACCCCTCAGTGTCCTGTCACATCGCACATCTATCAGCCGCAGCTGCCTTACCCATCATCCGTGCTGCCAAGGACTGTGGATCAAAACTTTCCGTTGAAACCTGTTTTCACTATCTATGTTTATCAGCAGAGGACATCCCAGATGGCGCAACCGAGTACAAATGCACCCCTCCGATTCGCGAGGACTCTAACAGAAATCTCCTCTGGGACGCTCTCGTGGATGGTACCATTGATTGTGTAACTTCCGATCACAGTCCTTGTCTCATCGAAATGAAGGGCCTTGAACGCGGCGATTTCATGGAAGCTTGGGGTGGTGTCAGTTCTCTAGGCCTTGGATTAAGCCTTCTATGGACGGAAGGAAGGAAGAGAGACATATCACTTGGACAGATCATCCGTTGGATGAGCATTAGAAATGCCGAGTTAGCGGGACTGTCTGGTACTAAGGGCCAGCTGAAAGTGGGACATGACGGAGATTTAGTGATCTGGGATCCGGAACCAGAATTCAAGGTGAATTCTAGTTCTGCTACTGCTCCCGTGACGATAACCGACCGAGTGATAGGTCTCGAAAGAACATTTGTATTTCAAGAACAAGTTAACCCCATACGACGGCATGACTTTGAAGGGCCTCGTACACAAAACATTTGTTCGTGGTAGATTGGCTTACGATTCGGCACTTCAAGATGGTTTCACGGGTCTTCAACCTTCCGGAGAGCTACTATAGGTACTTGCGTGACAATTCTTGCTTGTGTGCAGTGTGTTGTAAACTGGGCAGAACGTTGCAGTCTCGAATTTGCGGCGACCTGTATTAGTTTGGTGGTCTTTGAAATCACTATCTGAGTGCAAGCAGCGACACTGAACTTTCGGTCGAATAGACTAATCAAAGGAAGTTTACAAGCCACGATTGGCTGATTGGGCTGAAGATGTTTATATATATCTAACACTACCAGCCAGCCGGGCTGGGCACCTAGTAGTACGAAGCAACATTGACCTTGAATTACTGGGCACGTCCGAGTCGTAGTACATACGATGTGAGTGTTCATTTATCATTTGTTTGGTATAGCTCGAAGCTTAATCGTATCTACAGTTGATCATATTGCGCTGTCAGTTGAAACTTTCGATAAGACCATGAACAACCAGTCCCTAGTTGTGACTGGCCGGAATGTCTTGCTGCCCGGTTCGGATCAGCCGCAGCCAGCAACGATCACGGTGAACATCGACACAGGTAAGATCACGGACATCCAAACAGTGTATGCAGAACGAAGTCCGGGCGGAGATGCAACGTTCATTGATGCAGGAGAAAAGTTTGTTCTTCCTGGATTAGTCGAGTGAGTGTTTGCCCCACATCCCCATGAGAACTGTCATTTGAATGCCTTTGCAGTGCCCACGTTCATCTAAATGAGCCTGGTCGAACGGACTGGGAAGGCTTTTGGACTGGTACGCGGGCAGCTGTGGCAGGAGGAATCACCACGGTCGTGGATATGCCCTTAAACTCTATACCGCCCACGACCACTTTACAGAACCTCGAGATCAAGCGACAAACTGCACAAGGCCAGTGCTGGGCCGACGTTGGCTTTTGGGGTGGAGTTATTCCAGGGAACCAGGCAAGCTGCGCGTTTGAGACTCTCTGAAGAAATCACCTCATACTGAAATAAAGGCAGACCTGAAACTATTAGTGGCTGCCGGAGTAAAAGGATTCAAGTGCTTTTTGATTGAAAGCGGTGTCGAGGTGAGTGAGATATTGCGTCCTATCATCCAATGGCTCACAACATCTGTCCAGGAATTCCCTTGCGTCTCAGAACACGATCTCCATGCGCATATGCAAGAGCTCCAGGTCAAACTGCATATGAGGACCAAGTGAGCTACTAGCTAACTTTTTCTCTCTCGCAGGATCAATCGACTGTCCTGTTGTTCCACGCAGAGCTTGAGGGTGATTCCTGCTCAGTGAAAACCCACGAGGAGCACGATCCAACAGCATATCAAACCTTCCTCTCCTCTCGCCCTCAGGAGCTTGAGGCCAACGCTATCTCTCTGATTACCGTCTTGCAAGAGAAATACAGCTCCCTTCGTTGCCACATCGTTCACCTATCTGCATCTTCTGCTCTTCCTATTATTCGTGCTGCACGTTCTCGTCGGTTGAATCTGACGGTGGAAACATGTTTCCATTATTTGTGCCTCTCAGCGGACGACATACCAGATGGCCGACCTGAGTTCAAGTGCTGCCCCCCTATTCGTTCCGAATCAAACAGAGATGCACTGTGGGAGGCATTAATAGATGGTACCATCGACTGTGTGGTATCCGATCACAGTCCATGTGTAGCAGAGTTGAAGAAGTTCGAGGAGGGCAATATCATGACTGCCTGGGGAGGCATAAACAGTCTCGGCTTTGGCCTTAGCCTTCTATGGACAGAAGGCCAAAAGAGGGGCATTAGCCTGCGTCAGATTATTCGTTGGACGAGCGAAGAAACCGCGAAACACGCTGGGCTTTCATCATCCAAAGGGCAATTATCAGTAGGGTATGATGGCGACCTCATCATCTGGGACCCTGCAGCCGAGTTCAAGGTATATTATAAACACTTTCGATTTTGCCAAGTCATTCTTTAACGTTAACATCGACAGGTGTCAAAGGAACTTTTCCACTTCAAGAACAAATTCTCCGCATACGAAGGGATGGTGCTAAATGGAGTTGTGCAGCAAACGATTTTGCGCGGCCGCGTGGCCTACGATAGGGCGCAGAACGGCTTTGATGGTCTTACCCCCATCGGCAAGCTCCTGTGATTCCCAATGATTAACGAGGGGCTACAGTCTTGTTGAATCCTTCTCCCTCATTCAGCCCAAGTATTGGTGTTGTACGATCTGTTATACCAGTCATAATATTTCGGAACGCCGTCCGTTACAAGCACGGAGCTATTATTATAGTATCATCATGGAGCACGCGTACTATAATTAGAACCCCTGAGCGTGTTGTTGTACGTATATCGCTTAGTCGACATACTTCAGTCAACTTGGCCTCTTAAATTTTGATTAGCCACACCACCAATTCACTACCATGCCTGTTCTTAACAGAGTATTTACATGCACAAGGGCCATCCGTTCAACGGGCAGTTCTGGCGTCGCCAAATGTTCTGTATCTCCAGTGATTAGGTAGACATTCACGCCTCTATGATAGCTACTTCGGGTCACTAATCCGCGTCGTGGCCATCTCAGAAACGATCATGCCCGACCCTGCGAGCCTGTCGTTTCTGCAGGTGGTAAGCTCATATCACAGTCGCGGGCGATGACCACCTCTGCCGATTCCCTCGTTGCCTTTGGACAACAACATGTCACCAGAGGCCTCGGCCGCCTCACAGAAGCTGTTATGGCAAAGGGTGAGGGTTCGTACGTGACCTTTGAGGATGGACGTAGGATGTTAGATTTCAGCTGTGGCATCGGTGTGACAAACCTTGGTGAGTTGCTACACGCTCCACAGTGAATCATTCACTAGAATTCCGTGGTGATACGCTCCTCTAGGTCATTGCCACCCGAAGGTTTCCAAAGCTGCAGCAGATCAATGTGTGAACATTGTTCATGCTCAGGTATGTTCTAACTTCGAAATGCTGTTTGAGATAAACTCACTCTTGGTACTCTTCTAGTGCAGCATCTCATTCCATGGCCCTTACTTGCGCCTGATCGAGAAACTTCTTCCAATCATGCCTGATCCCTCGCTTGACTCGTTCTTCTTTTGGAACTCAGGCTCTGAAGCCATCGAAGCATCCCTCAAGATGGCACGACAAATTACTGGTCGGCAGAACATTATCGCCATGCAGGGTAAGTTGGTGGTAAGTACTCGTACAACGAAGAGCTTAAGCAGAATTTCTGGTGTTGCAGGCGGCTATCATGGTCGAACATTTGGTGCCATGGCTGTTACAAAGAGCAAGACGGTCTATAGTGAAGGGTTCTTTCCATTGATGGTAATTTTGGTGTTTAGGACATCTGCGACTAGACTAACATCATTGTAGCCTGGGGCATTTGCCATACCGTTCCCGTACTGGCACCAACTGGGATTACCGATCAATACGAGTGAAGAAGAGCTCGTCCGACTCTCATTGTATCAACTAGAACTTGTTCTCAAACAACAAACAGCTCCCAGAGACACAGCTGCCATCATTGTCGAGCCTGTACTTGGAGAGGGTGGTTATGTACCAGCCCCTGCATCTTTCCTCAAAGGATTACGTGCCGTCTGCGACAAACATGGAATCCTCCTTATTGTGGATGAAGTACAGAGTGGATTTGGTAGGACTGGCAAGTACTTCAACGTTGAATATAGTGGTGTCCGGCCCGATATCCTGATAATCGCAAAGGTACAGTGGATTGCTGTGTTAGTCATGGCTAATTGAATCGCTGATTGACCCTAGGGCCTTGCAAATGGATTCCCATTGAGTGGTGTAGTCAGCAGGAAGGAGCTTACGGATAAGTTAGTGCCGGGTTCCATGGTTAGTCCATTACCGCTAGCCCGTGTTTTCTCGTCCCGTTGATAGCATATTTTAAGGGAGGCACATATGCAGGCAACGCCGTATCATGCGCCGCTGCGGTGGCCGTCGCTAACGCCTTTCGTGAAGAGAAGGTGCTAGACAATGTTTCTGCTCGGTGAGATCACTACATCAGCGATCCAGAATTTCGTAGTCTCACAGTTTCTAGCTCAAGCGAACTTTTGACATCGTTAAAGTCCCTTCGTGATGACCCAGAAGTAGGAAGCATGATCGTCGATATCCGGGGCCAGGGCCTGATGGTTGCTGTCGAGTTTGCATCCCCGTCATACTCTCCAACTGATCCCGCACTGGTTCCATCCGCACCGAAGAACCTTGCAAGTCGTGTGACGAAGCGTTGCATGGAGAAGGGGCTTTTAATTCTCACGACTTCATTATATGAAGTCATCAGGTTCATACCTCCTCTGAATATCTCGCAGGGCGATTTGCAAAAAGGTTGTCAGATATTTGCGGAATCAGTCAAAGAAGTCGTCCGAGAAGGTTGAATAGTCGTTCTTTTGTACCGAGTATCTGACATGTTTTGTCATGTTCGTCGAGCGTAGAAATCTATGCATTTGTATTTCCAGGATGTAGAATGTAGTTCTACCTATGACTCTCACGTAAGTATTGTAATTAGCTGTGACAGATGCGGGCCGAATTCCGCGCCTCTAAGCAGTAACCGATATAGCAGGTCAGCTGATTGAAATACTTCGATTCAAAAAAATAGCACAGGCAGGACTCGTCCAACGATCGTCCTCCTCCTCAAGCTATCATCATTATTTCGACTCCACTTGGCAGGGGAGCCTGGTAACCACTATTGTACATATACACTATTACTTTTCCACCTGTACTATGCTAATGATATAGACTTGAAATGACAATGGGTTGGGCTAAGCAGATCCATCGCGTCACACGATCGCAATTCGTTGGGGTTGCTGGTCTGGTCCAGCCTTCGGGAAGGACACAGTCAGCACTCCATTCTCCATCTTCGCGTGGACGTCCTCAGCCTAGAGGGTACAATAACTGTCAACACCAGATCGCTACACGGAATTCACATTGTTAGTGTGCTCACCTTGATTCCCTGAGGAATTTGAAGGATCCTGGAACGCTCCTGCACCACATAGCTGCCCTTGTTATAATCATCCGAGCATTTCGACTCTCCGGATATTGTCAGACGATTTCCATGGACCTCGACATTCACATCCTGTTGTTTGATGCCGGGAAGTTCAAATGTCGCCGTGACCGTCTTGGTCTCAGCGTTCTCGTGTAGATCCATTCTGTGATATGAGTCAACGACATAACTACATTGAAATTTATGTCATGCTTACCTAGGAAATGCCCGATCACAGCGATGAGTCAAGGTAGTATTGCCCTCGATGGTAGGGGAGGGATGGAAACGAGCATTGAAAGCATCGTCAAATAACTTGTCGAACTCGGTGAATGGATCGTAAAATGTGCGCACTAGAGACATGATTAAGTGCAGAAATAGTAGATGTCGAGAGAAGGTGTTTTGGTGGTTGTTACTGACTGCCAGTGAGGTTGGAGGAGTTTGCTCAAGTCTGAGCGACTCTGACCAGCATTGATATACATGTCCGTGACAATATATAACATATAACAAACGTCTGTAATGTTCACGATTATACGAGTGTCTTCTAGAAGTTACTCGGTATTTGGTTGAATGGCGATCGACGACATTCTGTAATATTCGAGATTGATTCCGAGTTGAGAAGCCGTTAGTAACTTAGCGTCGAGTTCCATATTTGAACACAAAAGTCCTGTTTACATGTGTTTTGTTTATTACTAGGAAGGAAAGTTGGACTCAATCAAAGTCCGTCGGCCCAACAGAGCTAGCAGCCACATCGGCTAAGATGACAATTCCAAAGGAAGTCGAAGCATCCATGAAGAAACCGAGCACATTCGACTGCGTTGAGCTGGGAACGCTGCAACCAGACAACATCCAATAAAAAATTGGATGAGTCGTAATGTTTGAGTATAGTTAGGGAAGCCTGAGATGATCATTTGAAGGCAATAGAAAGAGGGAAAGGAGGAACCACTCTCAGAGGACAAGGCAAAAATGTTGGAGATAGTTGATAAAGGAGTCGCAGTCCGCGCGGATGACGAGTCCATTCTCGGACCAAGTCTTTGTACATTTTGAGGGAGGGATGATGATGACTTTCCGAACGAGGTGGTCACATTGGACCCCCAAGAATAGGATCTCCCGGTTACTGTGGATCGATTAACGTACATCGATAATCGGCTTAAATTGATTCTGCATATATAGCGATACCTCAGCTGGCTACTGATACTTACGGTCATCGAATTCTGACCTTTCTATTACTTCCTGCCCCTCAGTATTCAATCAGGGTCAGTTGGACGTGTGATCGTCTAAACCTTACTTGGCATCCAGCGCCTGCTTCTCCCGCTCAACACTGGCTTCTCTCCAGTTCCTGCCTTTGTACAACACCAGCAGGATCATGCACTCGACGACAACCATCAGACCTGCCCAGAGAGTATACAGACCACCGTCACCAATAGTATCCTAAACTAACGTCAGATTGGCCTTCTGCAAACTGTTATGACCTTGACTCACTTGTAAAGGAACCGCAATCTCGGCAGCGACAAAAGCAAACAGACCACGGAAAGAACTATTTGCTGCTACTGCCATTGATGAGCGACCAGTGTTTGCATCGACAAGGTATGCCAGTGTGCTTGCGTAGATCCATCTATCGTGGATGAGAAGTAGAATACAATGTAAAAACTCAGTGAACGTACACGGATAAAAATCCAGTGAGGAACAGCATCACACACACAGCGGCAACATGGACTCGTTCTTGGCACACCCAGGCGTATCCAATCACAGACAGAAGTGACCACAACATGGCGATTTTCGTGCTCTCGAGGCGCATCTGAATGAATTTGCATCAGCCATCTGCTGAGTCAGTGCTAGTGGTTCGACGTTCACCTCTGGAAAGCTGACCCCTCCATTTTCAGCCTTTAGCCGAGCAAGTGTCCTATCAGACCAATAACCACCTGATATGCTGCCAGCCACGGAGCCTGCAATAAGTAGATGTGTCAGGCAGGTGTTCCCAATGCTTGTAATTCACTCACCGACACCATAGACAAGCAAAACAAGGCCGGTCTTCAATGCATCATAACCATAATACACTGACAATGTTCTTGCGCATGTATACGCAACACTAAAGCTAAACGCAAATGTTAAGGCTGGCGCGAGGGGGCATAAAAATCGGTTTCAGCAAGAAATGAGGGCACGCACCTGATGCTATCAAGATAAGCAGGTTGTTCTTGCGGCTGACAATCGCGAAGTATGGAGGGAAAGGGTTGACATCAGCCGTTGACAGTTTCATGTCTTTAATGGCTGATGGTATAACCGGCCGCTGTGCTTCGATATCTTTCGAAGTCGTCTTGTTTTCTCCACCCACTTTTGATTTCGGAATATTTTGCGACTCGTCCTTCGCTTCCGACGACTGCTGCTTTCGGAGTCTCGAATTCAATACGTTCTGGTAAACCACGCTCCTTTCCTTCCTGAAGGTATCCTTGAACAAGACAAGAAATGCCGAAAAGATTATACCTCCCCAGATGACCAAGAACCAGAAAACTGCCCGCCAGCTAAGGCCCTGTGTGAGTGCACCACCAAAGATTGGTCCTAACGAGGGACCGAGGAGAGGTGCAGAATAGTATACACCCATCATTGTACCTCGTTGATGTGGCTCGTATATATCGGCCAGAGTGGCAGTTCCCATACCGAAAATTGCGCTTGACCTACTCAAAGTGAGCACGGACACGAGTGATTGAAGAACTGTCCCACCCTGCGGCTTGCACGATTCGCATGCCAATCATCAAACCAATGGTCCTTGACACGGCCACGATTGCAGATCCAATTATGAAAAGCCCAACGGATAGAAGGTACACGAGCTAGGTTCGCTCATATTAACAAACGACGCTAAGGGCAGCTATAGATACAAACCTTGCGGCCCTTTACCTCGCTAATCGCACTCCAAATGATAGGAAAATTGCCTTGAACCAGAATGAATAGAGATATACTCAGGCTGATATATCCACTGCTGGCGTGTAGCTGCTGCTCGATTTGAGCATTGGCGGCTGTTCCCTGACCGTTCAACCGATATTTGATACAACGGAATCACGGACGCAACCTACGGTTTTGTATGTTAGACCCCAAACCCGAAATTACTGAGGCACCAGATATAATGGACAATATAGCAGTCTGTAGTTGTGTTCAATCAATTTCTACTTAAATATCATGTAGGATAGAAGGACTCACCTTCTTCGCGTTTGACCATATTCGAGGATCGTCCTCAACCACGGCGTGCTCTATATCAAGCTTAATAGGTTCATTTGGCAATATGGAACTGGGGGAATGCGGTTGTGTATCAGTGTGAAATTCCACATCCTGGGCCTCTATAGGTGACAGGTTCGTACTCTGGCTTTCTGCCATGGGGGTAAAATGTCCGATGTACGAGTTGACAATTGTATGACAAGTCACGTATGATTTTATAGATGGTTCATGGATAACAGGAATGTCAGAAAGAGGACTAGTGCCGATACGATAAGAACATGCTGGATGGGAGAACTCCACCGACTATCTGAGGGGTCGGACAATATGGCCGATGAGGGTGCTGTGCTCCAGTCACCCTTACATAGATTAATATGTATCAAGTGACTGCCAGATCTACAACTCTCATCGAGGGCTCGGTTTGGGATAGTCCAGGGATTGATTACGGACTCGAGTTCTTTTGGAAAGGATGGGCTAGCCAAGGCATGTAACGATCCGAAGCATCAATACACCTCCGCCAAGATGAAGATAGGAGCGTAGTGTCCTGTCACCATTCTGAAGTAGATCGGCTCCTAAATCAGGGTGAAAAAAACGAGTCCCTGCGGTCAATTACATCAGTGGCAGAGACCTCAACCACCGCGCAGTAAGTACATTTCCTCGCTATCCATAAGTCGCAGTTAACATTCACTGCTCCTGCGCATACCTTTGCTGCGCTGTTCGCGCCACTCCCTTGAACGCCGGGCCATCGTCAAGCTAGCTGCTCCGGATTCTTCCCCACCCCCATGCGCGCTTTCGCTTCCTACGGCCTACGGACATTAGCACTCAGCACGGACGGACAAACCTCGATTGGAGTCACCGCAACGACGCTCATGGTCGAGTGCATTCCTTGGGACAGCACTTCCCCATATACCACTTTTTGACTTCTTCATCCTCGTGTCCTCATCTCTCTCGTGCCTGCCACTCTCTCCCATACAAAACTTGGGTTTGCAGTGTAGCATCTCCTCAACAATGAAATTTAAACCATGAACGATGATGAGGATGCAATATGAAATTCAATGACAGTAACATGTATGTAGACATTGATAGCAGGGTAGCGTGCACGAGGTGGAGCTCCAAGCTAGACCAAGAGGGAAAAATCCAGGATGCAGCAGAAATTACTGGAAAAAGAATATGAAGGCCGCGCCAATAGGAATAACTGACAAGGAGGATTGACAGGAAGAGCCAATGAGGGGATATTGACTGCGAGCGTGATGGGGATCTGGCGCTAGATCTTGGTGCAGACGTGTCGTCCAGTCTTGATGCGCTATTCCACAAAAGAAATCGACCGGCCCGCATGGCTACTATTGCTAGACCGTAGGTACCAGGAAGGAGCGAGAGCGAGACTGGTGTCGAGGGTTACGGGCAGGATGCAAGGGTTGAAAAAAATAGCAGAGGATGCTGTGCGCAAAGGGCGCGAGCTCGACGAGCACTGGCAGAACTATGCAAACGATAGTAATACATAGAAAAAGCTTCGTACCTTTCTCCGCCACAGTTTTCGGGGTCCAACCTTTAAATAAAAAGATCACACTCACACATCATCACTCGTAGCGCGTCCAAGGTCCACGTATTCTGGGTTAAACCGAGGATTCAGCGCTGAAGTACGTAGCGCGTCTCCCCTCAGCACAGGCATTGCGACCTTGTTGAACGTTTCGTATTTGTAAGGAGCGCTATCCAAATTAGTACTAGTGCTAGCTAGTGACCGCTGACCTAAGCAACCTCGCGCACTCACCGAGGCAAACTACTTATGCCGAGCACAGAGTGTGAATGTCAAGCTCATCGTCAAACCTTGGCTCAAAATCGAGGCCGACGTTCTCCGCAGTTACTGCTCACCAGCTGTCATGTTACTCCATGCTGTGTCGCTTCACATCCTGTTTGTGCTCTTGAACCTAATAGGTTCAGCGTACGGGTACATCCCAGCGCAGCCTTCTAACGACACGAGCCAGATAAATGGCATGAATACATCAAGGTTGATCCTTCAGTGGTACCCTAACGGGTAAGATTTGCCAGCGCGCCTTCCGCGTTTACATTCTGAGCTGCTCCGTTTGGTTGCTTGGGTTGTATTCTTAGCTCGGATTGGGAGTACGTGTCCTATCAACTTGTGGGCGCAAATAGCAATGGTACCACTAAGGTGCATATATCCGTTTGAGCTGACTGCGATCTCATCCTTCAAGTAGGGCGCCCTCGTACACTTCACTGAGAGTTTAGCGATGAACGAGACATGTAAGCGTGCATTCTATATTGACTCGGCGAGGATGCTCATATAGACAGCAACCACTCCTTGGATAGCTCTGATATCATGCGATGCCAATTCGACGGACTTCTCCGAGGAAGTCGACATATTTACGATGGCGAACAGCTCAGGTGCTCAATCTGCTGTAAGCTTGTTCGGTTGCATGTATGTCGACAATTGCATGGCTAATTCCTTCATTCCAGCTTCTGTATTCTCTTTATTCCAACACTTGCGTCATCAATCCAGAGTATGCTGATCCCGCTAATTTTGATCAAGTCTTCGATATATTCTCAACTCAGTCAACATCGGTCTCGAGGTGAGTTTGACTGTACATGCTTATGTAGGCCTGGTTTATGAGCCCCTAGAAACATTGAATACGAGTTCGGGCAAGGTGGACGCACGAATCTATCTGTTTATGGGAACTTCGATGCAACTACCTTGAACGCATCCGACACAACTATCAGTCAGTCTATAGTGTCAGGCTATCCTACCGTTCCTGGATATCTACTTGCAACTTTGCAAGCTTGGAATGCGACGGGAACTAATTCTACGGGGACAAGTAGCAATGACAATGGCTCCACTGGTTCGACTACGAATCAAGGCAGTAAAAAACAGACAGGTTTCACTATGTGAGAATAATTTGATAGTGTATTTGATTTACGGGCTAAGTCTGATTATAGGATCATCCTGTATGCTATCACCGGCTGTGTTTCAGCTTTATTTTGCGTCGTCATCATCTCGGGGGTATGTTGCGTTACACTATTGATTAGTGTTGATCTAAATATTGTTCAGGCAGTTAGGGCAATACGCCATCCCGAGAGATACGGTCCCCGAATTGCGACTGGTGACCTCCGTCTTGCACGCGGCGGGAGCCAAAGCCGAGCCAGAGGTCTTGGACGAGCCATTTTGGACACATTCCCCATTGTGAGGTTCGGCACTGTGCCAGACGACCGGGAGGATCCCACTTATCCAAGTCTCAAAGACGTTGAATTACTTCCTGTGGATGCTAATACAGCACTGCAGCAGACAAATGATGCAGCGGAGATGAGCACCATCTCCAGTCAGGCAGTCCAGCAACCATTACAATCAGTGGGAAGGATTACTGAGAGATACATTTCTACTACTGGTGCCACAACAAGCGTGCATGGTCGAGAGGATGAACAGTCCGATGCACGAGCTGTACCTCGGTTGACCCGTCCACGACTGCCTGCTACCTCCGAAGCGCCACCATCCCCAGCACGGGATGTCGATCCGCTGATGCCAGAGGCAATCGGACGTGAGACATGTCCCATCTGCATCGTTGACTTCGAAGAGGGTGATGAACTAAGGGTATTGCCTTGCGAAGGAAAACATCGTTTCCATCAGACGTGTGTTGATCCATGGCTTTTAGAGCTTTCGAGTTCTTGCCCATTATGTCGACAAGGTGAATCATGCCTCGCGAGCTCGAGATAACCTCTTACTAATGGAGGACAGACTTTCACGCTCTTGAAGCGATGTTGTCAGGGTACGCGGGTGACCGTGATACGCTTTCTGTATTTCCTTCCAACCGGCGTATCAGCCAAGCACCCTCGAACCAACAAAATCGCTTTTCTCGCTATTTACGATCTGCACGGCGGCGACACCGTGAGCTTGAAGAAAACGATGATGATGCTACAGACCCGTCTATGTCCGCGACTGTTGACCATTCACTATGACCCTTTGGATATTTACCCATATTTATTTTCCACTGGTTGTATGCATACCTTAGATCCCGAACTCTGTACGAGCCCTGTACATGTGACCTACGTCGTATTCCTGAAGAGAGCCGTTCTATATTGCTAGTACGTCTACTGAACCCACCGCGATCGGGTGTAACCTTGCACCCAGCACTGATCTCACTGAGTCGGGGCTGGAAGTCTCTTGGTCGACACTAGACAAAGAATGCCTGATAGGATAACTGGTCTAACACCCTATGTGCAATCTAAAAGCTGATAGGATTCACATAGGAATGCAATATGTCAACGCGAGTTCAGTGGTAATTCTGACCACTCGCCAAATAAGGCAGAATCTCTCCAAAATATGACAAACGACGTCATACCGACGTCAGGCATGCACAGCTTTCCCGTTACTTTCAAAGGGTATATAAGGTCGAGGATATTCGCTTTTCTTCCCCAACATCTTCTCTCTACCCACATTCACATATCAACTTAAACTCACAATCAATATCATCATCACAATGGCTGACACTGGACGTCAATCTATGACCGACAAGGCTGCTTCTTCTGTGAAGGTCTGAACATTTTTCCCCTCGGAATTTATTCTCGCGCCTGACATTGTCTTAGCCCGACTCTCAGAAGTCGATGACCGAGCAGGCTGGTGACAAGATGAAAGGAATGACCGACTCGGTCGCTTCTACTCTCCAACCGCAGGTTAGCCCCTAACTCGATTTAAGGTTTTGATTGACGCTGACGCTCTGATTTCAGAGCGAGAAATCCACCACCCAGAAGGCAGGTGACACCATGAGCGGAAATTCCAACGAAGGGCAGGTGAGCTGAGGTCAAACAGTCATTTCATTAATTTGTGACTGATAAAATTTCGTAGGAGTCTTTGATGGAGAAGGCTAAGCACGCCACGGGCATGGGTGATTCGGAGACGAAGTAGTTCAGTCCTTTCAATACGAGCGTCTCAAATACTGTATTATATGTCGGGATAATTGTGATCTTTAACACAACGCACTTGAGCTTGAACTATTGTCGCTGGTCCCGGTCAACCACCGAATCTTGCCAACCTTCTTCTGCGCATCTCTTCCACACTGACAGACTCTCTCGGTGCTTCCGGTTCAGACACAATCGTACTAGTATCTGCTTCAGATTGATTGTCAATCTGGTCATCCTCAACAGCTGCTGAGATGTGAGGCGGAGGTGCTTGTCGTGTCTGAAGTGGTTGTACCGGAAGAGGGATGAATTCAGATGACACATGCTCCAATGATGCGCTTAGCGCAGCCTGAAAGTTGGCATCGTCGTCATCGTAAACTCGGTCCACATTTCCCCTGCTATATGGTATCCTTGCTTGGGGAGGTGTGTAGTCTGAATCTTCGGAATCATCATCATCCAGTTCTCCTCTGGCGTGCCGTCCTGCTAGCGAATCCGCAATTGCACGACGGAGATGCTCGTCTTCATTGCCATCTTCTGCTTGTGATCCGTATGGCGGCTGCCGACTTCCAAACCGCGCAGCCTCTTCCTCATACTGCTGTCTAAACCCCAATTCTTGTTCATGTCGCATGCGCTCCATGAGCACACGATCACGCTCCATGGAAGCAGTAATTGGGTCAACGTCAGCGTTTCCGTACGGGTCTTGGTTGGGAGGAATGCCTGGCATAACTCCTCTCGTTGAACCCGATCCACGAATGTCAGAGGCGAATAGACTACTCTGCGCGGGAGGGTAGGAAATCGGCATAGTCCATGAACCGCCTATTTCTCCAGCCCCAGCCAGTGATGCTTGCAAGGCTGCTTGCAGCTCCATATCTTCGTTCTCGAAGCCAGACTCCACGTCATCCCGGGGTGACGATGAAGCCGAGGTAGGATCTGGGAAAGTAGATGCGATATCATCTGCGTCTGTGTGGGGAATTTGAGAGGGTGCATCTGGATCAATCTGTGTGACTGTAAAGATAGAGTATCCGTCGCTCTCAGCTTGTTGCAGGAACATGCCAAGGTAGAGTTTGCTGATCCATCGTGGCTGACGCTTGGTGGAATCGAGGTTGAACCAGTGTCCATCCCCTGGAATAGAAAGATCTCCAAATCGTCGCAACGTGTACCAGTGTTGATTCTGGTTGAGTACGAATGCGATTTGGTTACTGGTGGGATGACGATATGATGAGGAACGAGAGATGATAACTCATGGTAGACGGACGTACTGCGGCTCATTCTGATATGGCTTCATAGCTTCAGAGCGCCATCGAACGAGGCTGAAATGGATATTATAAGGAAATGCACCAGATATGAAATGTCAATTGGACAAACCTGAGATTCCAGATATTGAGTGCCTCTTCTAACACCTGCACGGAGAAGAATCCTGAGGAATCATTAACGCTTCATCCAGCTGAAAATAGGAAACAAAATGCCTGTATCATCCATATTGGTACTAGTACGTGCTCGATTGGCGTCGTCATAACGCGATGACTCTTCCAGTATGTCCAACTTCCGAGCGAATTGAGAAAGATCGGGCGCTGTGAACTATGGCGATCACACAAGTGAGTATACGATTTGCAATTTAAAGAAGGATACCAACATAGTTTCCCTCTGGAAATGGTGAATGAAAGCCAGTGAACACTAGCATCGAGCGATAGATGGGGTACGTACGAAGTAGTGAATTGAGGGCATGCTGCGCACAAAGATTTGATCCTTCTTGCTGCCTCTCGTGATATATCGTGTGCACAAGTGGTTCCAGCCCTGTCATGTTGGATTCGATTTCCTATAGACTTGCTAGTTCAGTGGATGGTAAGCGATGTAGCTGCCCAAGTGGAAGTGTCATTTAAGGGACGCGCACGCGTGTCTTACGTAATTCCAGTACTATCCGACTTGTTCGCCGTTTGCCCTAGTTCATCATCTTTCCCCGGGTCCGCATATATAGCCATGATTTTCCAGCACTTCATACCTCAGTCATTACCTTTCAATCTGTTATCCTTACTTGTTTTATTATCCTCCACAGCTCTTGTAACGGCAGAAGACTTTGATTGCCATAATGTGTTGACTGGAGGGTTGAAATGGGACCTAACGCTGCTGAAGGGCTCGCACACAGTGACTAGGACACGAGAATCGCCGCCTACCACTATGGTGGATGAGCTCAGATTTAATTTGTGCAAGAACCCGAAACAAATGCATGGTGTGCCAGACGATGAGCAGGCAAGTCCAATTCGTGATAACCCAGCACTGCCAATGTTAATGTAAACCGCAGTGTCAGACTGGGACAAGGGCATGTTTGAGGAAGATAAACAAGAAGCCCGAGTTGTCAGACCGGGTGATTGCTGTCATACCTGTCGCGTCGACGTCTGCCTTTGAGCCAGAATATTCACAGCTTGATTGTATGTGGAGCTTCTATTTTATGTTTTGTTATGCATACTTAACAAATGTGACAGCACCGAAAGGTCTCTCCTTGACATTTCGCGGAGCCCCATACCCCACCTTGTCTGATGATCCCCAGTCTATCAATTTCTCTCTCTTTTGTGCCGACGATGCAGACCCCAAAGCAGAACCCACATTTGTGTCATATGAGAACGGAACTGTGCGTGTCGATTGGAGTACACCCGCAGCGTGTGGTTTGCCGGATGATCAACCTCCTTCACAAACCCCTCCACAAACCCCACCAGAAGAGGATGACGATACGCCTACGGATGAAGGTGGTGAAGAGAGTGATACGAAACCAGCGACGAGAGGCAGTGGACTTGGGTTTTTCTTCCTTGTGTGAGTGGTACAGTGTTGATACATAAGGAATACGACTGACTCCTTATTTCCTAGCCTCCTCCTGGCATTTGCAGCGTATCTCGCACTAGGTGCATACTACAACTATTCCACATATGGTGCCCGCGGCGTGGATCTTATACCGTGAGTGCATCACGATTCTTTTTCTGGAGCAAGGCTTAACGCCTGCGTAGGCATCGAGATTTCTGGCGCGAGGTGCCATACATGTTGCAAGACGTTGTGTCTCATCTATGTTCAACGGTTCGACCACAACGGTCGACTCGTGGAGGGTATATTGCCGTATGATGATCATGTTCTGTCTTCTGGGACACGATTCTGTTCAAGGATTTCAGATATAGACATGGTGCATGCCTTTTTTACTTAATTACCCTAACGCCTTTATACTGTTAAACTACGCTGGAAACAGAATGGAGGTGGGAAGTGATTAAAGATGTAATGTCCTTCTGAAATCGATCCAGATGAAATTCACGAAATCCCGTTAAATTTTAGCAGTGCTGCTGCGAACAGGCGCAGCTAGACTGTCTCATTGAGTGACACCGGGTTTCAATATTCGCTGTAACGCCACTAACTTTGAGGCTTGTTATAGCCCAGGCGCCTGTTTTGGGGCTAGTAGGCCCATCAAGCAACAGCTGCTCCTCGGACGTGTGCTTGTGGTCCGCAGGTATGATCAGGCACTGGAAGCTATCAATACATATATCTGCTGGCGGCCGCTATTATCCCTAACTTTTGAACCTTGCAACATGCTCACCAATTGATGAAACCGTTTTCTGTGATTGGCGCAGGCATGATTGGGACTGATCAGTACTAACGTTTGGCTCAAGTCTAGTTGCTGCTGTTACTCAGGCATGACTCAGGTGCCTCAATAGATAGTAATACGGTCACGAAATAAGTACTCGCTCCACTCGAATCACGTTCACCGACTGCTTCAGGATTGAAAAACCAATCACACATGATACAAATACATTGCATTGTGGGGGTTGTAAAGTATACGTGACTAGTCCGTTCCGGTACATCGAAAGCATTGCAGTGGGAGATATAGCAAGATAGTGATAAAAATGTGAGTAGGGGGTAGATGTGCAGAAGTGAGTTGTGATGATGATACAAAGTGAAATAAGAACTGGCGGTGACGAAGTCTGATCGTAGTCCATGATAGCGATGAATATGTGAGTAGGGTGTGGTTTATACAAACGTGAGTGAGTCGTGGCGGCAACGATAATACAACTTGAAAGTGAAGGAAGAGCTGGCGGTGATGAAGTCCGATTGTAGTCCGTTGGAGGCGAGTGCGATCATATACTGAGATCTGATGTGTTGAGAAATGACAAGTGACGAGCCAATGCGACCCGCGCAAGGCAATAATCAAACATTCTGAGAGAAGTGAATATTCCAGCTATCCGAGCCGTCTCGAGCTCTAGTGAGGCCAACGAAGAAGACTTTGGGGCCCAAAAAGTCAAAACGTTTTACGCCCAGCGCGTGTTCGCGCTGGTCTGCACGGGACCTAGCCCTAAAAGACTCGATAGCGGCACTAACCGCATTAGAAGGTCTGTGCATTTGCATCTCGTGTGATGTAACACCTTGGTTGAGGGTTTCCCGTATCTTGAGCAAGACGTCATTCACGGTGATGCCGTGGGGGTTTACAACTTCTATTATCCAAGCAGGGAGCTCAGGAATAGTAATGGTCATACGAGAGACTGTTGGTTGTAGCGCAAACTCCCAAATCCTGGTAGGCGGACAGTCTGGTCGCAGTTGCACATATGCTAGGTCTAGCATGACGTTGAACATTATATTTGGACCACGACTCAAGAGGGGGTGTAAGACTATCATGGAAGAGTGGGTTGTAGAAGAATGGTGATCTAATGCGCAATAGATGAGATCTGGGCAACATATTAATGAAAAGAAGAAGCACGTACGCGGCACAGGGGGTTGGTGCAGATGTGCATTAGGGTGGGGGAGGGACACCGTATGGAGGTGGGGTGCGTTTATAGCTGGTATCGGGAGCGATACTGGATGCAAGTACGGCGTGTTTGGGATGGGCGCTGGGGGTGCCGGGGATGCCGACGAACTTGAACGGTCAGATGGTGACCCCCAAGACTTGTGGCTGTGTGAAGAGGAAGAGGAGCCCATACGATAATGCATCGTTTAGTCAGGGAGATTGGGCAGAAGGGGAGAGGGGCGGGATTGGAGATGAAAGCGCAGTGAGTCGACGACCATCTTACGCTGTCTTATATAGCGTACTGGGGAGCGTCGTCGGGAAGTTACTTGAGCGCTTACGGTTGTCATCGTGAGTAGGATACGGAAGTTATGGGCGGGAGTCGACAGCGAACATGATCGTATATGGTCAGAATTCAAGGTTCATTGATTGACGCTGGGCGGGGTTTCCATAATTGGATTGGGGCGGGAGGCTATACCATATAAGGCAGGCGTCGGGATCATGTGCGCTGATGGCGGTCTTATCGATGACCCAAAGTCTTGGATGCGCCCTCCGCCGAAATATATCATCCCTAGACTAACATCTTCCTATGTGATCACATTTACTAAATTTAATTACATAAACTATGTAACAAGATCCGTTCAGTTCACACAGACAAAATCAGCGAGGTTTTTTCCAGTGCTGCACTCACCGGCGGGTGGCGCAAGCGCAGCGAGGTTGATAATGGCCAATTCAGGCTGCAACCAATATGGTAATGTAGTTTATCCTGCACCGAGTATTGCGTGTTGATATCAATGTCTGTTGACTGGTCAGATCACGTAGGACCATTACGGCGACGAGAAAGTGTAGTCGACACCAAAGGACTACCACAACCCTCTTGTTCCCTCATATCAACGGTCCACCAAACCAATTCTCTCCAAAGCTATCCCTGTCCTTGCTCTTAGTCGACTTGCAAAAGTCTTCTCCGAGCTTTTGGGTTGCGTACCGGATTCGACTGCTACAGAAGGACTGCATAATACGTTTCAGCACCCTGTATTCAGGAATAGCATGTATTTGCTTATGAGAATGCATGCTTACCATTTTCGAATGGAGATCCGTTCCCGAGGCTTTGAAGAGTGATAATGATCAAGTTGAGGACTTCACCGAACCTAAGAGCGTATTCTGGGCCGTGCGTCGCTCACACAGCTCGGAAGTGAGTCGGAACCAACAGCTGGTCTAAGTCCACATCTACATCAATGCATACAAGTTCAGTGCGCGCACGATCATTTTGTGCTCTGAGGTAACGTGGTTTTGTCTTCGCATTGCTCGCTGTGAGCCCACAGGGCCCCTGGTCTGAGTGTGAGGCGCGTTGGAACATTTAATGAAAGGGTAAGAACTACACACCTCTAGGAACATCCAGAATAGCAGAGATCACAGTGAGAATGTAAGGCTGCAGTTAAAGCAAAATTTGGAAGGAAAGGAACCAGAAATACAAATTTTCGCCACGCTGCGCACAAGAAAAGAACGGAAAAGTTGTGGTAAAGTGCCCACCGCACTTTATTTTACCGTAAAATCTTGGGATTTTACGGGTGGCTGAGAGCTCCGGCAGCGGAATTTTACATGGATAAGGCGGGCGGGCGCACTCGCTCATTTTCGCCATACAATTAAGCAAATTTAAACATGTATATTGCATGGGTGCACATACGTATATAGCTGTACATTATAGACAGAGAAAAAAGCATAAACCATGCCGTCTTCCTGCGTGTGCACACGCGAAATTTGGATGGAATTGCGTCGCAACAACAGCGCGAGGTTGATGGACGCGACATGACGACACAAGGGGCCCGGCGAACTCCGTCGGTGAGTGGTTTCTGTGCTTACGAGTGGTCCTCAAGTTCAGGTGCAGGTGCAGTGCATCATGTAATGCCATGGAAGACGACGGAACGGGAGCGGGAGCTGCAGATCTGCGCGTTGAGAGTTAGTACTGAAGACGCGGGTTGCTGATTCGTCAGCGAGGTCACGTGCTTTGGTGTTTTACTAAAATGAGGCAATAAAACCAACTTTATCACGTGCGCGTCGTAACATGGATCGCAGAACTGATATGTCGCATCTTCACTCAGACTACCACTATGGCGCATACAAATCCAACAAACGACGAAGAGCTTGACGACGATCCAGGAGCATATGTCCTTGGGTTTGGTAAACACGCTGGTGAACGACTCGATTCCATCCCTGCTCACTACAGGTTGTGGGCGACAGGAGCCGAATGTCAACATTTCCGCTGGGTGAGAACTCAATGTGGTAGATATGACTGTCACTGAGAATAATCGCAGTATGCAGAGTTAAAAGAGGCTAATGATCGATATGAAAAACAACTTCTCCAAACTCCTGAAGCCTACACCTTCTCCTTCGGAAAACATAAAAATGAAAGACTTGACGAAGTACCAGAAGATTACATTTGGTCTGTTATTCGCCCTTCGTTTTCTAATAATGCCTGGGTAAGTCGATTCTCTTGTCACGTTCATGCTTATATATATTGTTGCTGCAGTACCCAAGCCTGGTGAAAGCACATTGTCGTTACCTGGACCAGGTATACCAAAACAAATCACCAGGCTCAGTTGAGATCTGGTTTGGGCAGCAGTGCCGGGGTTACACACTCAGCTTAGCCTACAAGCGGCCTGGTTTCATTAGATATTGTCTGAGACCAAAGCATAAGAATTTTAAGTGGGTGAGTCACGGTTTCCCCGATGGCGCCTGGCATTCGGTAATCACTTCTATTCCAAGTATGTCAAATTTGAAGACCTAGTTCGGAGGTACGAAGCGCATCTCGCGAGCCACCGACGGCCATACCGCAGAAGAAAACCGGCAAATGTGGAAAATCCCGTAGGGGAACTTCTGGGACATTGGGACGACCGTGGGTCTGTGGAGCCAGGTGATGAATATGTCCGGGATGGCTTTGTAGTCGACGATGGTGAGGGGGAAGATGAAGATTCCCAAGAATATGGTGGTTCCCAATCAGACGATAGCAACGACGACTACGGATTTGATGATGATTTTCAGGGTGAAGAAATGTATGATGATTCGGAAGTCAATACAACCGGTGACCCAGACGGATCAAGTCCAGAGCAGCCTTCTTGCGCGAGTGCGGCTGTCTCTCAAGTCTCGGAGTCGGAGTCGGACTCAAATTCGGATGACGATACGCCTTTGGACGAATTGCCCAACAAGATCAGGGCAACACGTGTTTCCGGGAAAAGGAGGGCAAGAGTCGTATCCTCGCCCAGCCCCCGAAGAAGTCATCTATCTGAAGGCAAGGGCAGTAATGATGATATCGCTGCTCAGCCCTCACCAAAACGCCGCAAAGGTATTGATCATTTTTTGAGCTGTTCATGCATGATCTCAAGTGCCACGATGGCAGGCCCCCGCTTGGTCCATGATAGGCCTGCCAGGAATGAATTCAATTCCGTAGCAGAGTCGCATCTTGATGAACAAGAACTCTCTCACTCGGGGTCGTCCCAGGAATCTGCTGCAGGTTCAAGCATAGTTGATGAATCCCAAGTTGAGGATGAGTCTTCGCAAATCAACAACGAGGAATTATCGGACGGTTATATTCCTCCTCCCTCAGTCTTGGGAGGCTATTATCGTCCGTTTCCACGTGTAATTACTGGCTTCCATCACCAGAAGATGTCTTAGCGGAGCTCAATGGCACTACGAGTATTCGCGATGAACTTAATATTCGCCCGAACTGCGATGTAGTATAGAGCCCCGTTTCATTTCCGAGCTCAGGCCTAGGAGTTACGTGACAGCAGTGCGAAAATCATGACCACTGCCACTTTCATCGTGATTTGATGGAGTGATGACCCTCATCAGCTTCTACCTATCTGGAGAAGATGCTCTCACAGCTAAGCAGGGATTCGATCTACACAGCTTGTTTTTAGCAAGCTTCTCTGTTTCAAATCTTAAGTGAGTTCGCGGTGATGCGCCCTCCGTAGACAGCGCCTTGTATTATACTGTATTCATACTGGCCAAACTGACGACATGTGGGTCCAGGAGACGCACCGAGTCAAACCGACGTGTGCGGGGTGGAACTCATTGCGCCACTTTGTCAGTAACTAGTGTCAGAACTTTGTAAGTACTAGCCCTGAGTCGGTTTCAATTTTGGGTAAACTCGCGATCAACTGCGTTGACATCGCATGGACGGTTGGCTCGGTACTCGATGCAGCACTTGGTTGAAAGTGACCCATCAAGCTGCGGGGATGTCCTTGTTCGAATTGGTCGCAACCCAAAGATAAGAGAGCTGTGGCAACAATAAAAACAAGTCTTGGCGACGAGTTCCCAGAGAGTCGAATCACGCCGTCGATGAATCACATGGACCGGTCAATGAGTATTAGTGAGGCAGTGAAAGTACAAGTCACCGAAATGTTTAAGGTTCAAGGTGCTCATGCTAGTGTGTAAACAATGTCAAACTTGAAAATGTAGATGCTAGACGGTCCACTGATCTTTAACAGCTTCCGCCCTTGTGGTAGAGGAATCAGATAGGGCTGATGCTCAGAAGGCTGCTTCACACAAAAAAGGACATGAATAAGATCGGACCGACATATCATGATGACAACGAGCGCTATGTGGCTGATTGCGCTGATCATTCTACGATTAAGATGCGATGATTCGGCCAGGTACGGATAGCATGGACCTAGGACAAGCCAATGAACCTCTACTAAAAAATAATTATTCCTGTTGGGAATAGAGAAGAGGAAGCCGAGGGTCCCGACGTTCCGAATGACAGGGAGGTTGAGGCAAAAATTTGCGTGAGGACGATAAGGAGTTATGATGCGGCTAAGTGCTCTGATCAGATGTCCGACGGTCCAAAGATGGGATCCTTTGATGAAACGATCTCTTTGTTCGGGTTACAGCTGCCTAAAACATTGATTCCCGTGCCCGCGCTTGGTTAGAAGCCTTGTCTGCAGACTCTACCACTTATATAAACCTTCTATAGCCTCTGTTATGCCGACGTTCATGAAACGCCCGTGGGCTTTACCCTAATATTCCCGTGTACGTATATCCTTCACATATAAAGTTCCCATCCGAGAAATCTGCCTCGTGCCCTCTTTATCGGTACACCCGCTCTTTGCTCACACATCATCTTTTTTCCTTCAGCGATACCTCCCTCCGTTTCCCTAAACAATGCCTGCTGAGCGATCCCGTGGCTCGTTGAAGCGCGAGTCTTCAGATGGTATGTATAACGTTCAATCCACAAATATGTTTGCAGATGCTAATGATAACATACTCTATATTAGTAGGCGCCCAATTAACTTGGACCCTTCCGCTTGAGCCTGCGTCTCCTCAGAGCATTGCCTTTGCACCCAACGTAACACCCATCAGTTTCAATGAACCACCCCACACTGTTGAAACTACATTTGAACCTGTGCTCTTT